TCGACTGTTTCCCTCTGGCACAAGTCTACTGGAGGCTTGATGAATATTGCCTTCAGTGAGCATTCGGACACTGTCTACATGGCTTTGTGGTTGTTCGCATGGTTGGTTTGATTGCAATATGAGCTTTTTCCTTTTAAGCTTGGACCCCATCCAATATGGATTTTGGCGTTCCTTTTGGTTCCCCTTCCAAATCCAACCAAAAGAGGGTCGCCCCCCAAGCCCTAAACCCTAAACCCATATTAGAAGCCCTCCAGAGCCCTCCCCCCCTCCTTAAGGGCTAGCCCTAAACCCTAAGCACTTAAGCCTTGACTTCCCAGAGTTGACTTTCCCAAAGTTCGACGAGCCGTACTCAGACGTCAGAGAGAGAGAGAGAGAGAGAGAGAACAAATCTCATTTCGAGAGGCCATCCACTTCGAAGGCTTCAACCACTCGCTGGAGACGGCTGGATCGGGGTTGTTGAAGCGGTGTATGTCTGTGTTTGTTTGTTTTTGTTTTGGGCCTCAGTTGATGGTTTGGATTGGTGGAGGGATTTGAACCTCTGGCTTTTGTAGAGGGTAAATGGAAACCACCCCTTTGCCACGAAACCACCAATTCAAACCGCCAATTCGGGGGAAGCTAATCTTTTGTGGTTTCCTCGAGACCCAAGCTATGTAGAAACCCGAGCAGCGCAAACAAGTGCACTTCCGGGCCGTCCGTTTTTTTTTTTGATTTAGAGGAAAATCCAAAAGGGACACCCTGCTGCCCAAAGGGGGGGGGAGGGGGAGATTTGCTCAAAGTCCCAAGCACCTAAGCAACTTGAAACAGCACAGATTTGTGGGTTATTTGCTTTCCTGACATGGATTACCCTGCTTTTTGTTTTCCCTCGCTATCCCATACTGCCTCCTATTGTCAGGTGTTTCCACTGGTTTCATCGGCTGGTTGGCAGGCTTTGCATGGCCTGTATGGAAATGACGGCCATTCCTGGATTGCAGGCCTTCTGTTGCTTGTGTGTGCGCGCGCCTTTCTTGAGGGCAGGCGTTGTGTCAAAGTAGATAGGGCTCTGGACTGCAAGCACAGTCTTCCTCTCTGATTTTCCCTTCAAACTGAACTGACAAGGCGTCAAACCAAGCTGCAGACCCCCCCTCACCTACCTCACCCACCTCACCCACCTCACCCACCTCACCCACCTCACCCACCTCACCCACCTCACCCACCTCACCCACCTCACCCACCTCACCCACCTCACCCACCTCACCCACCTCACCCACCTCACTCGAAAAGGTGGGGGACCTTCCCGGCGCCCCGGACGACCAGCCCCTTTACAGCGCCGACGGGTCCGCCCGGTGGCTGGACCCCCGCTGTGTGCGGGGCACGCACCACGGCTTTCAGATACGCAGTTTGCCTGTTGGCCTTTGGGATTTTCAACCTAGGTACCTTTCGTGGATGTTCAAGCTACTTGTTCACCCTACTAAATGTGTGACATTGAGTAAGCTTTGTGTTGTGATGTAGAGGGGGTTTCTGGGATAGAATGCCTTTGAGATCGATCGGCATAGCCAGTTGTTGATAGCTTACAACTCAGCAACTATGGTGATGACCATTTGCACATCCAAGTTTGCCTTCGCAGGAAGTCGCATAGAGCTCCCTTTGGGTGATCCCTGTTTGGACCCCATATTCTTCGGGGGATTTGGGCGCCCCATCCCCTGGAAGACAAGTAAGGCATGGTTCAAAGGTGGGTCCACATGAGTTTGGCGATGGGAGCATGGATATTGTTTGGAATACGGGTCTGTTTTTGGTTCGTACCCCGTTTTTGTGGGTTTTTAAAGGTATACCCTGGAGAACCCTTTGTTTTTTGGGCGGGGGGTCCACTGAAAAAGACACCCCTCATGTGAGAAGATTCGAAGACTTGCTCAGAAGTTTGGGCACCCTTACCTCCGTACTGTACCACACCCGTAGCTTTTCCGGGCTAGCGCCGGCTTTAAGCAAGCCGCAAAACGGTACCCTCGAAAGAACCACCATCTTTTGACATCATGTTTTGCTGAAACCCAATCTTTGCAGCACCCCTTTTTGGAGGGACCCCGTTTTTAGGCGACAGGGCTTCCTTTCTGGCCACCGAGTGGTGCTCCTTGACAATTAGAGGCTTGCCCAGAAGAAAGGAAGCACTCGGCAGCCCCTTGATTTTTTTTAGGGGGGGGGCTGGTCAGCTTGGCCAGCACTACGTAGCAAGTTTCCTTTTGGTTGCCAGTGGGAGATGAACCACCCCATTGCTTCGAGTCAGACCAAATCGCGATTGAGGTTGGCCGCGGGGCCTTTCCCCATCCAGCACGTGCTGTTGCCTGGCCGGCAACAGCCCAAAGCCCTTCCAGTTGCGCTGATTTAATGCTTGGTGCCCCAGGTAGAAGGTTTATACTGGCCAGTCAAGGCTCGTGAACTCAAACAAGCGGTTGGGCGGCTTATACCTTGTATGAGTTTGTCTCCAAAATGGGTGGTGTGCTTTTGGTTTACTTGTACAACCAGCCGAAAAGGGGTACCATCCAAAAAGGACGAGGCACCCCTGTAAGCCTAAGTCTGATCATTTATGACACTTACTGTCCAGGGGTTTTCGGGCGTGGGCATCCCCAACCAGCTTCGCCTCGCAAGAATTTGCCGAGCATTTCGCAGCCGACTATGCCGACTCGTTTTTTGGGGATTTCGCGGCCTGGTGACCTTTGGGCATGGAACGAAAGGTCTGGTTGCGAGGTTGGCAGTGCTCCTCTTCGCGGTGTTCAGCCCCGCGGTGACCTTCGCCTTCTTCGCCTGCAGCCCCAATGGGGTTTGCTCATATAGGAGCCCAAATAGGTCTGTCGTCTCTTTTTGAGCTGGTGTCCCTTGTTTGGCAGGTTTTAAATGGGAGACCAAAAGGAAGACCAAAATTCATTTTGGAGGGGTCCCACTTTAAAGACAAAAGACCCAATTTGGAGTTTCGGATCGATAGACGAAAGCTTACTCTCATGAGAGGAGCCGCTCGTTCGGCGAGCCTCAAGGAAACCACAAACTTTCAACATGTTTTGAGTCGCATCCCACCGAAATGGCGGACATCGCTTCCTGTATTTTTTCCGGTGGGGATTCATGGCAAAGACCTTGGAGGTGGTTTGATGTTTTTGGTGAGTCCCTGGCCTTAGAGCTGACATCAGACCATGTGGATCGAGCCCCCGAGGTTTGTCAGGCCGTTCTGCGGAATGTCAGACCAGCATCAGGAGGTTTCTCAAAATGTGACTTTTGGTTCTGGTTTCGCTTTAAACACATCAACCTTTTTGTGAAGCCGGCGTTCTGTTGCCAGACCTTGGCGCATGCGCCAAGGTCACGAGCCAGCCGATCCTGGTGCTTTGGCTCCTGCTCCTTGGCCTTGATTGGCATTAAGCTCCAGAACGCCACAAGACGACCGACTTTCGGTTGAACCGGACCAAAGTTGGGGCGGTTTTCCAAGACATTGCCCCGACCGGAACTGCTCACAGCCTTGGCCGTCGAGCCTGTGGAGGCCACAGCAAGTCTGGCCATTGGTATCTCAAGAGAAGGAGAGGCTGGGGGCTTGATAGTTGTTGGGGGGACATGGGGGAACTCACGAAATCCCCATGAGAACCAGGGAGACTCACTAAATCTCCCATGCCTTTCTGGGGAAGCCAGCAATTTTGACTGTTGCTCATGTGAATTTGGATCATGTTGCAAATGGATCCTTCGCCGCTTGGCCCCCGAGCCAAATGCCAACTGCCAGTTGTTTACTTCATTTCGGATGTTGACACCTCAAGTCCAAATTCTGAGCGAGCTACTCCATGATCACAATACACAGTGTGGCGCTGCCACACCCGAATCTTGTTTGTGGAAGCAGCAGAAGCAGCCATGGCGCCGAAAGAACAGAGCTTTGACATGCAACAGCTTTGGTGCGTACGATCCAAATGGAAGCCATTGTCCGTTTTCTTTGGGACCCTTTCGAATCTGGCTTGCAAACCGGGTAATGTTGACCCCATATTAATAGACCCCTGCTTATTAATTATTAATCTGTGGGTGTCCCCGGTTTTAGTGGAGGTTCTCGGGGTTCTCGCCAAGCTCAACCCGTTTCGCCCATCTCACCAAGCGAAACATGTCTCGCGGATCAGGAGAAACGGACGGCCCGGACGAGCCGCTTCGATCCCAGGTTCCTCTGCAGCCTCGCCTGGAGTTTCATCTTTGGGCCCATGACCTGAGCGATTCCGAGGTCGACGAGCCGAAGGCCCTGCGCGGTTAGCTGGGTGCACCCCTTTTGGGGTTGGACGCAAGAAACCGGTTAGTAAACCCTTTTGGTTTACTTTTAAAAGCATTTAGCAAGGGTACCAACTCCAAAAAATGGGCAGACCCAAATGCCATGGCCAGCTCGTATGGCCTCCGGCTGGCAAAGGAGACGTCCGAGTTGTCGTTTCACCATTGCGGTCGAAGGCCGCAAAAGTTGGCGGAGGAAGAGGTTTGCTTGCAGATGGGCTTGTCTCAAAGGCCTCACACATTGCGAGCTCGTTTTCGGAGCTCGTTTTCGAGGAACCGCGCAAAGGGTGGGAAGAGATGCCCAGATCAAGCTGTGAGCGCGCCGCGGCAGCTTGCTGCTGTGTCAGTGTTCATACCAAGCCCTGGCAGCCTTCGCTGATAGCACATGCGAGTCGATCTTTTCGTCCTGTCTTGCCTCATTCTGGAGAGACCATTCATCATCAAGGGGTTTCTCCGATTCTCCTTTGCATAGCAACGCCCAAAGCGATCGACGAAGCTGCGCTTGGAAGGGTGAACGAAGGAGAAAATCCGAGCGCGCCGTTCACATCAGATGTGCTTCTTAAAATCGCTCCCCACATTTCACTGTGCCGCAAATCTGCAGGACAAGAGGGCAGCGTGTCGCTTTTCTTGAACTAGTAAGAGAATCGACATTGAACGAGAGTTGGTTCAGCCTCAAACTGAACGAGAAAACACGTTGGATGACTTTGAGTCGAGGAAGGCCGAATCTTCTGCCACCGGAGCTGTGGGTTGAGGTCAGCTTTATGCACGACTCCCTGGGGCTTCATCGCATCTCCAACCCCAGCACGGAGGAGGCCGGAACTCGATGTGTGAAGGGAGGCGAACCGGGCCCAGGTTGAAGCCGAAAGGGGATGCGCACCCCCACCTCCCTCAGGGGTCCCGAACTAAACATACATATACATATATATATATATATATATGTATGAATGATTAATGCACATATACGAATCTATATTATTATTAATAATATTAGTATTAGTATTAGTATTATTACTACTATACTAATATTACTAATACTATTATTATTACTATTGTTAGCATTATTATTATTACCATCATTTTTTATTATTATTACTATTAGAATTAGTATTGTTATTACTATATATATATATATCCCTTTTTCGGTAATTTTTAGGACATCACATGTTTGACCCAAAGTGGTTGCTATTTTCAGGGGAACCTTTTTGGCAGCCCCGTGCCCCTCCCCCAAAAAGACCCGACCTTGACTTTCTCAAGGGCTCTGAAAAACACAACGCAAAAGAACACAAAACCAAGGGGGGGCATTTGGTCGGCAAACGGAAACTGAAGGATCAATTGCGTTTGGGTAGGCCCATACCCCATACCCCCCCACCCCACGATGTGCCCCGTAAATACGGGGACCTGAAAATGAGTGGTCCGCACCTCATCGAATCGATGCCTCATCGCCTCACCCCGAAACTATGGCGCAGCCTAAGCCTTGATAAGCCAGACGCGCAAGATTCACCGGCTTATGAATTTACAGGGCTTCATCCATCCCAACTGCTTGGAAGTTGTTTTGTAACCAAAAAGACATGTTGACTCATGGTTTGCTCCTATCATGAGAGGTCTATCCTTGTTGGTTGGTTCTCCACTTTTTGGCACGGCATGACATTTGTTTCGTTTTGGATGGTCATGGATTTCCTAGTTTTAGGGATGGCCATGGACTTCCTAGAGACAACCAAGTCTGCCGTGACCCACACTCTAAAGAATTTTACATGGGCCACTGTTATGGGCCATTATTTTTGTGGTTTGCTGGCCAGAGAGACGATAGTTCCAACGAACGCAAATCTGCAAGTTTGATTTCAGCAAAAGGGCAACCAAGGACCCAAACACCTGAGCTCCCAAAATAGGGGCCCATTCAGGAAACTGTCTGTGCCAGTGGGTTTCCTGAATGGGCCCCTATTTTTGGGACCGGGGTTTGGGGGCTTGGCACGAAGAGTCCCAATGGAGTTGGAACCTTTCAAGATTGCTGTCGTCAAAGGAGTTATGACCATACCGCAAATGCAAGTAGACCAACCATGCTCAACACAAGCATGGTATATTTCTGTAGATTTGAGGGTTCCTGCTTCTTCCACTTGCAATATTTCGGTCCACCTTGCAGGCATTCGCGGATTCAGGGCATCCCAGGGATCAACCGTCACCTGACTTCGGGTAGTTTATCAACCAGTATTCAAATCGGGCTTGATCCATACCAACTGGTGTGGATTGTGCAGGCTGGCTTCCCGCACCACTTTGACACCATGGGAAACCATTGGTAGTTGGTATTTACAGGTGAATCAGCATTCCAGAGTTTCTGACGTCAGGCTTTCGTCCGTGCCTCTTTGAGGTACCCTTTTTTTGGGTGGGTATAAAGGTAGGATTTCGTCCATCCACAGTGACTTTTTTGCCACATGGGTGTGGGTCATGCCTCCATGGGGCGGATGAACACCCATGTCCACCTATTTTGATGTTCACTAGGGGTACAGGGTTTTGACCCACAGCCACATTTCCAGAACCTCACACACCGCTGGCAGGTGGCGGTGTCTCTGCACATCTACTCCCCGCCCTTCCGGGAGTGCCTGGTCTTCCCCCCCGGCGGAGCACCCAAGCGCAAAGCCCCAGTTTGGAAGGGTCTTACGGACGTACGTACATATAGCATATATATCTATATGTATATGTATATGTATATGTATATGTATATGTATATGTATACGTGTATGTAATATATATATATACATTCTTAGAGTGCAGATTGTTTTTTTGTGTGCTGAACTCTTGCGCTCAATGCCAGACAGCATGTTCTCGACATGCAGCCTATGTCATTCAGTATTCTGCGATTGTGATAATGGAATCTTACTCAAATCGTGACAGTATTCATCTCGAAACCTTTTCACTTTGTTTGCTGTGCATTCCACACGTACACCTACAGCACATCCCGGAGAACAATCAGCCACACCTGCAACATCTGGGGTTTTTAGGGGTGCTTCCACATTATCGAAAATGGACACTGCATCATACCCTTGCAGTTTCCATGCCCACTTTCCAATCATGAACATGGCTTCGGTTGATTGGAGGCCTTCCCCAATGGTCAGCATGTTCGAGCCGGACTCGGCGCCCAACGAAAAGGCGCGAGCGATCTCCGTCGGCTGTTTTTGTCGGAGGCCGCGGGGAACAAACAAGAACCGGGGGCCGCGGAAACGGTTTTGTTTTGGTTTTTCGGGTTAGAAAGTTGGGGAAAATACGGTTTTGGGTGGCCGGGAATCCCATTGGTATCAGAAAGGCTGAACAATCTCACAGCTGGCGCCTTGTTTGGGCGCTGTGTTTGGGGGGAGAGCTGGCCAGGTGGCAGCCGACAGCAACATCATCAGCTTGTGGGGAGCCCAGTTCCGAAAACGGCTCGCTCCGGAGCCCATGAGAGGAGCCAAGGGGAGCCCTGTAAATGGCTACAGTAGCAGCTATTTGATTCTGGAACTGAAGTAGCTCATGCAGAAGTTCAAAGTCAAATGGATGGTCAGTTTGGGTCCTCTTTGTGTTTTTCTCGTGGGGGGGGGCTTGTGATCACCATAGTGTGCATGGACAAAATCCTGCACCATTGGAAGGTGATTTATCCGAGTATCTTTTGGTGCCGGATCCATCCCAACTGGTGCAGGATACTGAAAGCTTCGAATCGGGGTGCGATGAGATCTGATTCGATTCCGGCCCGAGGCAGAGCTTCTGCGATCAACTCAGCGGGCTCAAAAACTCTGAGGCCGGCAAATTCACAAGGGTCCCTGTATTTCCCCCTTTTTGTGGTCTCAAACAACACCTTTTGGCCCAAGAAAGGTGAGTTTCCCTTGGCAGAGGTGATGTTTATCCGGAAATATGGGGAGCCCTGGTGCATGTTGAAGCTTGATCGGAGTTGCACATTCAAAGGAGATGGGAGTCTTGTTTTTCTCCCGAGAGGCCGTTCTTATTTTTATTCCCAAGCGTCCGGATGAGTGACCAACCATGTCAAGGTTACATACTCATCTCCAGCGAGGCTTGCAAGTCGATGTGCTAGTTTCTTTGGTATTGGTTTCAGTAGATGATGTTTGATTTCGCATTTCTTTGGCTAGAAGCAAATCTTATAATTGTTTGGCGTTCTTCTTTTTTCTTTCCTTAGTGTAAACAAGGGTCAGCTAGTATGCCCATGACTTGGGTGCTAGCTGATTGCATTGCACAGGTTAGCACAGCATTTGCCGGGGGGATCGATGGTTGGCCCCACATGTCAGGAGCTTCAGCATGCTTGGTATTTTCCGCCGCTTCCGCCGCTTCCGCCGCTTCCCGGGGGTTCCTTCGCTTTGTGAAGCGTGCGTCGCCCCCGCGCCTCGCGCGCCGCGCGCGGCGCGAAGCGGGAAGCGGCGCGCGGTGAGGACAAAGACTCCCAAAGCCAGCTGCACGCCATCCTGGACCTGCTGGTCTCCGCGGAGATGACGGATCTGGAATGGGCGCTTTGGACCCGAAGCGGGCCAGGGTTCAGCGGATTCGGGGAAAGGTCCAGTTTCGAGGAGTTTTGGGTGTTGGAACCAGCGCACAGGTTTGGTGGAGCTTCTTTTTTTCCACGAACTGTGCCCAAAGGGTCCCTAAAGTTCAGTTATCACACTCAGGTCCCGAGCTGGGGATTTTGAACCCCTAGTTCCGATGGAAAACAGATGGGAGGACACCCTAGAACCCCTAAACCACCAATCCAAACCATCAATCGAGGGTTTCAAAAGACCATGGGTTGGCTTGTGATACGGCATTGATGAACCCTTGGAAGGGACGGCGAATGGTGAAAACTAGTCATGGGCCATGGTCATTGTTCCCCTGCAAGGAATCCTTACAAAGGTTGTCTCAAATTCCTACACAAGGCTCCACGATCATCCCTGCGAATCTAAGTTACATGTGTCTTTTGACCGGGGCAGTCATGGCAAAGCGAGCTTGTAGGATTCTGCGAATGGGTGTCTTTTCATGGAACCTTCCTTTTGGTAGGTTATAAAGGGGCACCACAACCAAGCCAACTGTTTCTCTTTGGTTTTGGAGGGGAATTCCCTCCTTTCGAGACCGCAAATGATCATCACCAAGCGTTGCTTAAGCGATCGTGGGGCGCCCGCTTCGCCTCAAGGAATCCAAGAGCCCTCCAGAGGGATAGGGTATGCGCAAAAGGTCCATGACCGCCACGCTTTGGCAGACTTGCGTTTGCCCCCTTGCTTTTTTGAATACATATGTGTACATATATATATATAGATGTATATAGATATGGTCAGGTATATAAAAAAAGTACATATACATAGTTTACAGCCTCAATGACGGATATATCCTCCACAGCTCCCAAGCCCCCAAGCTGCCTGAGGCCTCTTATGCGAGCCCCGCGCATTTCAGCGAGCCTGGGGCCCAGGGCTTGGGGCAAAACGACGAAGATTTCGTAGATGGTTCCTTCCATGGTTCCCTTCAAAGCCATGCAGCCGATGGCCGGTTCGTTTCACCCTCCGAGTCACCAATCTGTGGGCAATGGCTCACCTGGCTCTGCATCAGTATGTGACACCGGGGCCTCGAGTTTGAGTAGTGGGGATTCACGACTTGAGGGGAGCACCCTAAAAATAGGACGGGTTCTACTTAGATCCGGGGTCAACATTAAGTTCCAAAAGCCAAAGTCGATCACCCCACAGTTTTTCTGCCTCCCTTGTTGCTCCAAGCCGATCGCCGTGTTCAGGTTCTACCCGGTGCAGCACATCATCCACTGCGCAGTGCTTACAACAGGGAAGGTCAGAGGTTGCTAAGGACAAGACCCTAGAGTCAAATCCCGATCCCGATGAACCCAACCCCCACAACCATTGTTAAGAAGAGATACGAACTGCTCTCAAGGTAAAACAAGCCTTCCCATGAAGCTCGCTTTGTGATGGACACCTTAAGTCAGGCTGGGGAAATACAATTGGTGCAGATACAACGTACTTCTTCCGGAGCAAACGGAGAGGGGGGGGGATTCCCCAGCCCTGGTACGGTTGGACCACCATTCCTGTGGTGGAGTTGGCACCAATTGCGATCCGCTTCGCAGCAGTTGGGATTGGTGGTTTGTCAAGCATTCAAATCGGGTTTCATCCATTAGCTGGTGCGAAGTGGATCATATCCACAGTATCTCCCACAGTCTGTTTGGGATTGTCTCCAAAATAGGGGAACTCTCCAAAATACGTGGCTTCTGTTGGTTTCCCGGAGCGACGGGTTTCCAGGTGACGATGAGTTCTCCGTAGTCATCACTTGCTGGAGCCGGGTCCTCTGCCGGCCTGTGAAGGTTTGGTTTCGGGGTATCTTTTTTGCGGGGTACTTGTTTGTGTGGTGTCATAAAGGACACCCAAACGACAACTTGTCTTTCCTTTTTTTGTTGGGGGGGGGGAGGTCCGAATCCCAAGAACGACACACACATGTTGGTTCTCAGTGTTCTCCAGCAAAAAACGGCACCCAGATTTCCGCCGTGCAACCTTCGAGAAACGCCCACAGGCTAACTGAGTGTGTCGTCCAACGTTGCTTCAACGTAAATGTTTGGTGGGGTTTGAACATGGAGCCAAAGGGCACAGCCGTCTGGTTTCAAGTTTTGGGCTTGTGTTTAAGCGTTTGAGGGGTTGTCAACCTGAGGGGCCTTTCAAAAGGGCACCAGGGTCCGAAAACAGACACCACCCGTCGTCAGCGTCGGATTCAGGTTCCGCAGCAGCTAAGAGTCTTTGCTTTGGCCATTCTTTGCACCAGTTGGTGCTTCATCCCACTTGTTCAATATCTTCCTGGGGCTGCCATCCATTTTTTTTGCGGGGGTTTGGGGGGGGGGGGTGGCGTCCAGTAGTCAGGTGGCATTTGCGATGTCCAAGGGGTTCTTATCCGCCAGGCCCTGGCCAGAAGGTGCCGCCTCACACCGTGGGCCGAGGCAGGTGGGGAGGTGAGTGCCACTTGTTGATGGTGCAGCCCTGGAAAACCGGGGATGGTTTACAAAAAATGAGAGAAAGAAGAACTCAACGTCCTTTTCCAATCAAGGAAGGTTGAAGAAAGAAGGAGGTTGCAAAATAGACTTGTGTCCATGATACCTGTTGGAGGGGGGGGGGTGGAGGAGCCTGTTTGGGAGTAGGTGGTATTGTTGAAGCCAACGTGGATCTTCCAGGTGCCAGATTGTTGCAGAGCCCGTATTTCGGTAAGGAAGCACCACCCATCTTGAAGGGGTCCCGCTATTTTGACGCAGACCTATGTCTCGAAACGTGTCTAACCGAAAGGTTTTGGAGTGTCTTGCCCAAGGCAAAGCAGTTGAGGCCTTTGAGTCTTCTTTGAAACATTGCCTTGGTGTTCCTTCATTTTCCTTTCAACCCACTTTTGTCACTGAGTTTGGCCAAGAGCACTTTGGTTTGGCTACTTTGAGAGACACTTCTGATGCGTTTTGAGTCCTAGCGAAGGTTTTGCTTGCTTGATTCTGGGCGTTTTGTGACAGTTTTTAGAATGAGCCAAATGTTTGAAAGGAACGCCACAAAAAGCAATTCTGAGAACCATCAAAATGGGGGTCTTTTTTTGAGGGTACCCCCTGTTGGTGCGTTTTCAAGTTGGAAACTAAAGGACACCGTTGCCATTTTGGGGTCCAAAAAAAACACAACAAAACCACCTCTTTACTTCAAGGACCCCGGTTACGTGGCGCTTCTTCGAGCTGATGCCCTCCCCCCCTTCCCCCAATTTGGCGAAATGGTGAGCGCTCACATTGACCTGGTTTTGCTTCCACCATGGTCGGAACCGACTGTTTGTTGTTTTACTTACTTGGGTTGGGGCTTAACCCTGGCTGGCTGGCGGATAGTTATGAAGGCTTTTCTTGGGTTTCACTCTAAACTTCATGACACCAGGTGGTAGAACAGGATGGTGTTGCGATACGGTCCCTTTGGAGTCGAGCGGACTGGCCGGCGAATCGGATCTTTCAGCCTCTGAAATAGTTGCCGTCCTTGAGTTCGCACATCTCTGCGGGAACCAGTGAGTCATCCCTTTCTTGCTAGTGTCTTTGTTTGCTTGTTTGTTTGTTTGCTTGCTAGCTTGCTAGTGTCTTTGTTTGCTTGTTTGTTTGTTTGCTTGCTAGCTTGCTAGTGTCTTTGTTTGCTTGTTTGTTTGTTTGCTTGCTAGCTTGCTAGTGTCTTTGTTTGCTTGTTTGTTTGTTTGCTTGCTAGCTAGCTTGCTAGTGTCTTTGCTTGCTTGCTTGTTTGTTTGTTTGCCTGCTAGCTTGCTAGTGTCTTTGTTTGCTTGTTTGTTTGTTTGCTTGCTAGCTTGCTAGTGTCTTTGTTTGCTTGTTTGTTTGTTTGCTTGCTAGCTTGCTAGTGTCTTTGTTTGCTTGCTTGTTTGTTTGCTTGCTAGCTTGCTAGTGTCTTTGTTTGCTTGCTTGTTTGTTTGTTTGCCTGCTAGCTTGCTAGTGTCTTTGTTTGCTTGCTTGCTTGCTTGTGTGTTTGTTTGTTTGCCTGCTAGCTTGCTAGTGTTTGTTTGTTTGCCTGTTAGCTTGCTAGTGTCTTTGTTTGCTTGCTTGCTTGTGTGTTTGTTTGTTTGCTAGCTTGCTAGTGTCTGTGTTTGCTTGCTTGCTTGTGTGTTTGTTTGTTTGCCTGCTAGCTTGCTAGTGTCTTTGTTTGCTTGCTTGCTTGTGTGTTTGTTTGTTTGCCTGCTAGCTTGCTAGTGTCTTTGTTTGATTGCTTGCTTGCTTGCTTGCTTGTGTGTTTGTTTGTTTGCCTGCTAGCTTGCTAGTGTCTTTGTTTGCTTGCTTGCTTGTGTGTTTGTTTGTTTGCCTGCTAGCTTGCTAGTGTCTTTGTTTGCTTGCTTGCTTGTGTGTTTGTTTGTTTGCCTGCTAGCTTGCTAGTTTCAACTTTCAGGGTTGCTCGGAGCTTGTGGTCCATGGCTTAGCGAGAATCGCCGTCAGGCCGCATGATGTGGCTGAAAGTGCGGCCCTCAGCCCAGCCTCAGGTGGTGAGAATCGCAATCTGAGCTGTCTGAGGTGATGCAGGGGAATCTCCTCTTCCAGGCCGTCCAGAAAGAAGCACAAGCAGTCATCCGACTTTTTCTGTTGTCCAGGCTGTCCCCTTTTCGCTGCCCGGGCGTAGAGTGTTCGACGGTCAACCTAAAAGAGCCCCAAACCAATACTAAGCCAAAACCAACACCCTAAACCTCGCATTTCAGTGCTTCCCAGAAACTAACATGGGCGCTGGACTAACGCTACTTTTCCTCCACCACAAAGCTAGTCTCAATCTCAGCTGCAAAAACCTACCGGGGGAAGTGCCGAGTCCAAATCTCCCTGTCACCAGAAAATTCCGCATGTCTCACAGCAAGTTTGGCCAAAGAGTAAAGAAGTTTTTTTCTACTGTCCAGAAGGGTTAGAAGGGTTGCAAGCTGGATTGCAACAAGTGGATCTGCTTTTTTCCCATTCGCGTAGGAGTTCTCGCCTGGCCTCTTCCCTTGGGAGAGCGACGTGCTGGGCTCAGGAAGTCAGGGGGGGGTGCAGATCCACGGGATTCAAGGGATCGACACTACTGGAAAACGGGGCTCTCCTTTTTTTTTGGCGCAGCTTTGCGGCTGCTTCTGTGAGACCCTGTTGCAAGTGTTTTACGGAAGCAAGTCAGCTTCTACGCCCCCCTAAGAGGAGCTGCTGCGGATGGACAAAATTCAATTCGCACCAGTCCGAATGCATGGAGGGAAACCCGCACCCAGTTTGGTCGGATTCCAAGGGATGAAGGGGTGACCACTGTCTTTTGTGTTCAACAGGATCTTTTGGTTTTATGCAGCCATGCCCCCTTTCTAGTTGGCAGTCGTGGCTTCCAGCGACCTGTGCATTGCAACAGCTCGCCCGCACTGTACGCGCACGCCTTTTTGGTACCGGTTTTAGCCGAAGCCCGGCAAAGGTGCTTCCTTTTTTTGGTGGCCTCTCTCACTGAAATGTTGCAACTACTTGAGACAGTTCCCTGCAAACCTGTGTATCTTGCTTGCGTTGAAGTTTGCAAGGGAACCCTAGGTTCTTGGGGGCCCCACCCCACCCCGTTTTGAGCTTTTGTGGGGTTCCCCGACAAAACCCAAATTGTCGAAGTGTCAACCCAGCGGACATGAAACTGGGACCCTGAAAGCTGGCCACGCCAAGGCCCACCTCAGAAAACACACCTAAGAGAAGAAAGACACACACACATGTTGGCAATGTTTGGTTTCCCTTGGGTTCCCTTGGAGCATTGGGCGGAGCGCCATTTTCTCTTACCGGTCCCTTTGTTGTGGGGTTCGGAGCCAGGTGGAGCGGTCCACGGAGCTGGGGGAGGGTTCCGCAAGCTTCCTGGAGGCGAGTGTGGGTGTGGGTTGGAGTTGGGTTGGGGGGTGGGGGTGGGTGGTGGGGTGTTTTTTTCTTGGTTGGGGGTGTGGGTGGGGTGGGGTGGTGGGGTGGTTTTCAGGTTGTGGGTTGGGGTGTGGGGTGGTGGGGTGTTTTTCCCCAACGGCTGAAAGCTTTGGGGTCGTCCGGGGCGGCCCAGGTTCCACCAGGGTTCCACTGAGATTCCACCCGGGTTTCACCAGGGTAAGTTTCCACAAGGCTTCCAGCAGAATTCTGCGGTGTCCGGGGGCGGCGTTCCACGAGGGTTCCACCAGGTCTGCAAGGGGCAGGGTGGTCGGGGGCGGCCCTGAGGTAAGGTTCCACGAGGGTTCCACCAGTTCCAGCAGGGTTTCACCAGGGTTCCACGAGGGGTGGTGCGGGGTGGCTGTGTAAGGTTCTACGATATTTTTACCAGGGTTCCACCAGTTCGTTTCATTCCACAGGGTCCCACAAGCTTTCCACAAGGGTTCCACAAGGGTTCAAGCAATCCATAAGGGTTCCGCAAGGGTTCCATAAGCGTTCCACACATTCCGCAATTTTCTGTCATTATTTGAGATCACTTTGTTCATGGGGAACACTAAGCAAAACCGAAAAACATTGGTTTTGAGCACGCATTTTCACTGCATAGCCTTGCTCACGGGCTCAGACACTGCGGCCCGAAAGGATTTGTGGCAAATCAGATCTGGTTGCTGCGGGGCGCATTGCCCAGCAAAGTAAATGCTTGGCATTACCTTTTTTGCTTGGCGGGGGGTTGTAAGGGTTTCACAAGGCTGCGCGACGGTAAGGCTCCACAAGGTTCCACAAGGCTCTACAAGGGTTCCACAAGTGAGTTTCATGAGGCTTCCACCAGAAAGAGGTTCCACAACAGTTTCACAGTGGTTTTACGAGGGTTCCATGAGCACGAGGGCAGCAGCGTTGTCAGGTCGGGGCCTGGTTGCGCCGGGCCCGATACTGTGAGGCCGCATCCCCATCAAAACCGGTGTTAACCGATCGGTTGGTGGGAGCCCCGCTTGATCGGGCCCGGGTCGGGGCCTGATTGCACCGTCTGCTAAATTACACAGTGACCGCTCCGGGAAATCAGTTTTACGCGCCAGGTGCTGGCAGGTTCCTTCACATGACCAAGGATGTGAAACTGTCACTGCCCGCTGCCCACCGTGCCCAGTATTTTTCATTTTTTGTGTAACTTGTATGAAACAATGCAGCCGGGCATATTTGATCGCTAAGCTCAGGAAGGCGTTTCGGTTTCAATTGTTGAAGCCAGTAACCCAACATTTTATAGCTTTAGGGTTTAGGGATCCATTTAATTTAGGAGTTTGTGGCCCAAACCCGCTTGCAACCAAACGTGTACTGCTGTTGGACTACTGGAAGGTGAGTGTAGACACCAAATGGCCAAGGTGTTAGCTTGAGGGTCGGTTTTGTGCGTGTGGGAAGGCGTGCCTGAGTATTTCATAGCTTCTGCTTTGAGCATGCTGGAAGACTTGAGTTCGTGAGTCAGGTTGATGCTTCAGGGCAAGGTTTGTGCGGTGCGCACCGTCGTGCGGCCGCGATTGGGCCCCGATGCGCCCGATCGGGCCCCGATTGTGTGTCGGGCCCGATCAAGGCGCGATTGCATTGTGACGCTTAGCTTTGCTTTATAAAGTTACAGGCGGCATCCTAAGCAAAACCAGCGGTGAGCTGGCTTGGATTGGCGGTTTGCAGTTCCCGGGCTGCTCCGGCCGGGGCCCACTTGCACTGTAACCAGGTTATGGGAAGCCACTTCAATCACCTTTTTGGGTTTGGTTGCCATTCCGCCAACAGCACGCTTTACGTAGCTCTGGCCCGTTGACTCAGGTGTCTTTGGCCTACGAGCACGAGCTGCCGCCTGACCTGCTGACGGAGCTCTGGGGCAGGCCGCGAGACGTGGTGCTACAACTCCGGGAACCCGTGCGCTGGGGTGGGTCAGCGAACCTCGCTGAAAGCTGCCCGGCGGGGGGCTGTGGCGCGGTTCAGCGAGCGCATGCTGCCGGCTGGTACCGCCACAAGCCCATCCACGTGAGCTTTTGAGCGGCCTTTTCCGTTTCACCCCAACTCGAACTGGCCAGCAGGACTTATCCATAGACGCCGCCGTCCATTTCAAAGTTCCCCTTTTCCGTTTCAAGTGGTGGGTGGGTGCGGGGTGGGGTGTTGGGGTTGGGGTGGGGTGTGTGTGGGGTGGGGTGGCGCACATCCATATAGATATACATTTGCATATGCAAATGGCATGCACATACACTCGCACAAACAGTTGAGCCAAAACAACCCCCCCCCTGGGTGACAAGCCACAAATGCAAACCTGGGCCTTGAACTTACCATACTGAGGCACCAAGGCATTGAGGCGCTTGCGCCTCTCACAGGTGTCATTGCCAGACTTGGCCGATCTTTCGACCCTGGAAGGTGTCCTTGATCTTCTCCTCGCTCCCTGAATTCATGGACATTTTGGGGAAACCAACCAGTTTAAAGCGAAGGCAAAAGACAATCTCACTCCCTGAGTTCTTGGACTTCAGTCACCTGTTTGGGCTTGGTTTCCCTAAGGTTGGGGGTTGCGGGGTGGGGGGCTGGTGTGGGCTGGATGTGGGTGGGGGTGTGTGGGTTGGGGTGTCTGGAAAGCCGAAACTTCTAATTACACAAGTAGTACATGAAGTAAACTTTGACTGCTCTAGCTGGAAAACGGCAACTTTGAGCGCGAAGTACACTTTTGCAGCTCTGGCTGGAAAATTGCAACTTTTGAGTACGAAAGTAGATCGCAAATTTCAAGCACGAAAGTAGTATGCGAAGTTTACTTCCGCAGCTGCGGTTGGAAAATCGCAACTTTTAAGTACGAAGGTGTGTTACGCGAATAGAGGAATCTCGCGCCAACGGCCTGCTCAGAGCAACTTGCTGAGAGAACTTGCTTAGAGAACTTCCCGCCGCTGCTAATGCTTTCGGGGGTAGTGTGGTGGTGTGGTGGGGGAGTGGGGCTGTGGTGGGGGGTTGGTTGGGCTGGGCTGGGTTGGGTTGAGTTGGATTGGTTGGTGGTTGGTTGGTTGGTTGGTGGTCTGTAGGTTTTAGGTTTGTTGTTTTGGTTCTGCTCATGCTTCGTGGGGGGGGGGGGGGGGGGGGGGCAGCAAAGAAGTTTGTTGCTACGAGACCAAGATAGACTGGTAACTTGTTGTAGTTTCACGTGAGCCCTTGGTGGTTGGTGGCATGACGACGGGACTGAGGAGAGTTTTTGTGAGGATGATGGTTGGTTGGTGAATTGGGACGAGTCTTGGTGACAATACATGGAGATTCGACTAGATTCGTTGAAAAGATCTTATTTGAACTGGATGGAACGCAGGGTTTTATACAGGGTAGGGGGCGGTTAAATTCTCCAACGAATCAAGATGTCCGTGGTTCATACCGTGCTACTACTTCGCAGACTGCCAGGCAGACTGGGGGCAGCGCAAGACATTGCCTTGAAACTTTGTGCCATGGGTTGCGCGGTCTCTTTTTCCTGCAGGTCACCTTGCCAAGGGATCATAGGCTGTACTTGGAGTTGCTGGATGGAGCAAAAGGGATTTGGAGGAGGCAGAAGGTATATACACCCTTTCTCGCATGGAAATTGCGAAGATCCCTTAAAGAGAAAGATGAATTCCAGGAGCCTCCAGTCAGCGCAGTCAGGTTGCATGTTCGTGGGAGCGTTTTGGCACATAACTCCGAATCTGTATTTAGTCGATCCTTTTTTGCCGAACGCCTTTGAGAGAAACCGAACTCCAAAACTGGGCGCCAGTTCCCAGGAGTGCGGAGCAGCGCCCTCGGCTCTTCGATTCGGCGAACAGTTGCAGCCGAATGGGGGTTGATAAGGGGATGATAGGAATCGGAATCCCGAGAATGGGTGGTTTCCTGTTGGTTTCCATTTCGAACCATACCAAAACAGCACCCTCAAAAACCCACAATATGTTGTCTCACAGGAATAGGCACCGCCGAAGGGTACCAACTCTTCAACAGACACCGACACCTGTGTGCTTTTTTCTTTGACTCTCGGGCTTTCCGTTTCAGGTTGATAAGGAAGATAGGTCACGGGAATGAGCTCGCAATGACCCCGATTCCGTCAGTTTCCTGGATCCACAGGCAGGGCACGGAATGTGTGTGTGTCCAAATGGGAGACCATTTCCTGAAATGGCAACGGTTTCCTTACACGGTTCCCTTCAAGCTGAAAAAGCGGGTGCCATCATACCAGGTTTCATAATTACCAGGAATGCACAAACTTGAAATGCGGAATACTCTTGAGGAACCCTCACTACGGGACGACGGGTGAGCTCTTTTTACGCCCAGATGCCAGTTACAGCTTGCAAAGATAGCAGGGGTCCTACATTCAGCCTCAGCACTGAAAGTAGTTTGGGCAACAGACTCAGAGCATTCGCTGGAATGAACCCAGTCTTGTCAAACCTGGTATTGTTTTGCGCAAAGCGGACACAGCCATCGTCGAAGGGAAGTCCAAGCTATTCAAAAGGGTGAGCCCTTGTAGATTTCCCCTTCTTTTAGGTTTCCCTATGTGGGTGTCATTTTTCCGTGGACCCCCAAATGCTGGTTTTCCTTTTGGTTTCCCTTGAACACCAGCTCAAAAAAAGGACTCCCCTCCCCCTATCTGTTTTCCCCTTTTGGGCATCCCCCTTTTGGCGCCCGAAGCGAGGTGCGGATGCACGACCTGAAGAACCTCAGTGACACCCAGCCGGCCGTCACAGCCCAGTTCTTAGCTGGCCGGGGGGAAGCAACCGCGGGTTTGGTACTGTGGTTGCGAAACCCATTTCACACCATCGTTCCCTGGTGTCTGCTTCGATTCCCCTGTAAATACCAACGAACAATGGCTTCAACCATGGTTTCTTAGGTGGTGCAGGATTTCTTCCAGTGGGGAAAGCCGGTTTCGTACTTGTTTCTTCCCAAGGTCGACTTAAACCGCGCCAAGGGAGTGTGGTTGATTCGGCGGTTTTGGGGCCACCCTCAGAAAAAATCCCAGACTTGTTCTTTTGGGAGTTTTGTAGGTAGTCTGTGATTTAAGTATGCTAAACCAGGGTTCCGTTTGTGTACCAGGGTGGTGGATTTCCCAAAAGGGGAAGCTTAATCCCAAAATGGTGAGAGCAATAGATCAACGATTTGAACTGGAGCCTTTTTGTTCGTTTAGAATTTGGCTATGGTGTACTTGAAGACCAACACTGGTCCCATGATCACATAATCATGCGCTTTATCGACAGCGCAGGATGCAAGGCCCCAAACAGGTTGCCAGTTCCCTCTAAAAAACGAGCATTGCCCCCGGGGTACATTGACACCCAGCTGTTGGTTTCGTGAGTCTATCTTGGGGCAAGCCAGTCTCGATGCGGCGGACTCATTGCCGAATGCCAGAAGGATCCAACCGAGTGGCCCATGGCTATGGCCATGGTCTTTCGCTTTGGGAAGTGCAGATTTGGCGCCATGCAACATATGCAACGTGCACTTGGCCATACTGGACGAGGTGCTGCATTGCGCTGCGTGCGTCGGAGCATCCATGAACTGAAGGCTGAGGATCAACTGCGGCGCTTGAGCGCCGCTGTTTGAGGCTTGCCTCCAGCTACCAAATGAGGCTGGCGTGCAAGATGGCAGCAGCATGGTTGCCATCGAGGAGCACGTCAACCCGCACCAACGGTAAATATACATGCTGCCAGATCTGTCACATTCCCCAAAAGAGCCCCTGTAAAATAGATTGCATATGGCTAGCTCAAGGAGCACACAAATCAAAATGGGCGAGGGTGTCAACAACTAGGCCCGGTTTGGACCATGACACTTCGTACCGCCTTTTCAACGGTTCCTCTATAGTTTTGACAACCCCCCCAATGTGCTCCCCACAGTCCTCTCCTTTGAACGCCTTGCGCTGAGATTCAAGTCTTCTCTCCGCCTCTCACATCGCCCGGCACTCAGCTCATCAGCTCAGCTCATGCGATTGTGGTGAGACCCCTCTGCCATGTGAGCTGTCAAATCCACCTTAGGCATAGTTACGGGACCCCTGTAAATCTTGGTTGATCAATCACCAATCAGCTGGCACGAAGCGTACTTGGCCCTTTGAAGCGCTCAGCCACCGCTGAATACCGGGAAATGTCTGTCACCACTTGAATGAACCCCATAACAGTTGTTGTAAACCACCAACCCCAACTGGCGCCGATTCGCTTGGATTTTCTCCATCCACAGTGTCACCCTCCCAACCCCGCACCAAACACACCTCTGGAAAAGTTGAGTTTGAGCTGTGCGTTTGGTGTCTGTGTGTGTGTGTGTGCTTGCCGGCCTGCCGCAGCGGAGGTTTACCTTCCACTCAGAGAAGGGCACCGAAAGGAAGGATCTCCCACGACTGGTAGGGCAGGATCGCCGGGTCGACGGGCCACGTGCGGCTCATGCTGAAACCACAGGGTGTTCGGTGGATTTCCCCTGCTTCGCAATCCCTTGAGGCAGGGTTCCCTTCAACATCTGCAGGAGAAGTTGTTCTTTTCGCCGACCCGGGCATGCAGCCTGATCATGTGGTTGATCAAAAGGTTCTTTCTTTAACAGGGTATGACCATTGACTGGAAAACCACGAAAAAAGATATGATTTCTCCATGGGGGGCCCTCGATCTTGCAGTGCCACTCCTTACTCAGGCCATTTGGGGGCCGAAGGGAATATTATTCGCAACTTTCCTGTCATGCCTTGGAGCCGAAAAAAAGCATCACTGTATGCTGATGTTCCCTTGGCATCCACCGGATTTGTCAGGGAATTGGCTCGGGACATCTGGTCTGGATGTGCTTCTTTGGGTACCCGTTATTTTTGCTTTTTGGCGCAGATGTTCCATTACACAAGCCATGAGGGGTTGGACCCTTTGGGCTTCCAACCCTTGGCATCAAAATCCATCGCTAGTTGCTACCCCAGGTAGAAACCGGGGTGTTTGATTCTCGCGGAGGGATCCATTCATGGGGGGGGTGGCGAATAATGGAACCCAAGGCACGAAGCCTGCGTCTCAGGCCAGTCTTCAGCCACAACCTCGCGCATTGAACACATTGTGTTCAACCTGCCGCTTCTTTGGTCATGTTGTCATGCCCCTTTTTGGTTTAAGGACGCCATGTACCCCTTCGAAGTTTCGCGTTTTCCTCCGCACGGACCGCTTCGCCGCTTCCGCGCCGCGTCTCGACTCGGCGCGCCCTGTCGCGTGTGTCGCGCTGCAGGGCCCCGCGGGCATGGAGGGCTTCTCCGCGCAGGCGCTGGGCCGCACGGCCGGGCGGTGGCCGAGTCCCCGGGCCCGGAGTGCGGGCGATGGGGGGCTTCAGTCATGGGGACCCTGCTGCTTTGTTTTTGGAAGAAGCCAAAAGGCAAAAGGGAGGTTGAAAAAAACGGGGTTTTGGGGGGTTGGAAAAAACCGTCCCAGCTGCTTTCGTCTTTTTTTAAACAATTTGTTAAGGGAACCTGTCCTGGCTGGGGGTTCCAAGCGCTTTCCTCCCGTTGGATGGTTCTCACGGGACACCAAAAGGAAGCCAAAGACCTGGACTGAGGATCTGCTGAGAATCAGCCATGGAGCTGTTGCCAGGGATAGTCATTGCTCACTGCCCGCAGTCCACAGATTTATTGGGGGAGCGGGCAGTTCATTGTCGCGACCAAACGAACGTTTCTCGCAGTTTTTACAAGCAAGCGTTCTGAGCAACTGGAATGAGTGTCACTTATCTCGACATCCGGATCCCTTGAGTTAAAACCATTTCCATGAAGAGTCCCATTGCGTTCGCAAGCTGCGCTCGAGGTTCTTGTCCTTCCGCGGCTTGCAAAGTCTGCTGCGGGCTGAGATCTTGGCAAGCCTATGTTTGGCCGCTCTCAAGATGCCTGAATCGTCCACCTTCGATCGCTAGTGATTTGTCACGAACAGACCTCCAACTTGAACCCCGACTCCTCCCACTAGCAGTCCCTTCCTGGTTGAACAGACTGTTTGCACAGAAGGAACCCCTACGAATACTGCGATACACACCCACCATCTGCCGGAATTTCTCCATTGTTGTGGAATCAGGTTGCCTGTTTTTGCCAACACGTGTTCCTTTGAGGTGGCCTGGCGTGTTTTTCTCATCCAAGTGATTGGATGGGGTGTTTTACCGCCTAAGGCTGAACCAGGAGTTCTCGAGGCAAGACGTGAAGCCGCAGACCGTGGCAACGCTGCTGACCAAGGCATGGCGCACGTGGCGGGCGTGGCACGCGGGCTGCGAAGGGAATTGCGGCCGGTTCCCACTTGCCTTGTCACAGGCTACGGAAGCCTGGCTTTCTGAAACGAAAGCACAGGAAGGGTTAGCACCTGCGGCACCAAACCCGGGGCACTAAGCTCGACAAATCAAGCCAGTGAACTTGAGTCAGGCTACGGAAGCCTGACTTTCCGAAATTGCGGGAACTTCAGGGGAATGATTGTCTGTGGCTTGAGCTGGTGCAGTTTCTGGGAGGAAGCCAAAGCGAAGCGACTCAAACCTTTGGTCAAGTCTTCCTTGACATTTGCTCACAAATGCTTATGCCCTTTTGTTAATTTTCTTTTAGAGTCTGTTTAAAAAAGAAACCTTCAAATGGAAGCCAATTATTTTTTGGGCTTTTACGTTTCACTTGGATGACCACCCGAGTATTAACGTCCTTGGTCTACTTCCCCCAAGTGAGTCACACTCAAAACCCGGGTAGTTGGAGGGCAAGGGACAATTCCAGCCACCAGGGATCCTTCTTTCCAAACTGCCTCCAGAAACCCAGGGAAAACGGCTGGTTGTTGAAAAGAACGGTGTTTGAACAGAATGGGGAATCACCCCCCGGAAGTTTGGTGCCCGTCGGTCTTGATGACTCCAGTGAAACTTGTGTCGAGCGCCAGGCGGTGTTCAACCCGCAAGAGTGGAGGGAGCGGTTGTCCAACGCGTGGCCCTCGGCTCGCCCTCCTCGCCTCGCGTGTCCAAATTAAGCGCTTTTCCGTTTCAAGTTTCAAGCAGGTTTTGTTTGGCCCGCTTGTGTCACCACTATCAAAGTCACTCCCGCAAGAAGAGTAAGAGGGAAACCATAAACTAGTTTCTGACTCTGATGACCCGCACAAGCAGTCAAACTAAGGCCCCCTTTTTTCTTTGGACAGGTTGGGGCGGTTTCTGAAGCTTCTTCAAGCTTTGGCAATGGTCAACCTAGTCGCTTCTGTGAGATGTTCCCGAATGGGCGCATCACCAAAAAACCGACAAGCCCCGCTAGAATTGGGGTCATCATTTTGACTGTTTCCGGGGGGTATCAAAATCAGAAACTGGGTTAGTGGCTTCGCTTTCACCTACCATTTAGAGATCGACATTGATAGTGGTGAAACAATCAGATTTGTAGCAAAGGACTCGACCCATGCGTGCAGTTTTGTCAAGCGTCAAGGCACCCCGCAAAAAAAATGGATTGAATTCACCACTCAGATTGCTTAAAGATGGCTGAAACCAGCCACTGCGCGCAACATGGCCATGAATGGGTGCTTGGACGTGCACAGTGTCTCTTTGACCAGTGAGTTTGCCCAAGGAAATTGTGTGGCCTTCATAGAAGCAAGGTCTAGAACCACACGGCTATCAAGGTCCCCGCTCTGGACATACCCGCCCCAGAGATTCGACATTGAGACATGGAGGATCCGCCAAAAAGGTGTGTGTTTCCTTTTGTTCCCCTTTGCAGCAACCAAAAGGACACCCTCAAAAGCGACATACCCATTACCCATATGGTCGTGCATATGGTGCTCGACCCCATGTGATGTGTTTGTGCGTATTTGCGTGTCCGTGTGTTTGAAAGGGTTTTACACCCCCGGCAATGTCTTTTGTATCCCCAGAAGCCGGACCGCACATGGAGTGCCAACGCTGGATCGGCTTTTGGGTAGGGAGCCAGCTATTTTTTCGCGGTCTTTCCCTTTGTAATGCGGGTGTGCTTGAGGGCACTCTTTTTGCAAAGAGAAACCAAAGAACCTCCATTTTGTTGGGTCCAAATATCTAAGTTTTTACCCACATCCCTGATTTTGGCGGTGTTTCTATCAGACTTCGGCGATTTTAACGGTGTTTCTACCAAATGTTGGCCTTTTTGGTGGCACCGTTAAAGTAGACACACCGTTGGTCGACACCTAATTTTGGCCATTTTCAGCTTGGTTTTCCCCTTTTGGTTCCCCTTTTGGTTGCCTTCTGAAGCGCCAAACAGGCGATGCGGCAGCAGACCATGGGCGGTTGGCCCAAGCCGCGGCCCGAGATTGGGGCCATTGGGCGAGAAGGTTCTCCGGGGCTGGTGAGCGTGCGTTTTTTTTTTTGGAAGTTATTTGTTTCGTTGTTTTTGTGTGTTTTCTTTGAGGATGGGGAAGAGGAGGTGGGAGGTCAGAGGTGAGTTTAAACTCCCCAAATGTTTGCAATGGGATCTTTTGTTTACATTTTTTCCGTCTAGGGTTCGGGATGGGTTCTGAAAGGGCGGGCTTGTTTGTTTGTGCGTTCAGCACCCAGGAGTGCCGCCCGCTAAATTGTTCAGTGGGAAAGCATGGCACTTCCTGGGTTTCTGTATTTTTAAAAAGGCCAAACTGAAAACTTTTCTTGGCCAAGTGAGCAGCCCAGCAAGGGCCATTTGGACCTTGCGGGACGGGAGCGAAGAAAAAGCAGCGAAGGCTTCTCATCAATATTCAACCCGTGCCTGGGGGCTCCTCCTACAACATTTGTTTTTCTTCGACCAAATTTGAAGCTGCACTGCAGCCACATGGTCTATCCGAATATTCGGATCGGGTTTCATCCATCCCAACTGGTGCAAATTGGGATCTTGACCAAAAAGCAGTATTATTGTCCCGTACCAGTGACCCCCTTCTTTTCCGTTTCAAGTCACCTCTCCTTTTCCTTTTTTGGGGCGTCGAAGAAAAGTCACGTTTGACCCCCCCGCAACTTGGGAGCTCGGGAGCTGTGAGGCACGTGCTGGTGGCGCAGGAGAAGCACTACACTGCCCCAAAACTCAGCTTGCTGGTTCCCAGCCATCCGGTTTCTTAGGTTTTTAGCTGCTTTTTGTGGGTGAAAGGTGGTTGGGTTTCATTTATACCAATAAAAGTTATATATTTTTGAGCAGGGGATTTGAGGACAGCCCAGGCAGGTGAATTCGGTTTGCCGCATGGCACGATGCCATGGACCTTTTCATGGGGACCCTCAAAAGATGTTTGGCGGACATCAATGCGGCCGCAAATGATGTCCGTCCTCAATCAAAATTCATGCCCATGTGCGGTTCGGTCGAAATGACCGGTAGTCCGGACACTCAGGATTCCCCTAAACAGAACAGCGGACTCACTGAACTTCCTATGGCGGAACTATTGCAATTCTGATCGTGGCTCATGTGGCTATTGATTTTTAATCCTCAATGGTTGGTGGACATGAATCCGAAATGATGTCCACCAAACGGTCCTGGATCCATTAACAGTCTACTGTGGATGGACAAATTCCTTCACCAGTTGGGATGCATGAAGCCCGAGTTGAATACTGGGATCAACACCAATCCCAAATTCCAACTGCCAGAGTATTGTCTGGTTCTGCTTCGAATTTGGTCGAGCCTAAAATAGAAAGTTGTTTTTGGAGGAGATTCCAGGCACGGGTCGTCTCTTTTGAAGTAAGTGCGAAACTTGAGATCATCCTCTCCTACTGGGGCACCGGCGCCGAGCCGGGGACCCGGCTTTTGGGCGACCGGCGGCTTTTTGTACCTTATGGAACCTCTCCGCCCTGTGGCAGGTTGGTTTTTGCCCCACCAACCAACTTGGTTTTCCGACCTTCCCAACCAGGTTCCATGTTGGTGGTGTGTGTGTGGGTGGGTAAAGGTGGGGAACAACAGGTTTTTCAAGAACATCGGCTATTTTTTGGGGGCCCCTGTTTTTGACTGGAAGCCCAAGTCTTTGCTTGGCATCTCCGGGGGGGTTGAATGTTTGGAATCAGCAGAGCTGCTCAGTCGATCTCCAAGGTATTGCAAGTAAACGAACCCCAACGCTTTGGGTCAATTGCAGGGTTGACTTTGTTCTATACTTGCTTCAAACTTGGAGCAGCTGTAGGCATATCATCTTCAACAAGGCGACTTCTCGGAAATATTGAGAACTCACAGGTCTGAATTTTGGGGGGGCTGGAGCTGATATATACCTTGAGAGGTGTATGCTCCTTGAGCTTTGCTTTGGTAGCGTAGATGCCATCGCCTCCTCCAGAACCATACCTGAGAACGGTAGACGTTGACGACTTTCGCCCGCCGACCGTCCGGTTTTCGGAACTTTGAGGCGGTCGGTGGCCATTGAAGGCGGCACTGGCATGAGCTGGACGTTGGGCTCTCAGGGAAAAAAGGAGATTGGCGGGCTCCCGTGTGGGGACCTCCCAAAATGGTGAATCCCTTGTTGGTTTCCCTTTAAATCCACCAAACTGTGGGGGGTAACCCTCAAAAAAGACACCCTTGAATCCCAGTTCAAAAGGACCCCCTATCCATCAACGAGGCCTTGCTGGGCTAAACATCACAGTTCTGTAGCCCCCCAACCCCACCCACAACCGCGCCGCAAAGGGGGGGGGTTGTTTTTGGGGGGGCATCACTTGTGACGCGCGCTTTCCCGACCAGCGCACTCGAGAGAACACCCGTCAACCAAGACGAGCGCAAGCTCACCTTGGTCTAGCACATCCTGCAAGTTTTTCATCTCAGGCTCATTGATCGAGTGAGTGGCCTTCATGCGCTCCGGATCATCTGGTTCACGGTGCGAAGAACGGCTCTTCCCTCTTCACGCAAGGGCTGAACGGTCTTGGCAGCCCGCCCCCCCCCCTCGGCTACACCCGAGATAACTCGCTTGGATTAGAACGTCAACTTCGGATGCATCCGCTGGACCGCACGCTTCGCTCCCTTTTTGGTGGGAAACGCGGTCCGAACAAATCCAAGATTGACATTACATCGAAAGCTCGTTGATGCATGTCGGACCCCCCCCAGAGATCGGCACCCTGAGAGTATGTCCTTCCCCCCAAAGACGTGTCATGCCTTTGGGTCGAAGCCACCAGTCCACTGATTTGGCGTCATTTTTGAGACTCCCAAAAAGGGGCTGGCTGAGAGGGAAATCAAGGGAAAGCCAACCCTTTGAGGATTCCAAGCCACGGAAGTCGACCGAGGCTTATCCTGGAAGGCGAGCTGGAAGAACAAACCATCGGCCTAGGCACGACACGTTTCGGCTGTCCTGAGGCTTCCGCTCAAGGTGGATAAAAACCCATGCAATATCCATTTGTCCTGTATCCACAGTATTCTGGTTCAATAGTTGGGGCCTTTTTCCTTCCGATCCGATCTGAACCAGCCCGTTTGGCTTTGAATCCCTGGAGTGTGCCTTGGGTGGAGGCATTTGAGATTGGTGCCTTGGCGCTTGAGCCGCTTTTGCTCTAGCTTTTGTGAGTTGGTTGCACTTTTCCTTTTTCGTTCGTCGAAAAGCAACCCAAAACGCCCAGCATGCCGATCGAGAAGATCCACGCGCGCCAGATCTTCGACAGCCGAGGGAATCCGACGGTAGAGGTGGGTGTCCAAAATACGGGCACCCCACGAATGGTGAGTGTCCTTTTGGTTTCTCTTCAAACCCAAACAACAGGGCTTCCTCCATTTCCCTCTTTCGAACCTCGAGAGTGGCAGTTTTAGAGGAAATCGCTAGTAAGTTGATCAACTTTTGATTTGGGGAAATCCAGCGACACCACCAGACATGGGGGCCCTCCAAAAAGACATGCCCATCACAAACAAGAGACCTTGAAGTAAGTTGAGCCGCCTATTGCCCCCTTGAGCTACCTAAAAAACCCACCAAGCAAGGGGAACCCTCAAACAAGACACACCCATTACAGGTTTTCATATTATTGCCAACAATTCAAACCTCCTGGTTTCCCTTTAATTGAACCATGTTAAAGCCCACCAAATTCTTAAAAAAAAAACACAGGTTCACGGATCTCAGTGTTCCTTTTGGTTTCCCTCAACAAGCCCACCAAAAAAGTGAAAAGAATAGGCTACCAACAAGGTTTTGGAATCCTCAACAAATGTGGCTTCCCCTCAAACCCACCGCCCCCCGCGCTGCGCGTCAGGTGGCTGTGGGTCAAAAACCCTATACCCCTCAGTGAACATCCCACTCCCCACTCAAGTAATTAGACCAAAATGGGTGGTGAATTCACCTAGCCCAAAATGGGATCCCGCAGCGGTTTTGATCCACAGGTGGAGGTCACCACGGAGAAGGGGACCTTCCGCGCCGCGGTGCCCAGCGGCGCCAGCACCGGGGAGGGCGAGGCCTGCGAGCTGAGGGACGGGGGGAAGGACTACATGGGCAAAGGCGTCACCAAGGCGCGGGGGGAACGGGGCCATTTGCTCCAAAACCGGTCCGGGTGAAAGACGAGGCTTCAATGGAACGGGTCAAACCTTGTTTCAAGCATGGCTTCAATGGAATGTGATTCCCATTAAAACCTGCTTGGCTATGATCTTTGATGGTATAATATGGGGCAGGCGGTGGAGAACGTGAAGGCCAAGATTGCGCCGCTGCTTATGGGAAAAGATCCAGCAGACCAGGAGGCCATTGACAAAGTCATGATCGACGCAGATGCCACGGAGAACAAGACCAATCTCGGAGCCAATGCAATTTTGGGTGTGTCCATGGCTTGTTGCCGAGCCGGTGCTGCACAGAAAGGCGTTTCCTTGTACAAGCACATCAACGACATTGCTGGCAGCCCATCCATGAGCATGCCGGTTCCTTGTTTTAACGTCATCAACGGAGGAGTGCACGCAGGCAACTACTTGGCCTTCCAGGAGTTTTTCCTCATCCCCGTGGGAGCAACGTCCTTTGCGGAGGCCATGAAGATGGGCTCCGAGACTTACCACAACCTCAAGGGCATCATCAAGAAGAAGTACGGCCTCGATTCCACGGCGGTGGGCGATGAGGGCGGATTCGCTCCCGCCGTAGATGATGCGGAGGAGGGGCTGAAGCTGCTTCTGGAAGCCATCGAGCAAGCTGGGCACAAGGGCAAGATTGTCATCGGCTCGGACCCCGCCTCGTCAGAATTCTGGAAGGAGGATGAGCAGAAGTATGACTTGGACTTCAAGAACGAGAATCCCAAGCCGCAGAACAAGAAGAGCCGCGAGGAGATGGTCGCCGTGTACAAGTACTTCTGCGAGACCTACCCTATTGCCTTGTTGGAGGATCCCTTCGCAGAGGAAGACTTTGACGGGCATGCTCAGCTCACTGCCATCGTGGGGGACAAGGTGGAAATTGTGGGAGACGACTTGTACTGCACCAACAGGAAGCGCGTCCAGATGGGCTTGGACAAGAAAGCCACAAATGCCATGCTCTTGAAGGTGAACCAGATCGGTAGTATCTCAGAGTCCATTTCGGCTTGGAAGCTTTGCCGAGACAACAAGTGGGGTGTCTTTGTGTCGCACCGCTCGGGCGAAACGGAGGACACCTTCATCGCGGACCTCACGGTTGGACTTGGGGCTGGCCACTTGAAGACTGGCGCGCCATGCCGAAGCGAGCGCTTGGCCAAGTACAATCAGCTGCTGCGGATTGAGGAGGAGTCTGGGCTCCCGTTCTGTGGAGCTTCCTTCAGGACCCCATGGGATGTGACTGGCAAGAAAGGCGGCTACTGAGGGGCTCCTGAGTTTTAAGGCGCAAGTGCGCAAGTGCGCATTGTTGCTCGCTGCATGAACGCGACAGCGATGAGATGCCGGCTTACCCATAGTTTGAGGTACAGACAGCACAAGCTGTATTTTAATGCTTCGGCACGGATCATTTTTGCGAGCACGTTCCCAGCTCAGCTCGAGAAAAAAAAGAAGGGAAGCAGACCAAACCACGTTTCAGAACCAGCGACAAGAGGTTGTTTTATAGGAAATTGGTCAAGCACCCACCCCAAGAAACACTCTTCTTTTTTTTTTTTTGCGGAATCCAATTTCCTGTAGGTTTCTCTTCGATGGAAAAACCAATCCGCCCAGTTGAGATTGTGCTTGCCCAGGGCGCGACGGTAGCGACAGCCCCTCCGTGCTGCGGTCCAGCGTGCTGAAGGAGGACTTTGCCGACCGTCGACCGCGCGAGGGGGGGGGGGGGGGGTGGCTTTGGAGGTTTTGGGTTTGGAGGATATAAAGTGGTGGGGCTTTGGAGGTTGTGTTATTAGTGTTATTCCCCAGACAGTTTACTGTTGGGGTTCTTTTTAAAAGAACGGGCCGCAAGTTGCCAGATCGCCGGGCCGCATGCTTGCCAGTGTACGCATGTACTTGTCTCCCAGTATGTGCCTTCATTTGTCTTCCAGCGCTGCCGGATTACCGGGCCGCGTGCTCGCCAGCGTAGTGCATCATTGTGTTCTTACAGTCTGTTTGGGGTCTACGCTGGTACAATTGTTGCCCCCCTCGCGCGCCGAGCGACTTGAGGAGAGCTGCAGCTTCCTCAGCAGCTTCGAGACCTCGGGGGCCACCGCCGACATCGTGGAGCGCGCCCACGGCGCGGAGACGCCCGGATCTCGCATCTGCGCCAGCCAACTTCTGGGCCCTTAAAAAGTGGAGATGTTGAGCACGTGTGTGAGCATTTTCATAGGATCCAACCTCCCTCAATCTGGGACATTGGGGACACACCATTTCAGATGTTCGTCGGGGTATCTCTAACGGTGCAACGGATCCACGCCACCCAACAAAGCCGTCCGCAATTTGAGGCTACAGATGGCCTCAAATCTCAAGACAACGCAAGCGAACCAGACAGGTCCAACCACCACTGGTAAATTGCTGTAACCTGGATTCAGGGTTTGGTTGTCAGGCATCCCAACAAAACTAGGGACTCCCTTTTCGGACCGTTGAAGAACATGCAGTTGACGTCTTTTGTTGACAGCCAGTTGACAGCTCAAGTCGAAGGGCTCGCCACATTGGCCGCGGCTTCAGGCCCTGTGTCTCCTTGCATGTCTACCATCCACCTTTGCCGGAGGCGACGAGCCGGCCGCAAATTGGCCGTTTGCGTATCTTCTTTGATAGTTTTCTTGAACAGACCTCATGGATACATGTCGTGTCTGTCTTTTATTTTGTGGAACCCTCTTTTTTGTTGAAGCCAAAGGACACCAACCATTTTTGGGTGATTATGTGTCTCAATTGAGTTCGCATCTCTGGCGACACGTTGGCTGCATCCTCTCGTGAATCGCGCCTAACTTGGTGGTTTCCAGCCATCCGGTTCCGTAGGTTTTTGCCTTTTTGGTGGGCAAAAGGTGGGGATTTCCATGTATCCCACTAAATATGCAGATCTGAAAGCGGACAGCCCAGTAAAGTTGCCTTCTCCACCAACATCTTGGATGTTGTGAACCCCAAGCATGAGAACATGCTAGGTAGCGTTCGCCAGTCCCAACTTGTGGGTTCGGGCTGTTTGCTTTGACCAGGCGTGGATGATGGGATAGCCGGAGCTTCGGCCTCGGAGTCGGCCGGTTCTTTGGGCTCCATTGGAGATGTGAGCAACACTGAAGCGGCGGATGTGAAACGGATGCAGGGGGCGACATTGGGGGGGTGCCTTCAAGGTGGCGAAGCCTTCGTAAAGGTTTGGTCTGTTCCTTCAAACACGGAAACGATTCTTGGGAGACATGCCACGCGGCAAGCCAACCATTTTGGGGGATTCTAGGAAACTTCCAAGGCTCCGTGAAGTCTTCTCGGCTGCAACATCCACGCGAAAGAAAAGGAAAACGGCAACCCGCACATGGCGAAGAGGAAGCTCCAGGTTTCCCTGAATCCGAACAAACCAAACAAAGCAAAGCAATCAAAGCAAAGCAGGCCGCGCCCACATCCCTAGGCCCCTGAGTTGCTTTGCGGAGCTTTGCCGCACGTTGGCAGAAGCCACAGTCGCAAAGGCTCAACTCGCTGGGTACCCTGTTGGGGGAAACCAACAAAACACCCACACCTGTTATGTATATTTTGAGAGAGCCCCGTCTTTGGAGGGAGAATCTGGCACGGCAATCATGTCATTGCACACGTCTTTTTCTTTTGCTGTGGGCGGCGAAGTGTTGCGCTGACTTTCGCTCAGTCAAGTTCCGGCCCTTTGAAGCCTCCCGCGGAAATTCCCAGCGGTCCGGCAGAAGTTGCCCCCCAATGCGGAGTGTCCCTGCCGGCAAAGGGAGCGGCATTTTCAGCGCCGAAAAAGGAGCGAGGAGATCGCGACGGGGCCCTTCGTTCGATTTGGAGTTTGCACGCCAAGAGAGCTCTCAGCTTTCAGAGTGGCACTTTTTCCGTTGGACGAGCTCCACCAGGTATGAAGCCCTGTGCAGGCGTTTGTTTCTTGAAGTTGGTACTCTTTTTGACTTTTTGGGCTTGGTTCAAAGGGAAACCAAGAGGAACACCGAGGACAACAAAACGGCACACCCTGAAAAGCCATGGCTGTTGGCGGCTGCTCGGCGAAAACTCCTTGCGCGCTGGGCCGCAGCTCGGCCCTGGTCCTGAGTGTGCTTTGCATGCATGTTCTCTGCATTCACAAGCTGGGAGAGCGAAAGGTGGCTGTTGCCAGCATGAAGGACACCAGTGCCTCACATTGACATACCGGCATATGAGAACGAGATGCATCCATCCTGAAGTTCGACACCTGCTCACTTTCTGACGGCACGGGCCGGAACTCAGATCGTGGGTTTTGGACTTCCGCCATGTCTGGATGTATGAGAGCGATGGCGATGCAGGCGCCCTCCAGCTTTTGGGCTCCCTTTAAGCCAGCCAAGCATTGGGTGCTGAGCCTAAGGTTTAGCAGATGCAGCCAATCTATAGAAAAGGCGAAGAAAGAAGCACTCAAGCCGAGTCCAGTGACTCGGTCCGCGAATTTTGGCCCTTTGGTGCAACCCATCGGTTGCAACTGGGTAACCCGTCAAGAGCAGTTGAGGAGCCCGGTACCCTTTGATTGTGGCAAGACAGGGCAAGCAAGAATCATGTCAGTAACCTCACTCCCTGAGTTTGACTTGAGCAACTTGTTCGATCTTAGTGCTTGGCCCATCAAGTTTCTACTTGGACCAGCCACTCAAGTGAGCAACTGACCAATGCTGTGGGGGGACGGGACTCACCCACGCCCTCGGGAAGCGGTGGGTATATGTCCAAATGTGTGTCATTTCTTGGGGACCCCCAAAAATGGATTTCGGTGTTCTTTTTGGTTTTCGTTTAAACCCACCCCAACAGCGGGCACCCCCAAAAATGCCTTATCTGCGATCAGGGCTTTGGACCCACAAAAACGGCTGTTTAGGGGTGTTTCGAGCCTCAAAGCGCACATCGCCCAGTCCGGCCAGGCACCAGCGCCACAGGCGCTCCGACCGCCGTCTGCGCCAAAGGTGCAGAGCAAGAGGCTGATGTGGCGCTTGTCTGAGTTGGTGCCATTTGCGGGGGTTGGTTTGAAGCTAAGCCAGCGTTTTGTTGCAGGCAAAACAGCGTTTAGTTGGTTAGACTCCCTTTGGACATCAGAAAAAAAAAGAGAGAAACAAAAAAAAGGTTGGATCCACCAACCATTTGAAAGGTTGCTCCAACTAGTAAGCTCATGGCCGCGGGGCAGAGAACAGGTGGCAGTCTCTAAGTAGTCCTTGTGGTTGGAGAGAGGCTCAATCACTCGTGCCGCTGATGTCGAATCGATTTGATGCCCATGTGTCCATGTTTAGTTGCATCATTTGTTACCTGCAGACGTTTCTTTAACAGCACCCCTACAATTTTATATCGTTCCTTACATCTTAGAATCTCTTGCGCAACTTGCCTGTTCAAGATATGCATTGAAGGTGTGTTGCAACCCACCCAGCACTCGCTTGTTCGCACTCAAACTTTGAAACTCTGTGCGGGCGGGCTTCAACCATCCCTTGTATTTTGTTGGCATCCTCCATTCTACTCCCCAACAAATTAACATGGAACCCCAAAGAGGGGTTCCCCACAATAGGAGTTTCCTCTACCATGGTGTGTTTTGGGGTTTCAATCTTTAATTTGCAGGCGAGTACTGTTTTCCTTTCAAGACCACATTCAATGGGTGCCACGGTCGAATGACTCCCTTGGCCCAACGGGCCGGCCCTTGAGGGAGATTGGAGTCCAGCGAGCCTTCAGAAGGACGACTGCCGAAACGGGACGGCCCTCTAGTAGTGAGCCTTCAGAAGGATGGTGACTGCCGAAACGAGGCAGCTCTTGCTTGAGGGAGTTTGGTGTCTAGCGAGCCCCCAGAAGAACTGCTGAAATATGGTTATTTTGGCAACCACGGCAAGGTCCGTGAACATGAGCGAAACCAGGAGGCTTGACCATGGAGTGGTTTCAAAGTCAGCCCCACGGCACGCACCTCAACGTTCTTTGACGTTGCAATGCTTTGCGCGTCTCCTCCACGCGCAGGGCGGAAGCATCTTTCGGCGCCTTGCCCAAAGCCTGCGCCCTTGGGGCCAGGGGCTCGGCGTCGTCGGTTCTGGCTTTTGGGGTCAGGTCTCGCGAGTGGACCCTTCGAAGTTTTATGTTTTTTTGATACCGAAGCTTTGGAGGTTAACTTTTTGGTTGCAACAGCCCGGATGTTCCTGAATTGGACCCACAAAAAGTTTTGACTTCTGTTTGCAGAGGGGTTGCTGCAGCAACTTTTTCGGGGAGCTCCTGCCGAGGCCTGGGCGGCGTGCGTGCGGGCGCAGGCAGGGCAATGGATCGGACGCTTGGATGACTTTTGTCCCTTGAAAGTTTACTTGGTGGTTCTGCGCCCATCTGATTCCTGAGGTTTCTAGGTTTTACGGTTGCAACCCAACCCGAGTTAAACCTTTAGCAGGGGATCGGAAGACGGACAGCCCAGGTTATGAGTTGCAGGTAAATCCGGCCTAGGGGGCCTAGCCAGTGGAAGACTAACCACTCATAGTGGGGTTGGCGGCTTACGAGTTTGTGCGGCACACTTTTCCTCGCCTGAAAAGTGGGAGAGTTATGTTTTCCTTGCGCATTGATTCTCCATAAGCAACCGAGGGATGGATTTGTAAGAAGGGTTGGCACACATACACACACACACATCCATTTGGGCCTATCATTTTTCGGAGTTGGTACCCCTTTTTTGGTGGTTTTAAGGGGAATCCCAAACAAAGAAAACCGTCATTTACGGGGGGTTTTCTACAAACCGCACCTCCATTTGTATGCAGCTTTGCGCGGGTCCCCAGGAGCCAAGGCCATACGACTTGCGAGGAGTTTGAATCCAAAAGAACCCAGCGGGTTGGTGTTGTTCTGGTTTCCTGGTGCAATTTTTGTAATGTTTTGTTACCTTTTGATGCTCTTGTGATATCCTTTTGGGTTTCCCTGTGTTTTTGTGTTCTTTTCCTTCCGTTTCCTTGACGGCCTCTTTGTGGTTTCCTTCGTGGTTCTTTTCACAGTTTCCTTGGTTTCTTCGCTTGGCATGCTTCCTTACGGATGGCTTTCGTTCCAAGCGGATTGATGTGGCATCCAGCACCCGCAGGTGGCGCGCAGAGCCGCAGGCAGTGCCGCGGGCTACTCCCCGCTGAAGTTTGCGAAGACCAAGCAGCCCCCTGTCCTTGAGGCGCGGTCGCCGCTGGTGGGTTGCCGTCGATTTGGTTTTTCTTCGGGTTTGGAGCTCAACATTTCGTGGAACCAATAGTACCTTTCTCTGAATTCGGACGGTTTCCGTGCGGAACATTTTGGCAGAAGCACTGTCCCAACCACGGAAGCCAGCCCCTGGCGAGCGCCTTTGGCTCCAGGAGGACTCTGCTAGCTGGGTCCTCCCGAGCGTGGACAAGGCGCTGCGAAACAAATCGATCTCAGGTCCCGGAATTCGTCGCGGACCGACAAATTCGGTCAGCATGGGCCAAACAACTTGGGCCAAACCCCTACCAAAAGCCAAGGAGGACTCTTGAAGGCCCTCTTCAGCGCAGGATGTGGGGGAATGGCATGCTGGCCGCGCGCCCACATATGCCTTTGTCGGTATCTCAGCCGACATGCCCAGGTCCAGAGATGCATGCCGCTGGTCTTGTTTTGATTGGATACCCCCGCTTTTTTGGTGGTTTTGCAGGGAAAGGGAAGGACATCCTGAAACAGACGAGCCATATTTGGCTGTGGTGTTTAAACATGGGGTATCACGGTCCCTCAGCTTCCGAAGGTGACATCACCGATAAACAAACGAGCCCATTGGCGACAATCGGACCACAACAGCCGTGCCAATTTCAAACGTGTTTGACAAAACCGATTCTTTCTTGAAGGGAACAAGATGAGAACTGATGAAAACTGCACATCAGGTTTGGATCATGATTGGACAGCAAAAGGTTGGGCGTTGAAAGGGGGACGCACACAAGTCGACCTTGTTGAAAGACAGGTGGTTGACGCCCGGTCACGACTGGGTCACTTGGACCCCCGGAGTTCAGGCAGCCATTAAGGGAACCCGGACACGACCCTCATGAAGCATTTAGGGCAGTGGATTTCTTCGCTCAGGCTTGCAGAGCCTCAGAGCCCCCCTTCCTGGTCAGCACAGTTGGGCAACGTTTGCCGAAACAATCAGTTCAAGAGGTCGAAACCATAGCGATTGAAACATTGCGGCTTTGGCTTTCCTGGGGTATTTTAGAGTCTTTTGAAAGGGCCGACCAAGTGGAGCAAACTACTACAGAAGCAATACATAGTCACGACTGCTTTCCCAGGTCCAAACCAGCGTCACGCTCTACCTCTTCACTCCACTGCCGCCGCCAAAGGCGAGCGGACCTTGACTGCTTGAGCTTGACCGTGAGCGGTTTCCCAGTTGAGCTGCATACTCCTGGAACGGAAGTTTATCACTACGGTCAGTTGCACTCAATAAATCCGGCTTCGATGCGTGCGCCTTGTACGAATGGCCTATGGTCCATGCTTGTTTGTTCGCGTCCATTTGTCGCACTCACTCGCCACGCAGAGCTGTGCCGGACGATCTTTCAAGGTCTCATTGATAACACAGGCCATCTCGAGTCTATACTTGCTGTTGCCTGCTGTGCCCAGAAAACCTGTTGGGAGAGTCTTGAAGTTCGAGGATTCCAGCTTTGGTCTTAGGAAAAGGAGATGGGTATGGGTCAAAATTAAATTACCATACCACAGGTTTTAGTCCTTGGTTCCATTTAGCGTTCCATCTTGCGGCACCTATTTTTGACCCACCAGATCAATTTGGGGTACCCTTTACGTCGGTCTGCGAAACCGGCGGTTCCTTCCGGTTCCGTGGGGCCGGTTCTGCGGGTCTTGGCCGGCCACTCAAAAGGTGTGGACGATTGGCAAGGGGTGACTTGTGAACGTGGGAACACGAGGGTGCCACAGGAAAGGGGAGCAGAATCAATCCACGTTTTGACTGAACACGTGCTTGTCTTTCAGGTATATTCCCCTTTTGGTGTTTCTAGGCATCAACTTGTGTGCCAATTTCAATTGGTTGCTACATGGTCAGTACCTTAGTTGTTCGGTCGGGGGTTGGGGGGAATTCGCCACTTAGCTATATCTAGATTCCATGTCTTTTGGGCTGGTTCGAAGCTTTCGCGATTCAGGTCAACGAGCGCGGGGAGAAAATGCAGCCGGACGCCGGGGGCGCCCGGAGAAATCCATGTGTTGGTCTCTCAAACCGAGCTTTCAAGCTCTTGGCTTTCCCTTTGGGTCCACTTGAAAAGGTCCTAAGGGTGATCACCTTGTATTTCTAGGTCTTTTGGGTAAGTGATGTTTTGTGGCGCAGTTCCATCAACAGAGTGCCTTCCACGGAAGGTTTGCGTGACAGTCATGGCACTGTCAGGGAGCAGACATTTGCCTCGGCTGAAAAACCGGGTGAGGTGGAGCTGGACCTGCAACAGGAGGGGACCATCATCAGGCGAGGGGGTGGTCCCACTCCAAGTGAAATCAGTTGCCATGGTTTCACTTGGAGCCAATTCCTGATTGAAACTTGGAGGAACTCAGAGGGGCGCCCCCTTTTGCTTGTCCCTCTTTTGCATGACTCATGTCTTGGCAAATGCTGCAGCACAGATGGCGTCCAAATAGGGCCGACCCTCAGATGGAGAGAGAGGCCTTGGGGACCCAAAACGGGATGGTCGTCTTCCGAAAACCCCCCTGTTCGCTTCCGTGGTTGTATGGGAGGGCAGTTTCAAGCAAGAAAAAACTCATGTAATGTTGAATCAACCCCAGCTTTTGATCGGGTGTCCCTGTGTTCAGTGGGGACTCATCACTTTTGAGCTGGGGTTGATGAATATGGGGAGAATATGATGTGTTTGGCACGGCCAAGAAACGAGACGTTCCGAGGCTGGTGGCGGAGGGCCAGACGATCCTGAACGGACGACTCGCCCATGGCATTAAGCCTGGGGACCAGATTTGGATGGTCGAGGACGGCGCAAACGGGTGGCTTGTCGTATCTTGTCGTTTTGGTTAGGATGTGGACCCCCCATCTTCGATTCCCTAACAAGGTCTCAAAATGGGCCCCACAAAATGCCGGGGGAGGGCTCTGATCTTCTTGAAGAGTCCCTCACGAACAGAGGAGGGAAGCTACGCACATGAACCATACTGGCGTCCTACACCAGAGCCGCGTTTTGTTGGGAGGGTTTTGTTGGAAAACATAAATTAACCCCACCATGGAACCTCACTTCCTGAGTTGCTGGACTTTATACTTTTTGAGAAGACCCTTATAGTGGCACTCGGAGGGTTTGGATTTTTTCCGGCCCATCCACTTAGGAAGTGAGTGTGTGCTCTTGTTTCTGGCTTCCAAGGCAACATCAAGGCAACATGTCCTTAAGTGATGCTTGCTTGTCCAGCTGCCTTGTTTTCTTTTTGGGATTTGGACCCCCCTAAAATGGTGGTTTTCCTTTTGGTGTCCCCTTCAAACCACCAACAAAGGGGTACAAACTCCAAAAAAGACGAGCCACCCAGCTTGTGGGTTGGTTTTTGAGTTAGATTGGACTTCGGGCATGTGTTGCCTCTGTCCTAAGGGCTGCCTTTCTGACCCCTGGCAAGAGCCTGAATTTCGTTCCCGGAATCGGGCACGGCTTTTCCAACACGGTTTACACACCCCAGGCGAACCCCGCCGAACAATAACAAGCTGCCGGTAACAGCCGCGTGGGAGAATGTGGGCATGGGCGCAGGCCGGCGGCGACGGGCGAGAGTTCGTGGTCTGTGAGCTTGACAAGCTGCCGATGCCCAAGAAGCGGCAAAGTCGCGTGTCTTGAAATGGGTTTGTCACAGTTTGCCTATGGAACCCCAAGGTAGATTCTTGTTAAATTCCCTTTACCACCCCCCAAACATCAACCACCGGGAGGTTTTCCTTCGTCTAGCTTCAATACCCCGAAAAGGACATAGCTGGCGGACAGAATTCACATGACAACGTCCACCCCAAATGTGTCAGGAAGCCCCATTTTGGCTGGTTTTAAACGCAGGCCAATTCACATTTTTAGAGGGGTTTTTAGAAAAGACATATGGTCCCTAATGGAGATTAATTCCCATGTTGGGACCGGCTTGGCATCCAGCATGCAGAAAATTGGTTGCCCCTTCAAAGATTGCAGTGTGCATGCGTGCCGAAAGTTCTAAGTCCTTCAGAGGTGCGTCTTTGGTGGCAAAGAATCATTTCGTTGTGTATATATGTATTTATATATACACTACCCCCCTTGAAATACTCGGGTTTGCGTCCAGAACTCAAGTTTTTGGCCAGACTGACAGGACGTGCAACTCCATGCAAAGTCAAACCAAGCAGAAGTCAAGCTCGGCGTTCAAAAGGAGCTCCTTGTTAAACAGCTCGAACGCAAAGTGCGCTTAAAGTCACGCTGGAGTCTGCGAAGTGCACTTTATCGTGCCTGTAACAGCTGTTTGGTTTTATTATTGCTAGTTTACAAGGAGCCTCGGCAAATCATTTGGGGGAAAGGAACTCAATCCTTCTTGCAACTGACATCCAAGTCAAACATACAAGTGCTTCGTGTCCTTGCGCAGTTGCATTTACATGTTAGTTCGTTTTTTGTACAGAATTCGAGTAGATATATGTTAACTAAGTGTATTTAAATCAAACTTGCAAAGCAGCTATCTCAATTGGGCGTTCCTTGTCTAATATGATTCAACCACTGTCAAGAACAACTATTGAAATTCAAGTATAGGAATCATATGAAATTTAGAGCGATTTCGAGTTCAAACCTAATTCAACTTTAACCGGTTGTAGTTTCTTGTGCGTTTCACAAGTCAATTGGCGAACACAGCTATTGTCATGGCCAGTTGCAACTGGGATCAAGAGAAAAATCATAAGGGTTATTGTCCTTATCTAACTCCACGTGGCTTGAACCAAGCAAGAACTGAGCCAAATCAACAACAGAAAAGTGTTTTCAAACATAGATCTTATTCTTGGCATAAAAAGCTGTAGAACGCGGTGATTTCAGCATTCGCTCAGATCATGTTGCCCTGGATCGAAGGCCAACTACTCAAGATTCCACAGGTATCGTTTTAGAACATCCTCAATCCTGGCCCTAATAAGCTTGACAGTTTTTCTAGACTCTTCAAGGTTTTCTCACCTGCATTGAAGATTGAAGATCTCCATATGTTGTTTTTTTGAGAATCGTCCATCCTGGCCAGCCCTCAAGTCCCACAAAAGCTGTATCGGTTTCAAAACACGTGTTTGCCTTATTGGCAAAATGCAGGCGGTGCACATCCACAATTTGACTCTTGGAACGTGCTCTGCTTGTCCGCCTTGTCAGATTTCATACTTGGGCAATCCAGCATCTGCTTTCACATCCTGGATTGACGATTGAGGATTGAAGGCTCTTTGACAACTCTTGATGGGATTCTTCAAACATGTACTTCGCGCAACCCAAGCTGTCCTAGCACGTGCTAGCGCATCCTGGATTGAAGATTGAAGATTGAAGATTCTCAAGCCACTTTTCTGGAAATCTTCAAACCCATACTTAGGTCAAACTGACATGTGCTAGCACGTGCTAGCAAATCCTGGATTTCCCTAAGTTTAGATTTGAAGAATTTCAGCAAGAGTTGTGAGATAATCTTCAATCTTCAATCTTCAATCCAGGATATGCTACACGTGCTAGCGCATCCTGGATTGCACTAAGTAGTGATGCTATAATTTAGGTCTCAAAAAGAGTGCATCTTTTGAGCATCATTTTTAGCAGCTGAAAAGTGCATTTCACACTCATTTTTACAGCAAACATGTCAATGTTAGGACGAACACCTGAGCATTCCAGGGGGGGGTGCATATATGTCTGATATGTGTGTGGGTGCGCGTATATATATATATATATATATATATGTATATATATATATATATGTATGCGTGTTTGTGTGTTGCTTGTGCTTGCTTGCTTGCTTGCTTGCTTGCTTGCTTGCTTGCTTGCTTGCTTGCTTGCTTGCTTGCTTGCTTGCTTGCTTGCTTGCTTGCTTGCTTGCTTGCTTGCTTGCTTGCTTGCTTGCTTGCTTGCTTGCTTGCTTGCTTGCTTGCTTTGCTTGCTTGCTTGCTTGCTTGCTTTGCTTGCTTGCTTGCTTGCTTGCTTGCTTGCTTGCTTGCTTGCTTGCTTGCTTGCTTGCTTGCTTGCTTGCTTGCTTGCTTGCTTGTGTTTCTTTTAACGCCACCCCAACCAGGCGCCTCAAGACACACACAGACACAGACACATACACATACACCTACACTTGCACATACACATACACATTGACATACATATACACATACAGATACACGTGCTACATAAACACAACTACACAAATGCACAAACACACAAACACACACCCGTTCATCCTTGACCTCATATGTTGAGGTAAGCATGAAGCAGAGCCTGGAATCGATTTCAAGGTTTCTTGAAAATGGGGTCCCGGCCGGGGTCCTTGCCAAAAAACAGGCAACAAAGGATTCTTCGGTTTAGGCCTAGAGAGCATTGGATCAGGACGCCGGGCATCAACTGGACCTCGGTCATGGAGCCGGAGGCGCCGAAATCGGCGTGTCGAACCTTGTTTGGTTGCTGGGTCCAAAATGGCGTGCCCGCTTTGAGGCCCCCAACCCCCCCCCCCCCCCCCCGCCTTTTGGATATAAAGGAAAACGCGCCAAAAGTTGTATTTTTGACCTGTCTTTGCAGGTCATGTTAGGAAGATGTTGGAAGAAGATTTCAGGCCGCTATCAACCCTCTTTGAGTCTCCCAAATCAAAACTATAATTTTCAAAATCTTCGCAATGAAGCCATAAGGACACCGAAGCCTTTTTGGGAGAAACCCAAAAGGACACAAACCATGTTTTCAGGTCCCCTTCGGTCCACGCATAGCAATTTGTCCAGTATAGGAAGTTTCTTTTGCTTGCCCTGACAAAACCGCCAAGACAGGCCCATATCTCCCCCAAAAACGGGACTCACCTTTTGGGCCTTTTGGGCCTTTTGGGCCTTTTGGGCCTTTTGAAGGGAGTTTCCTTGCGATGTTTGAGGGAAACCGAAATCTGACCTTTCCAACTCAAGCGGTTTGGCTTCAAACGGCGGAGACACCAACATGGGGTGGTTGTTGCGTTTCCCTTAAGGGCGACCCCCGACGCTTTGGTTCTCCTTTGCATTGGCTTTCGAAGGGGTACCGTCACAGCTTGCTGGTTCTCAGCAAGGACTTAGGCCATGGACCCCGCCACCCCAACTTTGAACTTTTCAGGTGGCGGTGGCCTCGGACTACGCGAAGCCGGTGGTGGAGTTGCCGGAGATCCAGGAGGAAGAGGAGGCCGGCACCGGCACGAAGCCGAGGTTTTTCCACCTCGCGCGCTTGTCGCGAGGATGGGCAGGATTTTTCTGGTTGGGAAAGTTGCCCTATAGGGAGCAAGCTTCGAGGCATCTCATGTGACATGATGTGTGGCTGGTTTACTTTCCTCGTTTCAATGAAAGCAACTTTGCAAACCATGGCTAAGTCGTTGCCAGGGGGCACTCAAGTGCGGATTGTCGTGTAAAACAAGATGGTCCTTCCGAAGAACATTCGAGTTGGGACGTTTTGACGCCCAGAAACGCGCGCCGCTTAAGACTTTGCCTGTTCCAGGTTGGTTACACCACCTTTTGGTTGTCAGCTCAAAGACAGTTGGGGTTATGTTTCGAGAGGACATGTGGGGAGCCCTGCTACAGTGACTTCATCAAGCTTGACTTGAGGCGAACCAATCTCCGTTCACACTGATGCGGAGGAGGCAGAGAATGCGTGGCTCATGCACGACATTCAAGGACTGGTGCACACCATCAAGGAGCTCCGCTTCTTGTACCAAGGCTCGAGGGCCAATGCTTCCTTCGCCGAGCTCGATGCGAAAATTGCTGCCGGCCGAGAAGACACGCAGTTTCTGCGGACAGCCCTGTCAGAGTGCCACGGCCACGTCGCGGATCTTCGGTCCTACCTGGGGTACACAAAGGAAACGGAAAACTCCTGCCGGCTGCATCGCGAGCAAGGGATTTTGGTGTCGTGCGACAATGAGACGCAATGCATTTACGGCTGTGGTCCCGGCGGGGGCCGTCCTCTAGGAGAGTGCACCTGTGACGGTATATTGGTCAAGACCTGTGCGTGCCGCCAATAGGCAGAATTGTACCCAGGCCAAATCTATCTCGAAGAAAACATGGCGGCATCAATCGAAGTGTTGCCAAGACAGCTGGCAAGCAAACAAGTAAGGGCCCAATAAGGACAAGCCCATTAGTTTCGGAAGGCCGTGGACGGATTTGCTGGAAGGGCCTGGGGCATATTCAAGGAATCTGGTGGGTTGGACACCCCTCCAAGTAAAACAACAATTGATTCGCGTGCCCCCCCCCCCCCCCCGAAGCGTTCTCTGGGGCCCTGTTGCCTCGGGGTTGCCACGAATTCGTTGGCAGCTGGTGAAGCAAAGTGGCCGCCACTTGAAAGCAGCACCCAGAGTTTTAGAAGGGCATTGGTGCCATGTGACTTCAAGGTATGGTACCAAGTATCCACGGAAGCTGTTGGAAGCTGCTGACTGGTTTCTATGCATGTGCGCAGCTCTTCGGCCGGTTTCGGAAGTACACGTAGGGCGTTGTGCAAGGCTTTCCTGGGTCGCCAAACGCAGGGGCAGCGCCATACATCGTCGCCTTCCCCGCGAATCTGCACGTTTCAACTTATCCAGCGCTTTCGGTAGGAATGCGCAGCTTCGGGTTCGAAGCGTTCTCGGGGATTTGGCTTTGACCCGAAGGGTTCCCAGGGCTCAAATGGCCAAAGTTCGTGTCGCCCATGGAACTCAGGGTTAGTTCACCAACTTAAGTTCTGGCCAAGTGAACTGGTGGCGACCTGATCTGCCTGCCTCACAAAGTATGAGCAATGCCATTTTATCGCCTCAAGGGTCAAAGCCTGTTCATGCCGGATCACTTGCTTCTTCTCAAAAGAGAACCATGTCGAATGACCCTTCCTCCCAGCAAAACATATTAATATGGATCCAAATTGTAGGGCAAAGGTCGGGGCTACTATTCAGCCAGCAAGTCAAGCAACACGTTTCTCCAAAGCTGCACCTGCTTTTTCATCAGCTGCATTTCGACTTTGGAAGTTTGGGACCCCCTCCCTCCCCCCCAAAAAAAGAAGAAAACGAACAAACAACCACACGAGGGGACCCGTTTCACCAAAAAACACAACAACCCCGGTGGCCGTCCGCTTCAATCACCGCCGCGCGGCGAGTTTTCGGCGGCGAGGCGCGGCTGGTGGAGGAGACCTTAGGCCACCTCCGGAAGAGCTTCGCCTCGCTGAACCCCGTGGAAGGCGAAAAACCGAGGGGGGCCCGGAGGGCCCTGTGTTGGGGGTGGGTTTTTACACCGGGAACGGAAAACCGGGTTTGCAGAAATACATCAAACAGAGAATGTTGCACACCTTTGAAGTGGGGTGTCCCATGTTAACATACCCCTCTCTTGCTTGTTCTCGCGGGGGGCAGTGCCCCGCTTGTGGGCTGTCTAGAGCCTCTCTCCCCAAATTACCAGCAAATGTGATTGTACGAGGAAAGCAAGCGCCACTATCTCCCTTGTGACTGGATCTGAGGTTGCCATTCTCCTCAATGCTGAGTTGACCGACCCCTGACTTTGCATTCTTTGGCTCGGAATCAGAATCTGCTGACCCGAAAATCCTGGCCAAAGCACAAATGGTCTCCCAAAGTGGGCGCCAATTTCCTCCTTGTCACACCAAAGGATGAGCTTGTCCGATAGGAAATGCCGCCTTGCAAATGATTTAAATGGGCTTCCCAGAAAGATGCCAGCTTCCAGGATCGCAGATGCATCGGGACCACAAACTGCCAGGTAGAGGGGCGCAGATTGGTGATGCCGCGGCCTCCGGCGGCTCAGTCGAGGGGCAGGCTGTTTCAGATCGCCAAAGGTCCAGTTGACGCAACATGACTTGTTTTGCGACACACATGGCCCTTGCCTGGCCTGACCTCCTTTGACGTCATTTAGTGGCTGGCTCACATGGAGTTTCACCCACCGGATTGTTCAAGTGGCAGGCCTTCCGTTTGTCACCGGTGTCTTTAAGCGGGGGCCTTTCTCCCCTGACGGCAATTCAGCGCCGATTCGAGCGCCGAGGTGCTGAAAATTGACATGCAGGGCTATGAGCTGAATGAGGAGGCTTTGTCAAGTCGGTGGAGAGAGGAGGCTGAACGAACCCTGGGACCCTGGCCTGAATGAGTGACCCATAGACAACATATGGGCCACTGACAAGTGTACAGGCAGTCTATGATTTGTTGGGGAGACCACGAAGGGCCCACCCAAATTTCCTAGGGAATGGGGGGTGGGGCACCCATCGTTCTGTCCTTGGCTCATATGAATGAGTGGACGTGTAAACGACAGGGTCTTTAGCTTGCTGGTTCTCAGTGAGGAATATCAAGGGTTTTGGAAAACCTCGGGATCCCCTTTTCTAGAAGTTCTTAAATAAAGGAAAAAGGAATGGTTCAGTTGGGGGTCATTCCTTCAGGGACCCTGAGATGCAGCAAGTTCAAGGGGGGGAAACCAGAAGGACGCAAAACCCAAGGGTGCAAACCCTTGGGAGCAAAAAATGAACAAGTGCACTTGACTTGGGCCGTTTGGTTTAACCAACGATGCCCTCAAAGCAAAAGACCCAAAAACCCCTCCTTCATGAAGTGAAGCACCTTGGCAGAGTGTGTCACAGCATTTTTCTTGGAGCCGAACAACTCGCCCATTTGCGAAAACAATCAACTTGCCAGATTGCCAGGGCGGCCGCGGCGAGCCCCTGGAGGTTGGCTCCGTTGGGCTCTCGGAAAAGGAGAGAGGCTAGCCGTGTGGGGACGACACGGGACACGAGGGACCCACAAAGGCCAGCCAAAGGGGAAAGCCAAAGGGGAAAACGTAGGGGTGCTGGAGGTTCCCTGTTTTGACACCTATTCATGTGTGTGTGTCAGCGACTTTTGTGGCCAACTGAACGGGGACCGTGTCTGAAAATATATTTTTTTGGGAACATCGGAGAATCGGAGGTGTTTTCCCTGGATGTCCCTTCAAAATCCCAACAACCTGGAGATTCATTCTCCATGAAGTTCCTGGTAGTTCTCGTCTTTACCTTGCTTTTCCTGAATACCGATGCTTTTTTCGTGAAGTCGCCTATCTAAAACTCCTATATGTCCGTCGTGAGATCGCAGAATTTCCCCTCCCAGAATCTTCAGGAAGGGTATGGCGAAACCCGCCGACCCTGTGGTCATTCTGAGGCCACTGGCCTGGAGATGGAGCTGGGTGCGAGCAACTTCTCCAAGCAGGTTGGGTCCGGAGCGCTCGAAAAGCACAGGTCTAGGAAACGACCTGGGATGGGGCTTCTGGATCTACCCCTTATATGAAAGCACTGAAAGAGAGCCAAGGAAGGACCAGAAGGGGCTGGAGAAGAGCATGCAGAGACCGTTTTCTCGACACATTCGACATAGGTGCGGACAATGCCGCCCTTTTGAGTCTTTATCAGCTTTCGGGTAGACCCCCTTGGTACCATGGAAGGGTTGATTGTGGCTCAGGGATTGCAAGGCAGGGTTTGAGAGCTCAGGCGAGGGGGGTGCGGGGGGTTGCTGATCTTTGGAAGTTGGCTCTGCGCTTGGGTTTATCCCCAAAAGGGGGAAACCCAAAGGGGGAAACCCACAACACATCGGTGACTCCCTTCAACCGAAGGATTTCCATGTTTTGAACCCCCCTGTTTGTTCACAAAGCGCCTGCCCAGGTCAACCACTATAAGAAAAAACATATCTGACCTCGAGGTTTTACATCTTGATTCACCTGTTTGCCTATGGCTGGATCCCTTTTACTGAGTGGCGGGAACACATGTACTGGCACAAATCCCAAGTCTTGACAAAACCAAGATGTCTCGAATTCTGCCGTCTACCTACCCCCTGCAGGTACACGATGGTTCGGGTTGCATGACTCTAGCCTACCTGGCTACATAGTGATATACCAGTCAATTGTTCCCCGTCGTTTTCGGGGTCGAACAGATTCATGTCAAGGTCCAACTACCAACCACAAGACTCCGAAAAGCCTAACCATCAGAAACCTCGGAACCGAACTCCGGCCGCGTTTCCCTTGTTATTTTTGACTTGGTGCCCCGTTTTTGGTAGGTGTGAAAGGTTTCGGTACCAAAAGGAAAACCGGAATCCATTTGGGGGGTCCAAATCCTGAAAACAAGAGACACCCCCAGGTCACTCAGGGGCGAAATCATGCGACATCGAACTCGGACTCGCGTCGGGCCGAGGTGGAGAAGAACCTGGAGGGCATCACCGTGGGTGAGACGAGGGATGTGGAGGCGGGAGGGTTGCGATGGCAAGGCATCAGTAGTCCCAAAAGGCCGGGTTGGATTCTTGTTGGGGGTTTTGCCATGAAGAACCCAGTTTCCTTTTGTTGGTCTCGATTTTCCTTAGGTCAGAGGCTGACATCATGTCCTGAAGCAAGTGGGTACTGGGTGTGAGTGGGGTACTTGTGGGGTGTTGATTAGCATTCCGTGTACCCATTCGGAAAGGCCAAGTTGAACGGAGCTTCCTTAATGAGATCAAGACTTGGGCTGCAGTAGAACCGAAATCCAAACCACTTGCAACCTAGATACTAGTAGGGAGGGGATGGCATCCCGAACAGAAATGGGAGCGGTGATGCCGAATTCTTGGTGCGAGGTTCATTTGCGCCATGGTCACAGCAGGGTTGGGCAACATTTGTTTAGACAGCCAGGCTTTTCCAGGAAACCAACAGAGCTTGTTCAAACTCTTGCTTGAACATGCTTGAACATGTTCAAACAAGAGGTTGTACCACCCTTGCCTAGAGAAAAAAACTATTCTTGGGTTCACTCCCGTGTGGGAAACGTAGACAAGCAGTGCAAAGGTTGTGCACTTGGGACCACAGAAGCTTTGACCATGGATCATTTGCGAGTTGAAAATGACAAGCTGGGTGTCTCGAAATTTGGGACCCCCAGGCGGTTGTTGGCTTGGAACGGTGTCCAGTTGGGTATTTCCAAACACTAGGGACTGATTGAACAGAATTCACAAGGAACCCGGACGAAAGATCGCTCTATTCTTGGCTTGTCCAACACCATTCAAGCTTCACATTTCAGCACCTTTGGGTTTTCCTCCGGCCCCGAAAAGGCTCCGTTTCAGAAGAGATCTTCTCGCGCCGAACCGGACCGGCTCTCGAACGAGGTGACTTTGGGTCAGCGAGCCGGTGGCCTGGGTGGGCAGGGGCCTCACCTGGCTGCTGGAATCTTGTCACCATTGGTGGCAACCAACTTTCAGGGAACCCGTGGCTTGGTGGCTTGGCGGTTTTGGGTATGTGAACCCCTGGCTGTAGAGGGTAAATGGGGAAACCACCCCAGAACACCACCAAACCACCAATTAGAGGGAAGCTGACGCTTGAAACACAAACCATACTGTGGACGATTTCGAAATCCAGTGCACGCCACTTTGAAACCAAGGTTAAAACCAGAACGTTTGTTGGCATTTACAGGGAATCATCAGTCCAAGATTTTGTCCATCCACAGTAGGTGTGCTTTTTGGAGTAGTGTGATTGAACACAGATGAGCTCCATCGGTTTAGATGAGTTTGATTCCATGTGTCCAGTCTTCGCATTTCCATCCCATCTCAAATTCCCCCAGTGGAAGAGACCGACGATTGAACAAGCCGTTAGATGCTGACCTCAAGGAAAGCCTTGGCATTTACTACAACTACCAGGTTTTGCTACCAGGTTTTGCAGGTCCACCATACCCCGATCGGTGCCCGGCTTTGCAGTGCCGGGCTCCCTATAGATTGCGCCCCCGGCTGGAATGGATTGGCTCACTTCCGCAGTTGTACCGTCATCTTGGTATGCGGGGCCAAAAGACCGCTATGCACTCAAGGTAAGCATTGTGATATCACAATTCCTTTGGCTCTTGTGGGGGCTCCCATCGTTGCCATTGCACCATTGACAACTACCTTAAATCACAGCTCCTATGCTATTCCTCTATAATCCATCTTAAGAGGAGCCAACCCTGAGGTCATCAGGCTGTAAATCCCGGCACTTATTTGTCTAGCCGTCCAAAGGCTCGGCATACCGCTGGCCATGTTTTGCTGGTCCCTATTTTCTTCCTCAGGAAAGCATGAGAAGCTTGGCCGATCTTTGTTGACATTTGCGCCCTTCTCGTCCTCAACAAAAGGGGTCAACGATATGGTCGTGTCCTTTTCGCCCTACCCAAGGTGCCGCCGACCAAAAAGGGACCCCCTTCCCCCCATGTCCCCTGAAACCCACTTAGTCCCCTAAGGGGATTCCTTTCTTCCGGCTCTCAACTTGGTGTTTTCTTTGTAGGGGACCCCCCAAAATGGGTTTCGGTTTTCCTTGCATTTCTCTTTGAACCCAACCCAAAAACAGGGCTTCCTCAAAAGCAGACAGACCCACTTAGGCAGCAGATCATTTGCTCGGTGACCTGCCAAGAGCTGAAGGAACCGCGGGATCCTGCTGAAAGGGTCCCACCTGAGGTCATTCCAAAGACTTTGTCTTTGGGGCGGCACATCACAAAGTCGTGCCTCAGTTTGGGGCAGTTTATTATTATTATTATTATTATTATTTTATATATTTTTATACATGGGGGAGAAGGTTTCGAAGAAGTCGCGCCTGCACCCCCCTCTTGCACTTGGAGTCTCTTTCTCAGGTTCTATTTCCGCTTGTACTCGGGAGCGCATCTTTTCAGGAATTCGTCGTATTCCTTCAACTCGCCTCCGGGAACAAGCGACGCAGGAGCGGTTTCTGCCTGAGCTTACGGACTACTTCGCGCAGATGGTGAAGCGCCAAGACCTCTTCAAGCAGGCCTTCCGGAGAGCTGGCAAGCAAAGTAGAGCTTTTGGGGGCACTCAATAGGTTTGGAATGGATGAAGTCAGTGTCCTTGTGGGATGAAGTTTAAGGAAACGCCAGAAGAACAATTCAAGCTTTCAGGAATGCGGAGCCGCCTCGGTCGATTGACCAATGGAGCACGCGTGGCAACTCCAAATCAAGGTGGACGACTACTCAAGAGACCTGACAATTTTCCTGGAACATCGGACCCTTTGGTTCCATGTTAGTGAACAGAGGGTACCCCAGGACATAAGTTTTCACCAAGTTTGTCTCAGAATAGGGGAACCCTCCAAATCCCTCAAACGGGCGCCAAGAGCCATTTGAACGACTCACCCAGAAGCGCCAAATGAATTGAGAAGCCCTGGGCATAAGCCTACCGCGTTCCTTTCGCGAGGCGGGGACTCCGGAAGGCATCCCGGAAGAGGAGGGCAAGGCAGAGGCAGGGACCGGGACGGCCCCCCTTGAGGGCGTTGTTTTGGGACAAATGGAAAAAACAATGGGAAAACAACCATCTTTCGGGCAGCCCCAAACATAATACCCCCCTGTGGTGACCCTCCGCTACCAAGTCAAAGCAAATAGACACCGTCTCCACTTCCTTTTCCAACCCCTTCGCACCGCAACAATTCTTCTGGACTTCCTTTTTGTTGCTCCTACACACCACATCAATTATTTTTGGCTTCCTTAGCAGCCTCAAACTTCCAGTTCCCCCAACTCCATCACCCGAAAAACTCCACGCCGAGAACTCCATACCAACCGCCATGGGTCAAAAAATCCAACCAGAATCTGGATCGCAGGTTTTACCCCTTTCCATTTACCAGGAGGGGCGCCCCCCATTTTTTTCGGCAGGGGGGTGACCAACGATTTCCCCCACGGCCACCCCAAAAAAAACGCCCCGCGCGCGCCGCCCGAAGCCGCCGGCTTCGGCGAGGCCTTCACCATCGATGAGCTGCGAAAGGAGATTGGCGAGGAGGTGCGGCAGGCGGCCTACGTGCAGGCGGAGTCGGGCGAGTCTCGGGCGCTGGTCGTGTCCCGGCCGCGGGAGGACCATAACCCGTAAATGGACAACGTCTAGCCCCGGTTGGGGATTGGTGGTTTTTTTCGACCAGCTGTTCAAATCGGGTTCTATCAATCGAAGTGGAGCGAAGTGGACGTCCGTCCACATCAAATGGATTGAATGGGTTGCTGTTTGTTGCGACTTGTTGCCATTGTTGCAAGGCCCTGATCCTAATCAATGTGACTTAGCTACTCAAGGCCTTGTCATGTGCGGGCGGGTCCAGCACCGAGCCAAGTGGAACAAAACGCATTGACCCCCCCCCAAAAAAAAGAAGAAGAATAATGAAAAACAACGCACAAACAACTTTGGGTTGCGACCCGCTACCAGTTCAGATTTCCAGGCCCCAGAAAGTCGAAGTGGGTGGTGTGAAGCATGTGGATGGACAAACAAAAACCACCAGGCGACGGCGATTTGTTTCATGGGCCGAGTTTGGTACTTCGAGTTCCACGGTTTGGGGACTCCGGGCTTGAGGCCAATGAGAACGTGGACGCCCAGCTGAAGTCTCACCTCCGCAAGGCGCTGGAGGCGCCGTTCGCGGGGTTCGAACCGCGGTTCGCGGGGCTCGCGGTTCGGGGGGGGAGCTACTTTAACGGGGGGGAAAAGGGAAGCTCAGAGCGGAGTGTTCCTGACGGTTTTCTCAAAGTGATCCCCAGGCGCTTTTGTAATTCTGGGTGAGGGCAGTGGATCTTCACATCATCTACTTCCGGCTGGGTGGGTGGGTTGACCATCTAGCTCACTTTCGGTGAGGTCAGAACCTCTGGGTGTTTTCCATAAAATTGAGGGCGTCCCGTTTGATAGAGTGATCCTGTACTTGCGGGCTCCAACATACCCTGTGAGCATACCCCGGACCCCAAATGAAAGCCACTATCATCATGGGAGGGTTGGGGTATGCTCAAAAGGTATGGTTCTTGGAACGTTGGAGGGGGGTGCATGTGTCTGCCAGCTTTGGCGAAACAGGGCATCCTTTGGTTGCCAGGTGAAGTGCCACTGGGCCGAGTTGGGCGACGACACGCTGGAGGAGGAGGGATCCTATTGGCAAGTTGAAAGGAATTGGACGATAGAACTGGTGAAGTGGACATGGAAAGCCCAGTTTTCTTTGGTCAAGCGAAATGTGATCACCTTTTACTGGGTCCTCTGAGCCTTCAACAAGAAATAGATTGTACTAGGACATGGGTATAGGGGCGTGAGTGAGGAAGGCTTCCATGAACCAGTTGCAGGAGCTGTCGACTGCCGCGTACTTCGTGGCAGAGCGCGAGGCGAGTCCCTCGCAAAGCTGCTTTGAGCTGACGCCAAGAGTGACCATGCTACTATCTTGCTGGTTCTCAGCAGCGAATGAGGGAACGACCCCAAAACTAACCATCCCCTATGGTTTCCTTTAAGGGAGTCCCTAGGTGAATTTCTAACCCCCTGGGTCATTCACTGTGCATGAGGGTTGATCAAAAGGTCCGATATATATATATATATAATATATATATATATATGTATGTATGTATGTATACGTATATATGGAACTATTGGTGTGAAAAACACGGAACATAGATGATCTTTTAACCACATGAGAAAAGTCACCCACGGTTGTTTGGGGGCCAGGAATATTGATCAACCCCCACATCTTGGGTACCCTCCCTCCCATATTCCTAAGGCACCTGACAGAGGGTCCCTTGAAAACGAACTTGATCTTCCAGGCACCCTCTGACACATGCCTTCTGTTTGCAGGAGGAAGGACATGTCATGTCCTTTTTTAGAAGTCGGACCTCCTAAGATGGTGCTTTCTTTTGGTTTTCTAAAACCAACCCCAAAACACGGTACCACCAAAGAAAACACCCCCCATGCATGTTCATTTTCATGTGCGGTATGCGTAAACGCTGTGCACATTAGCTGATATATGCACATGTGTATATATTCGGCCAAAACGTATGTCTTGCCCGCGACCGCCCGGAGGCAGGCCCCCAAAACCTCCAAAAAACGTGGTAGGCGCAGCAAAAAAGGATTTCCCAGCCCGCGAGCCCCACCCCAGCTTCATGCCCCATACCCCCTTCATGGAGCGCGGCGACTTTTCCTGGTTATATACTGCTATCATCAACACAGCCCGAAATCTAAACCAGAGAAGCCAGCCTCGGATGCACCTAGAAACCCTACTAAAAACCCCCAAACCCTAAACCTAAACCCTAAAAAAGTAAACTTAAACCCTAAAAACCTTAAACCTAAACCCTAAGATAACCATTAAAAAAACCTGAAAATCCTAAACCTAAACCCTAAAAACCCTCAACCTAAACCCTAACAACCCTAAACCTAAGCCCTAACAACCCTAAACCTAAACCCGAAAGAACATAAACCTAAACCCTAAAAACCTTAAGCCTAAACCCTAAAAAGCCCTAAGCCTAAACCCAGAGAACCCTAACCTGCCAACACGATCATGACCTTATGGGCGACACGTATGTTTTGTGGGTATATATTCATATATATGCACACGTTTGCGGGTTTAGAATTGATGCGTTCCTAAATGAATTACTAAATTGAGCTTCCTTTAGGCTGGGGGGAGATGTTCTAGGGGACACCATGGGCATTGACTGTCCCTGTTTACCCATGATCGTCCAGGGAATCCACCATACCCCTCCCACCATGCAGGGCCTTCTGCCAAACATCGACATGGATACCGTGGAGAGGGAAACCTGGGACAAGCCGGCGCCCAAGCGGGCGGCAAGATGTCGGGGTGACGGGGCCCTAACATCGCATGGCGCACAATGGAAATCAACAGATGGTAACAAGTGATGCTGTATTTATTGATATGCCCGCGATAGTGGAGAGCGTCTTATCATCGGGGGATGTTCGAATGCTTTTTGCTGGCATTTCTTCCCCACACCGTAAGTTTGACGGGTTGTACTCAAAGGGATCCATTTCGACCATCTTGAAAGGCAGCAGATGACACCTTTTCTCTCACGAGGCGCCATTGGATTTCTTAAAAATAGATGCCTGATATTCTCTTAAGCCCGAGATATTGGGGTGTGTCTTTTTTGGCACCTTTTTCTTCTTCTTCTTCTTCAGTTGGAAGGTCCCTTTAAAACGACATACCCACTGCGATACTTACAGATGTGTTGGATCGAAGTGTCAGTCCAAGCTCCTGAGACTTTCCGCGAGCTTTCCCTAGCGACTGAGCACAGGTTGGGCGAGCCGGACAGCGGGGAGACAATGAAGCAAGTCGGCAGCGATCCCGCGCGGGAATTCCAGGAGAGTTGCCAGAGACAAGTGACGACCAAAAAGGGAAAGAAATTCGAAGGTACGGTGGATGCCCCGTTCGCCACACGGAAAAACCACACAACCCTGGTAAACTACGGCTAAATCCAGGGGGGTGCAAGTTCCCCATGCTAGAGCATCCGAACCTTCCCAGACACAGCGGTGGCCCTTTTTTCCTGTTTTGGGACGGGGGTTTTCTTCCACCCCTTAGTCCCATGGCCACTGGTCGGGCCTCAAGTTGTTTTCCTCCCCTTCTAAGTTCCCACTCAGTTGTTCTTTTAAAACTCTTTCACCCACCTGCCCCTAAGAGTGTGGTTTTTGTTCCAAGCAAGGAACATGAGTCTGATGGTCAAAATCGGTTTCCGCTTTGTGAGATGGGAGGCCAGTGTAAAGGCGCAAAGCTTGCCTTCAAGGGGTGGTTTGGCGAACCGGGCACCTCGGTGACCGCGTCGCATTCACCAATTTTGGGGCTTCCTTCAGGTTGTCCATTTTCCTTTTTGGAACCGAAAGTGGCGGATGGAAGTCGCGAGGCAATTGTCAACTTTTGAAGGGGAGATGTAGTGGCCGCTGTTCCTTTTTGGTTCGTGTTTTGCCCGGCACAGGGCTAAGCTTCTAACAGAGGCCCCTTGTGCAGGATATGTGCTCAAAGAAAAGCCAGATGGTAAGCAGCCACTTTCGGGCCCAATTTAAGAGGAACCACCTCACAAGGACTAGGGGGAATCCTAGAATTCAGTTCCTACGATTTCAGTTGCTATATAAATGCCCACGTGGACCAAACAACTTCGCTGGGATTGGCACGCCTCAAGGGACTGATGTTCCCAAAGCACCCCTCTGGTTAGTCTACATTGAAGCTTCTTCGTGGCCAAGAAACTTGATTGCTTGCTTTGCGGCTTGATGCATGCCCCCCCAACCACGGAGCACTGGGTTGAGGAAAACGGCCTTCCAAGAGACGCCAGAGTTCGGTTAAACATCTCGGCCATCGCCAGGACGCCAACCGGATCATCTTCCGGAGGCATCTGATGGATGAGGACCGGAGCACGTCTGCACCTCCCACGGGCAAACCCCTGAAGAGAAGCCCTGAACAAAGAACATGAGGAAGGCCACAGCAACAGCAGGATTGTTTGGGGCACAAGGGCCAGGTTTTCCTCGGCCTTTCCGGGGTGTGGTGTTGCATCGGTTTTCAAGTGGGGCGGCAGGTCCTCAACTGGCTGCGGCAGAATATGGAGATGGTAGAAGCCGGCGAGGGCCAATAGCTGGGCGTCAGGAGGCTATGGCATGCCAGTGACAACCAAACCTAGGCTTGGATCATGAGTCCCCTACATGGGGAAAAACCCTATGCTCACTTAGGGGACTTGAGGCACCGCATTCTGAGTCCAAGGATGCGGAAGGGACAAGTGGGAGCCAAGCCGAGCAGCGGGGACTTTTGAACGCCCCGAGCTCGCGAAGCCACGCTTGGGAGAATCTAGCGCGGTGACAGGTATGGTTCGGCGATCAGACCCCTGAACATGGTTTGTTTTGTTTGAAGTGTAGGATAATGTCGACTTCAGTTGAACAAAGGGGTCCCCCCAAAATTTGATTGTCTTGAAAGTTCCCAGTTCATATTTAATTTGGGGTTGTGGTCTTGAAGTACTTGTTGTACTGCTTGTAGTACTTGTAGAAGTTTGGCCGAATTTTATTCACATGAGTTGTTTGGGTGGTTTATTAGTATGGGTGCTGCGGAGAACAATAGGGTATTGTTTGTCAATTAGCTTTAGAGTTGGCCCCCGCTTAGTTTAGCATTGGGTCTGGCTGGCCCACAATTTTATTATTCCGAACCCAACAAGTTAGATTAAGTCGACATTAACATTTGAGGACAAACACCTAGCACCTGGAGGTGCTTCCAAGCGAGGCGGCGTGCAAAATGCACGTATGGCAAGTTTCTCCGGCAGAGCCGCAGCCAAGTTTCCAAGACAAAACCTCCGGCCGCGTGGCGCCGCAGGCTCTTGGTCTTTGCTTAGAAACCTCGCACGAGCCTGAACATGAAAGCTTGAGTGTGCCACATGCTTGGCGCGCCAAGAACTCGGATGTTTGTTTCTGGGTTGAGTTGCAGTTCCGTTTTGTCCTTCCAATGTTTGATTCTGCCAAGAAACGGTGGGGGGGGGGGGACGTGAAGGTCATGCCCGCAGCTGTAGGGGATCAGACATGTGGTCCGGAGGTGCTGGGACAGGTGGGCTCCCGTTTCGCGTTTCTCTTGCAGTGCGCACTGCCCTGTTTGGAAGACCATGAGCTGTTGGTCGGTTTTGAGATCCATCATCCGCTGGCCGCCCGGACCCTGAGGTTTTGGGGTCGGCGGAATCTCATGACCCTTTTCGGCAAATGTGCGCCCGAGAACGGCCCAAATCCGAGGGGGGATTCGAGAATTCCGCATGCACCGTGCATTCGAGACACACACACACAAATGACACATGCGCACCACCCACAAGGAGCCTCAAGGATTTTTGTTGAAGCAAACATCGAGTCGAATACAATCCATTGGCAAGCACTCCCAAGTTGCGTCGGGCACTACAACTGTTTAGAGCCTTCGAAAGCAAAACAACGCACAAGACCTTAAGGGAAGACACATGCCAACAACATCTTTGTCAGAGCCTCGTTGACCCATTTCGATTGAGCAACTTATCCCAGCCCAGTAACACGCTTTGTTCTCTTGTTTGGCAAGGGTTTAATAACCTGTAAAAACAACCGACACAAACTGGGGGAACGGCCTTGTTTTGTTCCCACGGGCTCGGGCTGAGTTATTGACCAGCATGTTGGTTCGAGAACTCGCGTCAGGTGACCATGCAATCCCAGCGACGGTCTGCCAGTGAAGGCTTGCGCAGCAGCCAATGGTGGGTGTCCTTCTAAAGGCCCCTTTCGACTGGCGGGTTCCTTTTCAACCCAAAAAGCCGATTGCTGGGCTTTTGCCTGCCCGTTTGTTTCCAGTGGTCCAGCTGTTGTTTCCGCCCTGGAAGGCAACCTACAGGTTGCACAAGCCGAACCGGCGAGTGACTTGTCTTCTGTTGCAAATACCCTTCCTCCCACAAAGATGGCACCTGTGGGTAGCTGGAAGATCAATTTCCTCTTAAAGGGACCGTTAGGTGTCATGGGAACGTGGGAGGGAGGTCAAAAGCCCGTCTGAAAGGCAAGTCCCCGTGCCCGTACGTCTGGGAAGCTTATTGCAAAGAGCCTGCCTTGTCGGAGCTTTGGGGCCGTTTCCCCTTTCTCTTCCCCCATCGGTGCTTGCGAAAATCCAATTTTCCAGGTTGCGGGTTTTCGGGGCGGTATCTTCGTCAGAAGCAAAACCACATATCTTTAGAGTCCAACTCCCTATGTTGACACCTTCCATGCGCGCACGATACTTTTCATCCTCCCCTGAAACGGCTTTCAAGGGAATCTATCTCCACTGGCAGAGTTTGTGCATTCCTTGCAGGGACTTAAATCAGCGAACGGAGGCCGCATTGCCAGATCCCCTTGGTCCACTCGGTGAGGCCGCACCGCCAGCAAGTGGTACCGCGCGGTGACGCCCCATGTGCGCGGGCAGGCGAATGCGGCGTTTCGCGCTTGGGGCGAATTTGTTTCACCTTTCGAGGGCACTGAACATGTACCCTGTTCAAATAATACGTGCATTCATTTTAGGGTTTGCTTTTGGTTTCCACTTAAAGTCACAAAAAACAAGTACCCACTCAAAACACAAGAAACCGGCCCAATTCGGGCTGTTCAAACAGTGGTCCCAGTTGTCCAAAACCGACTTATTCACCTTTTGGTTTTCCATGTTTCTATGTCTGGCCCCAAACCGGTCACCTTTTTTTCCGGGGCAGAGTGGTTGCTCCAATTTTTGCGCCGTCTTTGCCCCCGCGAAGGACAGGGACAGCCTCACGGACTGGCAGCGCGCCTACGACAACAGGTACGATCGCGGGCTGGGGACCTTCGATTCGACCCCCCCCTGACTGTCTTTTGTTCAACGTGTGTGTGTTTTGGTTGGTTTCAAAGGGAAGCCAAAAGGAGAAGCGACATCCGCTTTGAGGGGGCTTTTTGGAAAAGAGAAGCACCCAGATGTGTAGCTCGTTCGAGATTGAAGCGGTAAAGGATGATGAGAATCACGCTTTGGGATCACGGAAAGGGCAATTCTCCACAATCGTTGACATGTGTCAACGTTGCGCAGGCAAAGTAGGGACCCCCTGTTTTTTTGCGGCTTGACCAGACCAAAAGGACAGCTGGCCCGTTGCGAGGTGCTTTCGAGTTTGGATGCGCGTTTTAGCTTCTTCAGGGCTCTTCGCCCATGACATTGTGGTCAATGTGGGAGGAGCCTGCAGAACACAAAGCCTCAATTTTACGAACACTAACAAATCCGGGGAAACCCACACGCACACACACGTCCAAACCCACACACAACAAATAAGAAGCCTTCCCCATGTCAAAAGGTTCGGGGGAAGAGGTTTGCACATTTCCCATCGGGAAAAAATCCAGAAGTCCCTTTTCAGCCGAAGTCCCAGGCCCCGCAATCGCCATTTGGCGGTCCGGTGTTGCCAGGTTCATGGTGACGTCGCTGTCCTACATGCACCGCCATGTGGGGGAATGCGTGGCACAGGTCCACCGAACTCATGCGGAGAAGCAGGCGCCAGCGTTTTTCTTGTGAGAGGAGGGGAGTGAAGGTCCCAAGAGTCCCGAGAAGCATCGCCCTTTGGGCGGAAGTGGCTACTGTTGCTGACTGGAACATGCTTCTAGAACCTGAATGAGCATCTTTGCAATCAATTTATTGGCCCCTCTTTTCGAAACAGTTTTGGCTTGACTCCAAGATATTTGTTTGGGGAGCCCCTCAGAAGTGGTTGGTGGGCACAAATCTAAAGGATGTCCACCAAAGGTGCTGCATTAGCATTCACACCCGTGTGTTGAAGCATCCTTAAACCAAATTGCACCAAGTTGCCCCGCTGCATCTTCCAAGGAGTTCTTCAACCAGCACCAGCTGCCGAATCTCACTTGGATGGACTGGAATTGCGCCACACATGCCAAGAGTTGGAGGTTTCATATGGACTTGTCTCAACATGGATTCCCTCAAAGCAGGTGTTTTTTTGTTTTTGTGTTCCTTTAAGCCAACCAGGCGCCGGACGTTGAACCAAGCCGGAGCCGGAACCGCCAACCTCGACTCATTGAGCCACCGTGGCTTTTTGTCACTCATTCCAGAAGCGGGGCTTTTGGGCGCGGATGGGGTCGCGTAAATCTGAACGCGTCAGTGAGGGTTTGCGAGCCGTTTCCCTTTTTGGAACCTCCTTTGAGGCGGGAGTTTCGACTGGAACAATCAATTGATCAGCTTTTGATTTGGGGAACTCCTTTCTTTTGAGTGTCAGGACCTGAACATGATGACCCACGACCGGTCAATTCGCCAGCGCCAGCCTGCGTGCCTGGGCTCCAGTTGAGAGGGAAAGCTGGGCGTTTGAACAACCGCATTTTTTGTTTGGGCGGGGGAAGGGGGGGTTCACAGGAGGGGGCGAAAGGAGAACCACCCCGTTTTGTTGGCGAGAGGGCGGGTGCCCGACGTTGAGGACGTCGTTTGTTGAAGCTGAGACAGATAGCGCACGTTGTGCGCAGGTACTTTGGTGATGTGGGCGGTCCTCCACGCATTGGAGCTGCTTGCAGAGGAATTGATGAATCGCCGGCGGAGCCTCTTGTTGCTCTGGGTTCAAAGCAACTTTCTGAACATGACCCTCGAAATTGCGTTGTTTGGTTCAAAGTCAAAGGGAAGTGTTTCACCCCAAACTAGACTCAACATGCGTCTTCTTGTCCTTCAGGGTCCCGGGGTTTTCAGCCAAAGATAGAGGGGCGTGAAACTGGAGTGGCTGCTACACCTTATTGCGGCATTTCCCCCCAAAAAAGGTACCCTCAAAGGGATCCACAAACCAACTTGCTGGTTCTCAGGAATCAACAGGAGGTTTGGGAATGAAGCCAGGGATCCCCTTAAAGGATCCCAAAAGGGATGGTTTTAGGAGTCATTCCCTCATTCCCGGCCGAGAACCAGCAAGAAAAGGCGGCGCCGAGCCGTGGGCAAGCCGTAGGTCTTGGGCAAGCGGGTGGCGACACCTCTGGAGAACCGGGTGCTGCAGCCCAAGCTCAACCTGGGCAGTAAGGCGAGTCGGGTTAGTGGGGAGGGAAATATGGATTCAGAACCCTTTGCTTCCATAAGAATATATGTTCATATTGTGTTCGCCAGTCAGAAGTAGAATGGAATCTATCACTATGCACGTATGTTCTCAGTTTTCTGGGGCACTTAGGCAAATTAATGATATTGGAGAGGGGACTCTCCCCAAAATGGCGGCTGGACATGAAAACCCATGTAAATTGATGTCCATCAAGGGGTCTCTAATTACATTTTATACCCACAAGAGACAGCTTCGCCCCGCGAATCATGGTAGAAAAGATTGGGTGGGCAAAACATACTGGGCTGCTCAATGGTGCTTTAGGACCAGATACTCGACATGCTTAGGTGTGAAATGGGAAAAGGAACCACCGAGGTCAACCGGTTTCCATTGAGGAGACATGTGGCCAGCTTTTCTTAGTAGAGTGGTTGGCTAACATTTTGTGCGTGTGGCGCAGGCTTTGCGAGGCTTTGGCACCAACTTCGGCGCGAAGTGAGCGCCGAGAAGAATGCCCCAGCGGCCCACTTTGAAGTTGCCTTGCGCATTTTTCTCAGGTGTATCCCTGAATAATCATTTTGGATCTTTTTGCACGAAGTCGGAACGTGCAAAAGTGGAATCGGGCATGGACACCAACAAAAGGTAGGAGACCATCCTTAGATCATGTGGTGCACCTAGCGCGGTTCTTCTTCTTCCTGTTTTTTTTTTTTTGTGTGTGTGTGTGTGTGTGCGCGTTTCCCCAGAGGCAGCCGCTTCTGCCGCCTCGCGAACGCGAGGCTGACAGGGTTTCACACGTCGAGCTCGCAGAGCGCGTGCCAGAACGAAGAGTCGGTTCTGGAAGCGGTCGTTAGTGCCAAGGGGACCCCAGCAAAATTGACGGTTTCCCTTTTCAGCAAATCCCTTGTGGGGCCTCTTGTTTTCGGGGCCTTCCAAAGAGCTGGAAGAAGCAGGAAGCATCAGGAAACAGCAGCAAAGAAACATGAAACAGCAGGAAACAAAGCAGCCCTTGAACGTAGAGCTCGCGCTTGCAAGGGTAAGCTCCGCGAGCACACATTTTTATTGTACACGCTTCGTGCTGCCCGCCTCGGCCAGCATCAGCCAGTTTCGGCTTGCTGTGAAGGAATGGCATTTCGTTGTGGGCGCTCACTTCAAGGACGCTTGCAGGCGCTGTCGGCTCCCTTTGTGCCTCTCTTGGTGGGCTGTCTTGGTGGACGCTTGTGGGCGGAAGTCTTGCGGGCGATGTTCATGAGCGCTTGCGGACGCTTTGTGGGCGCTCCTTCGTGGGGCTTGTGGGCGCATGTGGGCCACAAGGACGGAAGTCTTGCAAGCGTGCGTGATGAGTGCTTGCGGGCGCTTGTGGGCAGCACTGTTGCCTCTGTGGGCGTTCCTCTTGGCGGGTGCTTCTAGGCGCATGTGGGGGCTCTTCTTGGGCGCTTTTGGGTGTGCGGCGCATATGGGCGCTCGCCCACTGCCGCCCACAAGCGCCCGCAAGCACTCATGAAGAACGCCCGCAACCACCCACAAGCACCCACCAAGAGCGCCCACAAGTGCCCGCAAGCAATTATGAAGGGAGCGCCTGCAACAGTGCCGCCCACCCCCCCCCTCACACCCCACAAGCACCCAATGAAACCCCGCCCACATGCGCCCACAAGCGCACCCAGCAGAGAGCTAGGGTTGCGCTGTTGCGGGCGCCCTCAGCGGTCCATATGGGCGCTTACATTACTGGGGTTCAAGCCTTCTTTTCATGGGGGTTGAACATGTTTACCTGACTCTGAGTGGACTGGCCAAAAACTGCAACCAAAGTTGTCGTTTACAACTAACATGATCTTCCCAAAAATAACTAAAGTCCAGGACCAGGGAGTGAGAATCCAAAGGGAAGGGTTCAAGTTGCCGCCTGTTAATGTTTACAAGGGCGGCATTCAACGACACCTTCTGGAAGCATTTCTGGCCCAACAGCTGAGAAAGGTTGCCCAACCCCATAGCCTTTGGCCGCAAGGTTGTTTTATTTTTGGACTAGCTGCGCCGCGCATATCTAACCGTCAACCTATTCGGCTCGTCTTGTTGAGGGCCCGCAAGGAGATTCTCCTTTTGCTTTCCCTGTCCCTGTCTGTCAAATTCGGTCAGGTCTTGTGTCATTTGCCCAGAACCCAAGCTTCTTGGTGCCACTCGCCTGCCCAAACGCATAACAGCCTTGCCTTTTCATCGCCCAATAAGACGCCCAAGCGCCCACAACGCTGCCCACAAGCCCAGCCACAGACTGGCGCCCACATGCTCACAAGCCCCCAAAACTGCCCACAAGCACAAGGAAGGGCGCCCGCAACGGCGCTCCCGGAAGACGCCCAAGGAAGAACAGCCGCGTCAAAACCACGACGCCCAGAAAGATGCGCCCACAAGCCCAAGAACAACGCCCGCAACGCCCAGCAAGAACGCCACTCACATGTGAGTATCTGGGAAGCTCAGTAGTTTTAGACCCTTTGACCGATGGACAAAGGCGAAGTCTCACGTGTTGGGGTTGGACCATTTTAGTGGTTGTGGCTTTGGACATTTTGCTGAGCTTGTGTGGGCGTTGTTGTGGGCGTTCTTCCTTGCGCGGGCGTGGGTGGCGTTGTGGGCGTCGGTGGCATTGTGGGCGCTCTGTTTTGGGCCTGGGGGCGCTTTTGGGCGGTGTAGTGCGCTCTCTCTCTCTCTCTCTCTCTCTCTCTCTCTCTCTCTCTCTCTCCCTCTCTGTCTGGAGTTTGTGGTTGCTAGCGACTCCGGAGGCTTGTTTGTGGATGACCTCTAGCTACTTTTGTGAGTACCCAGGCGCACGTAAAACTTCAGCGCCTTGTGTGTCCGTGCGCGCACACGCTGCGTACGTGAATCAGTGTGCAAGAAACAGCTGGCGGCGGGAAGGGAGAGAGGGAGGGAGGGCGGAGAGGGAGGAAGGGAGGGAGGAAGGGAGGAAGGGAGGGAGGGAGGGAGGGAGGGAGGGAGGGGGGAGGGAGGGAGGGGAGGGGAGGGGAGGGAGGGAGGGAGGGAGGGAGGGAGGGAGGCAGAGTGTTTGTGAGTGTTTATGAGTGTTTGTGAGTGATTGTGAGTGTTTGTGAGTGATTGTGAGTGTTTGTGTGAGTGTTTGTGAGTGTTTGTGAGTGTTTGTGAGTGATTGTGAGTGTTTGTGAGCGTTTGTGAGTGTTTGTGAGTGCTTGTGAGTGTGTGTGTGTGTGTATGTGTGTGCGTGTCTGTGAGTGTTTGTGAGTGTTTGTGAGTGTTTGTGTGCTTCTGAGTGCTTGTGGTTGTGCGCACTTTTGCTCTTGCTGGGATTGTGGGCGCTTTTGTTGGGCTTGTGGTTCTTGTGGCTGTGGCTTGGGCTTGTGGGCGCTTGTGGGCGCCCTTGCTGGGCTTCTAAGTGCTTCTGCTGGGCTGTGGGCGCTTTTGCTGGGCTCAGCACTTGTGGGTGGGCGCTTTTGCTGGCCTGCTCTTGCTGGGCTTGTGGGCGCTTTTGCTGGGATTGTGGGGCTGGGCGCTTTTGCTGGGCTTGTGGGTTTGTGGCGCCCACGTGCGCCCACATGCGCCCACATGCACTCGCGTCAGCCTGTTTTTTCCTCGTTTTTTTTGCTGTCGGGCCGTTTTTCGACACACAAGTGCCCAAGTGCCCACAAGCGCCCACACACAAGGCTATGCACTGTTGTGGGCGCCGACACAAGCCCAGCAAAAGCGCCCACAAGCCAAAAAGAGCGCCCAAACCCCAGAAGCGCCCGCAAGCCCACGCCCAAGCGCCTACAAAAGCCCAAGCGCCCACAAAATCCCAAGCGCCCACAAGCGCCCAAGTCTTACAAGCCCGGTAAAAGCGCCCACAAGCCCAGCAAAAACGAAAAGCGCTTTTGCTGAGCCTGTAAGGGCCTCTTGTTGGGCTTGTGGGCTCTCTTGGGCTTGTGGGCGCTTTTGCTGGGCTTGTGGGCGCTTGCGCTCTTGCTGGTGGGCGGTTTTGCTGGGATTGTGGGCGTGAGAGGGCAGTTGTGGGTGGGCGCTCTTTCTGGGCTTGTGGGCGCTTGTGTGGCTTGTGGGCGCTTTTGCCGGCGCCCGCATGCGCGCCCACATGCGCCCACATGCGCCCACACGCGCCCACATGCACTCGCGTCAGCCCGTTTTGTCCCGCTCGTTCCCGTTTTTTCCCGCTCGTTCCCGTTTTTCCCCGTTTTTTCCCGCTCGATCCCGTTTTTTCCCGTTTTTTCCCGCTCGATCCCGTTTTTCCTTCTTTTCCCACAATCACCCAGAAGTGCCCACAAGCGCCCACATGTTTCATCCCTTTCGCTTTTGCTGCACTTGCGCTTGTGGGCTTTTGCTGGGCTTGTGGGCGCTTTTGCTGGGCTTAGGCTTGTGGGCGTTGGCGCGTGCTCGGGCGCTTTTGCGTGGGTGGGCTGGGCTTGTGGACGGCTGGGCTTGGCGATCTTGTGGGCTTGTGGGCGCTTTTCCTGGCTTGCGGGTGCTTGTGGGCGCTTTTGCCGGGCTTGTGCTGGGCGCTTGTGGGCGCTTGCGATTTTGTGGGCGCTTGGGCTTTTGCTGGGCTTGTGGGCGCTTGTAAGCGCTTTTGCTATGTGGGCTTTTGCTGTGCCTGTAGGGGCTTGCTGGGCTTGCGCGCGCTTTTGCTGGGCTTGTAGGCGCTTTTGGCGAAGCGCTTCTGCTTACGGGCGCTTGTGGGCGCTCTTGTTGGGCTTGTGGGCCTTTGCTGGGCTTGTAGGCGCCTGTGGGCTTTTTGGGCGGGCTTTCTGGTAGGCGGTTTTGCTGGGATTGTGGGCGTGTGTGGGCGGTTGTGGGTGGGCGCTATTGCTGGGCTTGCTGGGCTTGTGGGCACTTGTTGGCGCTGTTGCTTGGGCTTGTGGGCGCTTGTGGGCGCCTTGCTGGGCTTCCAAATGCTTTTTGCTGGGCTTGTGGCTCAGCACTTGTGGGTGGGCGCTTTTGCTGGGCTGCTCTTGCTGGGCTTTGCAGGCGCTGTTGCTGGGATTCTGGCTGGGCTTGGCGCTCTTCTAGGTTTGTGGGTTTCTTGGGCTTGTGGGTTCTTGTGGGCGCTTTTGCTTGTGGGTTTGTGGCGCCCACATGCGCCGACATGCGCCCACATGCACTTGCGTTCTGCCGCTCGTTTTTTCCCGTTGTTCCCGCTTCTCGGGTTGCAACCCACCATCACCCAGAAGTGTATCCCTTTAAGATGCACACAAGCCCAAAGGCTGCAACGTTGCTGCGAGCAGGCGGGCGCCTGCAGGTGGCAGCCTTGCTGCACTTTTGTGAGGATTCTGGTTGGGCTTTGCTGGGCTTGTGGGCGCTTTTGCTGGGCTTACGGGCGCTTGGGCTTGCTGGGCTTGTTGGTGCTCTTTGTGGGCGCTTTTGCTGGGCTTGTGGGCTGGGCTTGTGGGCGGCTGGGCTTGGCGCTCTTGTGGGGTTGTGGCCACTTTTTCTGGGCTTGACGGTCTGGCCGCTCTTTGCCTTGTGGGCGCTTTTGCTGGGCTTGTAGGCGCTTGCGGGCTTGCTGGGCTTGTGCGCGCTTTTGCTGGGCTTGTGGCTTGTGGGGGCTTTTGCTGGGCTTGTGGGCGCTTGTGCGCTCTCTTGGGCTTGTGGGCGCTTTTGCTGGGCTTGCGGGCGCTTTTGCTGGGCTTGGGCGCTTGTGCGTTCTTGCTGGTGGGCGGTTTTGCTGGGCTTGTGGGCGTGTGTGGGGTGCTGGTGGGCGCTTGTTGGCGCTGTTGCTTGGGCTTGTTGGCGCTTGTGGGCGCTTGCTTGGGCGGGCGCTTTCTGCTGGGCTCAGCACTTGTGGGTGGGCGCTTTTGCTGGCCTGCTCTTGCTGGGCTTGTGGGCGCTTTTGCTGGGATTGTGGGGCTGTGCTTTGGGCGCTTTTGCTGGCTTGTGGGCGTTTGTTGGCGCTTGCGGGCGCTCTTGGCTTTTGCGGGGCTTGCTGGGCTTGTTGGTGCTCTTTGTGGGCGCTTTTGCTGGGCTTGTGGGCTGGGCTTGTGGGCGGCTGGGCTTGGCGCTCTTGTGGGGTTGTGGCCACTTTTTCTGGGCTTGACGGTCTGGCCGCTCTTTGCCTTGTGGGCGCTTTTGCTGGGCTTGTAGGCGCTTGCGGGCTTGCTGGGCTTGTGCGCGCTTTTGCTGGGCTTGTGGCTTGTGGGGGCTTTTGCTGGGCTTGTGGGCGCTTGTGCGCTCTCTTGGGCTTGTGGGCGCTTTTGCTGGGCTTGCGGGCGCTTTTGCTGGGCTTGGGCGCTTGTGCGTTCTTGCTGGTGGGCGGTTTTGCTGGGCTTGTGGGCGTGTGTGGGGTGCTGGTGGGCGCTTGTTGGCGCTGTTGCTTGGGCTTGTTGGCGCTTGTGGGCGCTTGCTTGGGCGGGCGCTTTCTGCTGGGCTCAGCACTTGTGGGTGGGCGCTTTTGCTGGCCTGCTCTTGCTGGGCTTGTGGGCGCTTTTGCTGGGATTGTGGGGCTGTGCTTTGGGCGCTTTTGCTGGCTTGTGGGCGTTTGTTGGCGCTTGCGGGCGCTCTTGGCTTTTGCGGGGCTTGCTGGGCTTGTTGGCGCTTTTGCTGGGCTTGTGGGCGCGTTGCTGGGCTTGGTTCTTGTGGGTGCTTTTGCTGTTTGGGCGCTCTTGTGGGCGCTTTTGCTGGGCTTGTGGCGGTGGGTGTTTGTAGGCGCTTTTGCCGGGCTTGTGGGCGCTTGTGGGCTCTCTTGGGGTTGTGGGCGCTTTCGCTGGGCTTGTGGGCACTTTTGCTGGGCTTGTGGGCGCTTGTGGGCTCTCTTGGGGTTGTGGGCGCTTTCGCGGGGCTTGTGGGCGCTTTTGCTGGGCTTGTGGGCGCTTGCGCGCTCTTGCTGGTGGAAGATGCCTCAAAGAACCTAGGCCCAAAGCAAATGTGTCTGATCTTTGGTAAAAGACGCCCTGCTTACCCTTAATCCAAACCGGTTGTGGGTGGGCGCTCTCTTGTGGGCGTTTTTGCTGGGCTTGTGGGCGCTTATTGGCTTATAACGCTTGAGGGCGCTTGTGGGCTGCTAAGAGCTTTTCTTTTGCTGGGCTTGTGGGCGCTTGGGCGCTTGTGCGCGCTCTTGCTGGACTTGTGGGCGCTTTTGCTTTTTGCTAGGCTTGTGGGCGCTTGTGGGCGCTTTTGCTGGGCTGGCCCTTGTGGGCACTTGTGGGCGCTTTTGCTTTGTTGCTCTTGCTGGGTTTGTGGGCATTGTGGGCGCTTGTGGGCGCTTGTGGGCGCCGGTTTTTGGGGCGCTCTTGCTGGGCTTGGTTGGCGCTCGTTTTGGGGAGCTCGTGGGTGCTCTGTTTGTGGGCAGGGTTGCGGGGGTGGGCTTGTAGCTCTTGGCTTGGTGGGTGGTGTTGCGGGCGCCGCGCTTTTCGTGGGCGTGTGGGTGCTTCCATGTGGGCGCATGTGGGCGCTTGCTTGTGGGCGGAAGTGCTGCGGGCGCTTGCTTGGCGGGCGCGTGAGCGCATGTGGTCGCTTGTGGGCGGATGTGATGAGTGCTTGTGGGCGCTTGTGAGCGCAGGTGCTTTCTTGATGAAGTGTTGTGCTTCGGGTTGTGAACGCATACAAGCACTTGGAAGAAGTGCCTCTTGAGCGCACGTGGGCTTGTGGGCGCTTGTGGGCGCCAGTCAGTCTGGGTGGGTCATGAACGCGTGCGGGCGGAAGTCTTGGCGGTGTGGGCGGTAGCGTTGCGGGCGCTCCAGTCATGGGTTCATAAGGGCGCATGTGGGGCTGAACTGTTTTTGCGGGCGGTTTGCGCCCTTGTGGACGCTTTTAGCTGCCATGGTGCGGGCACCGGCACTTGCGGTTGCTTCTGGGCGGCGTTTTTGGGGGTCGCCTTCATGCGCATGTGGGCGCTTGTTGGGCGGCAGTGTTTAATGCCTTTCATGGGTGCTTGTGGGCGCTCTTTTGCGGGTCTTGTGGGCGCACGTGGGCGCTTGTGGGTGGAAGTGTTGCGTGCGTTCTCCACGAGTGTGCATGTGGGAGCTTGTGTGCGCTCAGCTTACGTTCGGATGTTTAGATGTTGCAGTCATCAGTACAAGAGTAAATCACGTCGGCATGTTCTTGAGACGCGCTGAGCCAGCGTCGACTTTGGACGCTTGGGCAGGTTTGGGATCTGGGTTTTTTGGTGTTTTATCCTGTGTTTTCCCGTGGCTTCAAGTTTTTTTCTGGAGGGCAGAAGGCCCCCACAAGCCAAGGCCCCACATGAAGTTTGCTGGCCTTTTGCTTTCCCAATAAAGCCACTCCAAAAGAAGGATCCTTAACAAAAAGCACCCCCAGACGAGATGACGAGAGCAACCATGAAGCGCCATGCGACCATGTTTGCCCGAGCTTGTCCAGCGGCTCAGAGATTAGTCGCAGCTCACAAAGAGAAGACGATGTGATTCTGTTGGGACGTGACTCTCGTGGAAGCTGATCAGCATTGCTTGGGGCTTTACAAAGAATAGGCCACTCTGAACATGGCGTTGCAAAGTTGTTGGCTTGGCAACCCGGGAGCTCACATTTGGCTGGGAGGAATGTCCTAGAACCTCAAATCATGTCAAATCCAAACCACTTGGAGGGGAACTGAGAAATTGTTCTCCAACTGAGCCACAATCAACCCCCAGATACTCCCAACCATAAATGGGTGCCTTCGCCCGCCTTTTTTGTGTTCTTCACACGGTCCTGGGTTTTGATCGTGACTCAACTGAGCCAAAGGGAGCCACCCGAGCCCATGGCCGAGGCTGCTTGGGGCTCAGGCAGAGCCATTGGGCCATCGGCTTCGGGTGTCGTCTTTTGAGAGGTGCTACCCAAGGAACAGCAAAAGGACACGGGAAAGCCATTATGGATATGAGGTGCATATCCTATTTTGAGCCAAGTAATGCCAAAATAATGGTGATAGTCATGAGCATCCGCGTAGCTTATGGAGTTATTCTCAACTCTCTTGGACGTGATGCCTCTGACAATCCCTCCTAACATGAAGCCTAGACATCCCCCCAGACCATTTTGCTTGACGCGCCCTTTGTCAGGTGGGAATCTTTGCTTGGCGCACCCTTTGAACTAGGGGGAGCCCCCCGAAACAAAAGATTCAAGTGACACGCTGGGACTTCACCATCCCAAATCTTTCTCATATGTGTTTCCTTTTTGTTTCCCTTGCAAACCGCCCCAAACATCGCAGAACAAATGATGACCGACGACGCGTGTGGAACGCATTCCCCTATTTTTTAATGCGCTGCCCAGGAACCTGAGGAACCTGGGCCCTTGCCGAAGGGCATCTACCACGATGGCTCGCGCTGGGGCGAGATAGGCGGGGTCACGGCCGTTTTGCGCCCACTCAACGGGTTCCCCCCATTTTGTGTGGGCTCGTCTTTTTTTCGTTTATTTTGGGGGGGATTTGGGCACCTCCAGAAGGGAAATGCCGGTTTTGTGCTGGTTTCTCCGCAGACCAAAAACAGGTAACCCCCCCAAAAAAGAAAGACTCTTGGGACCTTTGTTTCTGTTCCAACGACGACCCCAGAAGATTGCTGATTTTTTTTATGGCAGGTGTTGGTGCTTTCCCATCGCTAGTCTCCACTGAAGATACTGGGGATGGGGCAGGGTACTTAGTAAGTGAGCCGCAAGCTTGGTTACAACCCACTTAGGAGACTTACAACCATTCTAAGTGGGTTATAGCCACGGTTATTACCCACTTACTAAATACCCTGCCCCTTTAAGTCGGAGTGAGTCAAGGAAAACTTTGTTGCCAACTAATGGGTTTTCCATTAAACCCCAAGAAGTTAAACTTTTAGCAGGGGAGCAGAAAGCAACCGAGCAAACAGAGTCTCCAAGGCCAGAAAGCCTCGATCTGCTTCGGCGCCTATGCTGTGGCCCTGGCGATTGCTGTCGGTGCCTGGGCAGGACTGCCAGGGGGGGGGCTTTGTGCGCCAGGTTTTGGGGGGCCGGAAGCCCTTGGGTGTCACAATCAAAACGCGGGTAAATGAAGGTTAGTAAGGGGCAATCCCAGCCATAAACGGTTGCGCCCGCCTTTTCAATTCCTTACATGGTTCTGGGTTCACCATGTTTGTCACTCGTGTAAGAAAATCGAAGGGCCGCCAACCGTTTTGGGTGGTCCAATCCTGATTTTAGTTGCGATCCACTCCTTTCGGAGTGTTGTGCTTCGGCGTCTGGGATCATGCCGGTCGGTTGCAGGTGTCTTCCCAGCGTATCAGGCCCTAGTCATCCTGGCACCTCGGCTTGCCTTTTGATGTGGACCCCCTCAATAAGGATGTACATTGGTGGTGTCTTAAAACGGGGCACCCCCCAAAATGGTGCTCTGTTTCCCCGTGGTTTCCCTTTCAACCACCCCCAAAAAGGGTACCCTCGAGTGTCAAAGAGATATAATTGGGCGGGCCAAGGTTTTCATTACTCATTTGGGAAGGAGGTTCGCCATCATCCAGCGGCCATTCGAGTGGGAATCGCGACCCAGGTAGTGGCATTCATTCTTGAGATTGTCGCCAAGCCCCCATGCCGCATTTCAGACGCGTCTTTGTTGCAGAGAGAGAAAGAGAGCACCCTGGTCCCATTCAGATTCCTTCATCCCTTCTCCACGCCACCATTATTTATTGACCAAATTCTAATGGAGAAGGTATACAAGATGAAGGAAAGGGACAAATATTAAGGCATCATGTTATGACACCTCATTTGCCTATTTCTCCAGTTACATTTTTAAGAACTAATCTGTTGATACTGCAGAAATACAAATTGATAGAAGCAAGTGATGGCCATTCCGTTCTTCTCCCAGCCAGTGAACTCTCAGAGAAAAATATTTGGTGGGCGCGAAGGGAGAAGGCATGGAGAGGACATGATTTGCATGACTTTCCCACAGCTGTCTATGGCGGGTAAAGGAAAGTCATTTGTTTCCATCTCTATTTTCCAGTTCCATCGATGGCAGTTACCTGTCCTTTCAACTGTCGGTGAGGTCACATGATGGAACGTGAAATCAAAAGGAATTGAGGTTTATTGTGGATCGTCAAAACACACACCACAAATGACTCACTTCCCTGAATCACATGAATACGGCTGTGACTTTTAATGGGGAACCACGTCAGAAGCGGTTGGTGGATATCAATCCACCAAACGACCCCCAATGAAAATTCACACCCATATGTTTCTGTTTCTTGCTTGCTTCCCGTATTTGGCAGCTTGACACCCAACAAATCATTCTAGTAGGCTACCTGAGGACCTGGCTTGGGGTCAGTGCCCGCATCCATGGTTGCTCACAGTATGCTTTGGACACGTGCTTGAGTTTTCGCCGCCCCAAATGGTTTTTGGCGCCCAAAGTCCCCACAACAATGAGGAATGCCATTTGCTTGGCATTTCCTCTTGGGCAGCACAGCCTTTTTTTTGCGTAGTTCACATGCACGTGCCTGTAATGAATATGTATATATTTATTTATATGGGTGTTTCTCAAAATTGGGGACCCCTCCAGGTAGGCGGTTTTCTGCTGGTTTTGTTTAAAGAGCCATCCAAAAGGGGTCCCCCATCTTGAGACACGCCTGTATCATACATATATATATATATATATATCCCGACGGGTGCACTTGCAGGCGCTCTCTCGCCTAGGCGCCGCGCCTTTTTCATCCATCCAGCCTTGCTTTATTGGCCATTTTCAGGGCTGAGACCAGTGCGCCGCCAGAAGTCAGTGGGTGTTCTTACCATTTGGCTGGCATGTGTGCAGTGCTGAGCGAGTGCACGTGTGCTTACCATGTGCCAGGCACGGGTACAGTGCTGAGATGACGCGCGTGAGAGGGTGTGCTTACCATGTGCCACAGATAAGTACATTTGAGCGACGCGCGCGTGGGCGGGCGCGCTTACCATGTGGCACGCATGGGTACAGTGCTGAGATGACGCGCGTGTGGCCGGGTGTGTTACCATGTGCCAGGCATGGGTACAGTGCTGAGATGACGCGCGTGAGCGGGTGTGCTTACCATGTGCCAGACATAAGTACATTTGAGCGACATGCGCGTGGGCGGGCGCGCTTACCATGTGGCACGCATGGGTACAGTGCTGAGATGACGCGCGTGGGCGGGTGTGCTTACCATGCGCCAGACATAAGTACACTTGAGCGACATGCGCGTGGGCTTACCATGTGCCAGCACTTCAGCAGAGCAACTCTGCGCAGGTCGGGGGTTCGCGTGTGCCCGTCAGATTGGGGTCGCTTGTGCCCGTTGGATTGGGGTCGCTTGTGCCCGTCTCTTGTTGAATCTCTGCGGCGCACTGTGTTTCTCTCCCATTCTAAGGGCCCTTTTCGGGTTGGTTTTAAGTTGGGAAACTAGCAGGGAAACCGCTGCCGTTGTGGTGGGTCCCTGACAAAATAACAACATGGCTTCCACGGACGATTGAGGAAATACAGTTTAGTGTTAGCTCAGAATGGTTGTTTGGTTCTGGGTTGTTTTTGGTTTCGGTTTTTGGTTCAGAAATGCGAGATTTGGTTGGAAACGGGAGGTTTCCAGTTGCTGCGCTAGAGGAACCATTGGAATGGCGTGGCTTGGTTTTGGGTTGTTTTTGGTTTAGGTTTTTGGTTCAGAAATACGCGATTTGGTTGGAGCGCAGCACAGCACAGACAAGCTCCTTGGGCGGCGCGCGACCCCCCCCCCTCCCCCTTCCCCAGGCCGCAAGCATGGCGCAGCTGCTTCAACGATGCACGCAATTCCGCCCCCTCCCCGCCCACCCGCCACAGCACTGCAAACGACCATGGGCGCAAGTGATCCATTTTTATGGGCGTAAGTGACGCCTTTTAAGCAAAATGGGCGCAAGTGATCCCATGAAAGCAAGTGATCCAATCGTGTGGGCGCAAGTGATCCCTCCACCCTCTGCGCAACCTTGACCACAGTTCGAGTTCGAACCTGCCCTATCAGTCAAGAAAGCATGCCTCCAAATTCAGCTCAACATCGAATCATGTCCACATGAATGATATGGCCCCCTACCATATGACAGGCCCCTGCAGAATCACAGGCCATGTAATTGTCATGAAAAGACGAAGAAAAACGTACGCGAAAGTCGTCTCCCCTGAGGACTGTTGGCGCTCCCTGAAATCATGGGTAAAACACACGCGAAAGAGCAACGGGCTGTGAAAAGCGAAGGCTGGAAACGCACCCGCTAGCATATATATATATATACACACGTATGTGTGTAACAACGTGGTGTTGAACGAGGTTGACTGAGCAGACAGGCTGCCGCCCCTGACATTTCAAGCCTCCGCGGGCCGACCGGACTTTCAACCTTGGGCGCTTGTTCTTTCTCTGCAGGTCGGGACGCTTTTTGGGTTTCCGTTGTGGGGATCGTGATCTGGAGGGAGGTGGAGCTCTGGAGGTCTCTTGGACCTGGTTGAGCGATGTTGAGCAGACCCATGTCAGAAACAATCGGGAACGGAACAGTGCTCGCAGTGGCCTGGCAATATTTGGGTAGGAGCCCTCCGATTTCTTGGCCTATTTGCATTCGTTCTACCCTTGTTGCAATTCTGGCCTGGGCGCGCTACGCCTTGGCCGCAGCCGCGGCCCGAACTTCGACCGCGCGCCTGCGCCGGCTCAGGGGTTCAGACCAACTGGCTCGGCGCCACTCTGGAGGAGATTCAAGCCCAAAGACTGGACCCTAGCCCTCCTCGCCAATCTGTGCGGCCTTTTCTGTAGTCTCACAACTCAAGGACGACAGCCTCCACTGCACTGCCGCGGCCCTGGCGCCCTTTCAGGAGGCCATGGCGGGCGTGTGGCACGGAGCGCCAAAACACCCTGCACCAGAAGGCCTTCCGAGCCCGACATCTCCCCGGACTGGGTCAACCCTGCAGGACGGCGAAACGCAAGGCGAAGGAGGAGCTGAAAAAGGACGCGGCGGAGCACAAAAAGGCCCTAAAGGCTCTCGTCCCTCGCCGCTCCTTTCTGGGTCGGGGCCCGGCCGGCCAGCGCAGAGAGACAAAAAAAAGAAGCAAACGCAGCCCTCAAGAAAAACAGGCGCTGAAAAAGGCCGCAGTGCAGGGAGAGAAGGTGGACGAGGCTACCTTGCCCGAGGGTCCTGCCACGGCCAGGAAGCAGCCAAAGCCCTGACCAAGCTTCGCGAGAAACGCGTTGTCCGGTCCCAGGCCGGTTCTCTGTCTTGGGCTGCAGGGAGGGTCGCTGCGGCCTTTTTTAAGACCAGCAGAGCGAAGTGGCCGCGTACAAGGAAGAAAAAAGTAATTTTTGATTCCCCTTCCGCAAATGACCGCCTAGTCGCCCAAGAGCCAACAGCCATGGCCTCCCGGCCAAAAAGAAGACGCCCCTCCCGCGCGGGTGACCACCTTGCCGCGGCGGGGGGCCTCTGGCACTTTACCAAGGTCAGCCCAACGGCCGTTTTATCGGCTGGCCGAAGATGCAAAAAGAAGACGCTAGTTTTAGGTTCCCCTCCCGCGGGTGACCACCTTTGTCGCGGCGGGGGGCCTCTGCTTTATCAAGGTCAGCCCAACGGCCGTTTTCTCGGCTGGCCGAAGATGAGCGCCCCCCGCTAAAAATGAAAGCTGCGTCGGAATAGTGGTAAAGGGTGACAAGCAGATTTATACCACGGCGAAGAAGGCCGGCATCTATGGTGAGGCGGAGTTGCAGACATTCAGAACCTTAATTCAGGAGCCTCCTGGCTGGAGGTGACATGCGGCTGCTGGCCTTGAAAGTCAATGGTGGGGATGGCCCAAGGAGGTTGCAACGGACTCACTTTGAAACTTCCCGGCCCTTCGTCATGAGCCAAATGCTGTGTGAACCATTTGGCAGTGGAAGGGTTCGGTTTTGAAGGTCCTGGGTTGAGATCATGTTTGCTACAAAGGCGGGGGAACTCGAGAGGCACTTTGGTGTTGTGCCCCGATCTCCAGGCGGAGGTTGAGAAAGACGCAGTGTTGGCAACAGATTTGCGGAAGGCCGCCGCAGCTTCATAGAACAATCTGGCAAAATGGAGATGCGGAGTCATAGGTGTTCTTGAGCGCGGTTGACTGAGCAGACCGGCTGCCGCCCCGACATCTCAAGCCTCACCCTTCGAAGAGAGCCAGCTAGACACCACAGCTTCATGGAACAATATGGCAAAATAGAGACACACCAAGAACATATTCATACATAGAGCAGTCCGCTTCTGAGGGGTTGGGGTATTGCAAGGGGTTCTTGGAAGCTGGGTGTTACGAAGTTTCGTTTTTTTTCTGTACCATCGAATCCGGGAGTTTTCCCCAAAATCACCTGTTTGCGGCTCTGGATATCAGATGTGGCCAAGAAAAGTTTTGGCCCTCTATTTGAGAAGCTGCGAGGTTTGGCGTGAAATTCACCAAGCAGAACATGCACAACGTGCTGACGGACGATGTGGGCCCCATGCCCATCCTCTCCGCGACGCTGCTGATGCCTGGGCTCCATCCCAAGGCTTCCATGCCACCGTTTCTCTGAATTTCGGGGAGGGTGATGTATGGGTAGGTGTCGAAACAGGGGACCCTCAAACATGGGTTTCGGTGCTCCCTTTAGTTTTCCTTGAGAACCAACATTGTTTTTGGGGGTACCATTTTTCGGGGACAACAAGAAAACCCTTTTTCGGAGTCCCTCTATTTTGACAAGCAAACAAAGATACTCGCCCCTGTAGGCAGTGGCAGGAAGTTGTTGTTTTCTCAACATGTGTACATACACACACATGCAGGTTTCTCGGCTTGCCTCGTCATTCCAGTTTGTTTGTCACTCCACGCTTTTGGTTTTCACAACATGCGGCTCTCCGCGTTTGGCTCTCGGCAGGTGCGGCTGCTGGCAGTGGTGCCTCTGTTTCTGACAGCAGCTTGGCGTGGAAACAGAGGTCCTCAGTTGGGTTGTTCCATGGTTGGAGATGAGGGCCACTTTGTTTGAAAGGAACCCCTCTAAAGTGAAGAGGTCATCTGGATTATTCTCTTCAGTATTACAGAGAATAATCATGCCCTGATCCCCCTTTGAACACTCCACACTAGTTTTTCAAGCGCCAGTGCGTTGAACATTCTTTAACCGGCTGGGTTGTTTTTGCCTATCCAACCAGAGGATAGCGGCTTCCAGTGGCGTTCCCACTACGCCTTCTGGATTAGGATTAGGGATGCCAAGACCAGGTTGCAAAAAGAAAGTGCGTGGCCCTCCTCAGAGTGCCTAATTTGTGTCTAAGAGCGGTAAAGCATGTTATCTTCCCAAAAGTTCTCCTTCGAACAGAGAAAATTGGACACATATATGATCAGGGCCTAATTTTGTAGTCTGCTCTTGGCGAACCAGGGCTGTCCCAAAGGCAAAAGGACAACTCGATCCAGACTCTAGCCAGGCGCTCCTCAGCCTTGCGCAGATCTGCAAGTTCCATGAGAAGCGGCCTGGCTGTCCAACCTTTCCTGGTGCTCAGGAAGGGATTGCCGATTTGGCTGCGGGTCAAACATATGTACCAAAATGGAACCTTGGTAAGTGGAAACTTGGACTACAACCTGCGGTCCCCCTGTTGTTTAATTTTGACCCACACCGAATTCAGGAAACCACAAGGGATGGTTTATGGGGGGCGGGTGATTCCGTTGTTCTCAGCAAGGAACCCGAAAGCTTCGCTGAAAGCTTTCCGAGGGCCCGCGAGGCTCTGAGGTCGAACTGGGAATGCGGTATAAGTCCTGAGCCCGATGTTGGGGCGATGGAAAGGCCGAGGTATCCAGCCCTTTTCTGACTTGTTCGATAGGCAGGGGATGAGAAATGGAATGAGCCCTATAAATCAAATCCTATATCGGTTTTCCTTTATTCGGGAAGCCCCAAGACCGGATCGTTCCCGAAACCCGGAAGGTCATTTTCCAATTTTCTACCGAGCAAGTCGTTTCAAGATCTGAGGCTGCCCAGCCTTGCCGGAGCCTGAGACAATGAACACCGCCCGTGTCTGGGATCCATCTCGACATGTGAGTCACACCGAACAAAAACAATACCGGTATAGTCCGTTGGATTCGGAAGACACGGGAGGAGCATAAATGCTCCTCAACACCCGAGGGGGAAAAGGGGGGGGGGTGATGCGATTTTCCCGTGTCCAGGTCCCCCCGTTTCCCTGTTCAGCAAGAGTAGTTTGTTTGTTGCTACTATCTTGCTGCAGGCGCCAGCTATCAAGCCTCCCACGTGACGCTTTCGCGTTCAAATCTGATGGAAAATCCGGCGGTGTACCTTCTTCATGGTACCAGCGCTAAAATTCAGGCATGGACTTGAGACGAGACTTTGGTTAGCCACCACTCTTGGGTTGCAACACATGTTCAACCTGAGTTTCCCCAGGACAAAAAGCCGTGGGTTCGAGCACCTCGGATCAAGTGTTCAACGAATTGCGATCCGTTTTTCTTCTTGTTTTGCTGATCGAATCGGATGCCATGGTGATCTATGGGGGCGCCCCTGGAGAAAGTCTACCACTTTGGCTTCAGCTTCTCAGTGAAGCAAGTGCTGGATGTGGAGCTCATCGGGGACATCGATCCCAGGCGAGCACAGTGGGATTTCCGCATGAGAGGCTTTTTCACACGGGTGTCTCATGCGATACCCATTACCCTTGCTCAACATGACGTTGTCTTGGGTAGGCCTCGGTACCAGGCTCTGATTCCCTGAAAGTGTACCTCTGTCAAACGTTTGCCCCCAAAGAGGCGGCAATGCACCCCCGCAGAAGGCCTGAAGCTTTGACCCATGCGCAGGCTCCCATGGGCTACCGGCGATGAATACCTCGTTCTTTTTCCCACACAGTAAGTTTCCCTGGAGGTTTCCCACGAGGTTCTGAATCTCAACCACACATGGTTGCCTTTGCCGCCTTGGCATCGTTGAATCGCTTGGACCATGCCGATGGGTTTTGATGGCATACGCATCAAAAATAAATCAATTTAGGATCAAACACAAATTGAATTCACTTTTCTTGATCCTGAATTATTTTTTGTTGATCCCTCAGCCGGTTTTGATGCCTCAGGTGCCTCTACCTGGTGCCCTGGCCGACCTCCACCTGCGCCTATGAGGCCGAACTGACCAAAGTGGCCGACCAGCTGCCGCTGGCCCTTCGGGTACGCACCTCCAGCTGGCGCGGGCCTCTGACGCAGCCTTCAACAATTTTTGGGGCTGCACCGATTTTGGAAGGGCCTGCAAAAGGGAAACGTGATATATAAATATGTTTGCAATGTGGTTGCTTCCTGGCTCTTTTTAAGGAGCTGGCAACACTATATATATATATATGTCAAATATGCTTATACTGTGGTTGCTTCCTGACTTTTTTTGAGGAGTTGGCCACACCTGGAACAGAGGCAACATGCGAAATCAATCGCCAGCCCGGCGGCGGGGATGTCCAAAAGATTCTGCGTCGCGGGTCGTAGTTTGTCCAGGCCCTCAAGGGAAGCATAAGGGACGTGTGAATGATCCAGGCCGGCTTCGGTCAAGGTTTTCAATCTACAAGCGAGACGGGCGACTCGTGGCACTGCATCTGAAAGATGCCGCGAACTTAACTTAATAGTGGTCCTCAGGGAGTTGCGGCGCAAGCGCAGCACATCCCGATGTCACCTTTCGCCTTTTCAAGGCCAGACATGTCCTTCTTTTGGGGGAACCCTCCAAAGTGGCGCAACGGATTTCCTTTATCAGGTTTCCCTTTAAACCCCCACCCAACCTCGGTACCCCCCCCCCCGGAAAAACAAAAAGAGCGAGAGACCCAAACCCACTTGCCGAAGAAGGGGTTTGCCCGGAGGTACTTTGTGTGCCCCGAGGGCCGCAGCTGGGAGGAGTACCTGAAAAGCCTGAAGCTTGGCGAATCGATTGGGCGAGTCGTTGCTTTGGTCGGACATACTGATTGCGAAATCCGCTTCTCACACCACCCAAGAAACCATGATTGAAACTTGAAACCATCACCTTTGCTGGGATTTTGGCAGGGAATCAGAGAATCATCAGAAACCAGGGTTTCTCAAGTGGTGCGAAATGGATTTCGTAACCATCCACAGCAACTGTGTGGGTGCCTCCTCGTTTTTGAGTTGGTACTCCTCTTAAATGGTGTTTTTAAAGGGAAGCCACCAGGACCGAAGCCGTGTCTCTAGTGGTTGATTCCCCATTCTTTCCAGCCACCGCTCTTTTCAAAAACCATCCATTTCCCGGGTTTTTGGGTGGTTTTCCAGCAACCTAAGAAATGGAAGCTACTCCTGGAATGTCCACCAGGACTGAGCCATGTCTTTTGGGGTTCTCCCAAAAGCCCAGCCGCGCATTGGGGTGCCCGGAGAGGAAGCCCAGCCACGGGAAGAAGATCCGCAGATACCTCCAGAGCCCGGCGAAGCGCGGTTACTCGGCCCCCCGACCAAAACGGGAAGACCTCCGCCGGGGCGTCTCCTTGTTGGGAACCCTCAGACTTAACTGCTATTGGGTTGGATCTTTAGACTTCAACTTTTCGGGAAATCAAGGGATTTTCCACTAAAGCCCCAAAAAGTTTTGCACTTTTTGCACGGGGGTCAACAGCAACCAAGTCAGAAAGGGGTCCTGGAGTGGTTGGGTTTCCATGTAGCCCAGTTAAAGCTTCAGCAGGGGATCAGACGGACGGTGCCCAGCTGAAACATGTCGTGTGTGGTGGGCCCCTTTATTTTGGGTAATGCCACCCCATTTTTGCATCACGGAGACTCCCGGCTCACTTTTGGACCCGCAAGGGAGGGTGCTGAACAAATGGGTTGGGTATTTGTGAAGCCACTTTGTGGGGAAAGAACTGTACTTGGTGAAACGGACTTTTCCAGATTTCGACCTTGATGGGAGTTTCTTGGGTAGAGGGTGTCTTGTCCAAACAAAGGCGGACAAGAACAGGAACAGAGGCGGAAACAATCAGAAAACAAATAAGAAAAAACAAATCCGGATATCTTAGATGAGAGAGGTGACCTTTCTTCCAAAACAACATGTTTTCTAAACAACCACCCCTTTTTCCAAACAACGGCCAAAATTGTCTTTCTGTTTGTTCGAGGCGGTTTTCTCTCGCATTCCTGGGATTCGCAAACAAGAATTCGATGAGGACCCCTCAAAATGTTCTCTTTCTCCTTGGTTCGCGTTTGTTCCCCTTCACAACACTCCCCAAAAACCGGACCCTCAAAAAAGACACCCCAAGACACCTGTATTTGTGTGTGTGTGTCTCTCTGTGTGTGTGTGTGTGTGTGTGTCTGTGTCTGTGTCTGTGTCTGTGTCTGTGTCTGTGTCTGTGTCTGTGTCTGTGTCTGTGTCTGTGTCTGTGTCTGTGTCTGTGTCTGTGTCTGTGTCTGTGTGGGTGTGTGTCTGTGTGTCTGTGTGTCTGTGTGTGTGTGTGTGTGTCTGTGTGTGTGTGTGTGTGTGTCCATCCCTGTTGCCAAGGGCTGATCTGAGTTCTTTGTCAGACTCGCAAGCAGGAAGTCTTTGCAAATTGTCGAGGTGGTGCCGGCTATCCGGACTCTCCATTTCTTTTCCAAGTATGTGGAGTAGGCCACAGCCATCCTTGGGTCTAGTCTGTGGCCCTGACGAGTAGGGCCCAAGGATGACGAAACTCCACTCCAACTACAATCAATTAAAGTGCATGTGTGCCCACTGGGCTTGGTCCTGACCCTCGCAGAAGAAATGAGACACAACAAGGAACGAGAGAGGGGGGATTTCACAAGTGTGTGTGTGTGTGTGTGTCTGTGTGTCTGTGTGTCTGTGTGTCTGTGTGTCTGTGTGTCTGTGTGTCTGTGTGTCTGTGTGTGTGTGTGCGTGTGTCAGTGTGTGTCTCTCTGTGTGTGTCTCTGTGTGTGTGTGTCTCTCTGTGTGTGTGTCTGTGTGTGTGTGTCTGTGTGTGTGTGTCTGTGTGTGTGTCTGTGTGTGTGTCTGTGTGTGTGTTTGTGTGTGTGTCTGTGTGTGTGTGTCTGTGTGTGTGTGTCTGTGTGTGTGTGTCTGTGTGTGTGTCTGTGTGTGTGTGTGTGTCTGTGTGTGTGTGTGTCTGTGTGTGTTTCTGTGTGTGTGTGTCTATCTTTGTCTGTCTGTGTGTGTGTCTGTGTCTGTCTCTGTCTGTCTCTGTCTGTGTCTGTCTGTGTCTGTCTGTGTCTGTCTGTGTCTGTCTGTGTCTGTCTGTGTCTGTCTGTGTCTGTCTGTGTCTGTCTGTGTCTGTCTGTGTCTGTCTGTCTCTGTCTGTCTCTGTCTGTCTCTGTCTGTCTCTGTCTGTCTCTGTCTGTCTCTGTTTGTCTCTGTCTGTCTCTGTCTGTCTGTGTGTCTCTGTCTGTTTGTCTCTGTCTGTGTGTGTGTCTGTGTGTGTGTCTGTGTGTGTGTGTGTCTGTGTGTGTGTGTCTGTGTGTGTGTGTCTGTGTGTGTCTGTGTGTGTGTCTGTGTGTGTGTCTGTGTGTGTCTGTGTGTGTCTGTGTGTGTCTGTGTGTGTCTGTGTGTGTCTGTGTGTGTCTGTGTGTGTCTGTGTGTGTCTGTGTGTGTCTGTGTGTGTGTGTGTGTCTGTGTGTGTCTGTGTGTGTCTGTGTGTGTGTGTGTGTCTGTGTGTGTGTGTGTGTCTGTGTGTGTCTGTGTGTGTGTCTGTGTGTGTCTGTGTGTGTGTGTTTGTGTGTGTCTGTGTGTGTGTTTGTGTGTGTCTGTGTGTGTCTGTGTGTGTGTGTGTGTCTGTGTGTGTGTCTGTGTCTGTGTGTGTCTGTGTGTGTCTGTGTGTGTCTGTGTGTGTGTGTTTGTGTGTGTCTGTGTGTGTGTCTGTGTGTGTGTCTGTGTGTGTGTGTCTGTGTGTGTCTGTGTGTCTCTGTGTGTGTCTGTGTGTGTCTGTGTGTGTCTGTGTGTGTGTGTGTGTCTGTGTGTGTGTGTGTCTGTGTGTGTGTCTGTGTGTGTGTCTGTGTGTGTGTTTGTGTGTGTGTCTGTGTGTGTGTGTCTGTGTGTGTGTGTGTCTGTGTGTGTGTGTCTGTGTGTGTGTCTGTGTGTGTGTGTGTGTCTGTGTGTGTGTGTGTCTGTGTGTGTTTCTGTGTGTGTGTGTCTATCTTTGTCTGTCTGTGTGTGTGTCTGTGTCTGTCTCTGTCTGTCTCTGTCTGTGTCTGTCTGTGTCTGTCTGTGTCTGTCTGTGTCTGTGTGTGTGTGTTTGTGTGCGTGTGCGTGTGTTCTTGTGCCATACTTCCTTTGAGAAGTTTTCGAGTCCCCAAGCACGAATTGTCAGCAAGTTGCAACGGCTCCTGGCTGGACCAGTACATGAGGCAATGTTGATTCCCTCAAGATGTCAAGTGAGCCACAAACCGTGTAAATCCCGTTAAAGTTTGCAGGGTGTCCCTTTTCCCCACTCGCAAGTTGTAGGAATCAAACCATACCCTCCCCCCCGCTCCCCCCGCATACCTTTGTTCCACCCATTTCCCGCCCAACAGGTTGGCCCGAGTCCGAACTCTGGGCTCCGAGGTGCAGCTGGAGAGTCCTGAGCATCTGGAGCTTCCCCGGTGCTACGAGCTGCTCTGCCAGACCATGCGCCACAACCAGGACCACCACTTCTACACCCAGGACTGGAGTTCCATCTTGGCTTCGATGGGAAAGAGGTATGGTGCCCTTTTTAATCTGCTTTTGGGTGAAGCAAACAACACCACGGCGGGGTTGTGTGGAGATTTCCAGGAAACATTTTACTTGCCTTCTCTGCTCGGGTTTTGGCAAGTGACTAGTCTCAAACAGAACCACCCCATCTTGCAGGCCCTGCAGCACTGAGCCTTTTCCTTTTCGTTTTTTTCTTGTTTCCATTTGAACATCGACCAACATTTGAGCGGGTGTCCGTTTTTGCTGTGGAACAAGCCCTGCCAATGCCCTTCAGTTCGAAAGTCCCGGTGCGATGAACCCTCAGATGGGTGTTTCTTCAAGCAGCGGTCTAATAGAAGCCCTCCCGAAAAAGTGCAGGTTGATTGGGATAGTCCCAGCCTAGAGCACTGTCATTGCAGGGGGCAGAGCTAGGATGACCACCAACCGCAGTAGATTTTTGTTGTCCCCCTTGGTTAACATGTCCACTGTCGGCGCGTGGGCGAAGCCTCACGGTAACAGCTAAGTCGGGGTCACGCAACGTGGAGTCCATTGGAAGATTCGCTTGAACATCACAGGAAGACGGCAGTGCCTGAAAAAGGAGTCCCAGCCAAAATCCTGCTACCTGAAACAAGGCACCTGGGGGCATGAGGCAGGACATCTGAATTGCACGCCTAAAACCTCGGACACATCGAAAGTTGGAGTTTGGGGTATGTCTAAGTACCACAGTAGTCGTGATGGCCGTGGCAGGGGTAGTGACATTGGAAGAATCCTGCGAAGCAAGGCTTAGTCAGGAATGACAAGAGGCTCACAGGACACGTCGCAGGTCTCAGTGTCCCTTTCTGGACACCGTGTTTGACACTGGTTGGCTTTGGGTTGCCACTTCCCGTGAGCGGCCAGAGAAACAAACATGCGGACGGAAGGCGCAGGTTTCAGCACAGGACTGGCAAACTCCGAGGGTTGTTTTTCTGGAAGCCTGATTGTGTCTCGGTGGGTGTTTCTCAAAATAGGGAAATAATATCTTCCCCTGTGGAATCCCTTTAAACCAGTGGGGGGGGGGGCCGGGGTCTTCGAGCCCGGAAGAAGTTGCCTCAAAGAAACCGAGCGACTGTCCGGGTTTCTTTTTCCGTTTAGTTTTTTGGTGTGGCCAGGGTTGTGGCTGGAGTGGTCGCGCGAGTCGTTGGATACCCCAGGAGTCCTTCCAGCAGCATCTCAGCTCGCTGGAGGAAGTCTGGGTGGCCAGGCTCAACGGCCAGGTCGTGGGCCTCTCGAATTGGAGAGCTCAGGTTGATCTTTGCCGATTTTGCATTTTGCCAGCGGATATAGTTAGCGAGCACGTGATGATACTTTGTCTTTGGTCCTCTTGGGGATCCCTGAAATCAGCTTTTGCATGTATAGCAACATTTGCGGATATGCTGAAGTGAGTATTTTCATTGTATTTATTTTCCCCTGTTGGTTTTGATAGGAATCGATTTCACAATTGGACATATTTTATGGGATGAAGAAGCAAATGGAGGTAACTCACTCCCTGAGTTCCGTTCGACCATTCTAGTGAACAACAAGTTCTGTCACTTGGAGGACCATGGGAAGTGGCTTAGATAAACAGTTTGGGTACTTGTTCTGGCCAACCCGGGAAGTGAGTTGAGGGTTTGATTTGTTTCTTAGTTTTATTCTTATATATATATATACATATGTTTGATCATCCGGGTCTTTGTTTGCGAGGATCAACCGCATCCTTCAGACCATGACGGGGTGATGTCATGAATGATGAAACAAGTGTCAAGAACCGCCAAGGCTGATGTTAATCATGATTCGGCGCGAAATCAGTGTGCCAATATGAGAGGGCCATGTTGTTCTTGTTTAGATTTGGTTTTCAAGATGCCAATTGAGTCTTGAGCCTTGAGAGGAGGCGAGAAGTTGAGAAGCGCTTTCCCTCGAGTGCGCCCCCACCCATTTTCAGTGGGTTTGACATGACTGGATGTGTCGCTTGTCCTTAGGAACCTTTGGCTGGCCTTTAAAGCGGAAAGAGGACAGCCATGGGTTTCGAAATTTAGGGCGCTTTTCCAGGGAACCCCTTTTTCATGATTTCAAGTTTGGCTTTTGGATTTCCTTTGCACCGCCTAGCCAAACAAGTTGTTTTCCTCCCCTTCTAAGTTCCCACTCAATTGTGCTTTTCAACCTCCCTTTCACCCACCTGCCCCTAAGAGCGTTGTTTTCTTTTTTCTCTGCCCAACAAGTCGTGGGTATGTTAGGCCGTCGAAAATTCCGGGGGCATTCCCCAGGCTTCTACAGCGGTGCAGTCATCGGCCACGATCACTCACTGGAGTTCCGCAGCTTCGGGGTGTACCACAATCTCTTCCTGGAGCACGTGCCTTCGAAGGCAACAGCTGAGATCGGCTCTGGGGTGGTTTTGGAGCTGCAAAGGGGTTCAAAAGGAGGTTCCGTTGTTGGGGATACCTATTTTTTGTTTTGGAAGGTGGTTCCAGGTTCTCCAGCAAAAGCGCCCTTGGTTCTATACATTCGGTGTTGGTGTGTCTCTTTTTAGGGGAACCCCCAGGATGGATTTCGGTTTTCCTTTATGATTTCCAGTGTGGGAGGGTTTTGTGGAAGGCCCCTGGTTTTAAGCCAAAAGGCGAGGTTGCTCTTCCAGGAATCCCCGCCCACAGGTGCCCTGTTTTGGGGTGCCTTTGCTTAATACGGAGGTAGTCAGCTTGGCTGTTCCAATGCAATCCGATTCGGATACCCGTAGGGGCGAAGCGATTTGGTGCAGCCACCAGGAAATACGGACGGTTCCGTTTCGAACCCCATCGAGAGGGACCAATGAATGCCCTGTTTTTAGTTGTTTCCCATGGTTCCAAGAGGCCGTTCCTTTAGTTCTCGTGAGAAACTGGCAGATATCCAAATTGAAGCGAGTGTCCACAATTCCAGGTTTGTTTAAGACGTCACATGTCGTGAACAGAAGGAAGCCAGAAGGATTTCCTTCTTCAAAGTGTAGGGTGGCAGAAATATGTTCCCCTACTTGGTTTTGCAGACTACGGGGTGGGTTCCGATTCACCCTGTACAAAAGCCAGGGTTGAAATCCGAATTCAAGCCACCAATTCAAAGACTCCAAAACACTCAGTAGACCTCTGGCCTTTCCAAAACAATCTGCAGACTTATGGCCTTTTCAAAGACTCCAAACAAAAGACTTGCACTCAATGGTAAAAGGCCGATGCCGAGGTGAAGCTGGGCTTTCAGCGAGGCAGAGAGCTCGCGTCGGGGCTGTCGCAGGGATGTGGGCTCAACGCTGGTAGGGACTTTAACCCTTTTGGTGTCCCCCTAAGCCCACATTTCGCCGACGCTTGTTTGTGCTCAAGTGTTATTGAGCCCTTTTCCCTTGAGCGCTCGACTAACTGCAAGTGCAGCATCCGAATCGAAGGTCTTTTTGTGTCCGTGGGCATCGTTTTTGTTCGCTGGATATGTTGTGTGTTTGTGTGAATCAAGAACTCGGGATTTGGACCCCCGGAAATGGTTGACAAGAGCCACCCAACAAATTTGAATACCCGGGAATATCCGGGAAGTCACCCAAGATGGGATGGGACACCCGCAAACTCGGAGTTGCCCACCAAATTTGACCACAAAAGCCACGCCCGACCGCTTCCCTGACGTATGCTAGGAGAGGAGATGATCGACCTGGGCAACGCTGGGGACTCCTTCAAGCGAGAGCTTGGCGCCAAGGCCAGGAGTCGAGGAATTCACCCGCGTTCACACTGTGGATACCGCGACATAGGGTTTCCCTTTCAAACCAACGCAAACAAGGGCACCGACCCTAAAGAAAGACATAACCCATGTGAGATACGTACGGGTGTGCTTGGTACCCTTGTTGGTATTGTTGGTACCCTTGTTTGCTTGGTTTCAAAGGGCAGCCAGAAGGAAACGGACACAACCATCTTTTGGTGTTGAACACACCCGTTGGAACGTTTTACTGCCTTACAGAAACCAAGCCTCGAATGCGAGCACCCCTGGTCCCTCCATTAAATCCCGATATGACCCCGTGATTTGTGGTTCACATTCAATAGGGGAATCAACTGTAGCATATTGCTTGGGCCCATATACCAGGGTTCCATGTTGGGTACATATTTTTTTTACCCCACAGCCTAATATACTGATTCAGAGCCATAGGAGCCACTGGAAACCTGACTAAAAGCGACGAGTGACTAAGGAAAGGATCCATCAAGGAAGATGTTCGGGTTGCAAGGATCCTATGGCTCCGGAAGCTTCGTAACGTCGTGCGATCCCAAATGCCTGTCTGGGAAGCGCCTGAGAACCATCAAGGGTTGCCGGGCTACCTGGACTTTCTGGGTGACAAGATGTTTGACCCCAAAAACGGTCGCCCAAACCCGAAGTTGGAGAAACACTTGTGGCCAAACCCGCGCTGTGAGGCGACCTGACGCTCTAGGGAAGTTTCGGGAACCCCTTTTCACCAGCCCAAGAAGCCGTTTCCTGAGAAGAGAGAAGAGAAGCCCTCACCTGCCACGCATTTTGTGCATCCACGTCAAGGTCGAGCCCCAAAAAATTCTGGGGGTTCCAAACGAGTCAAGCAACTTTCACCATGCGGTTCCCACCAAACCGGCGAAGCGAAGGCCTTCGAAGTGGCCTTCTCCCTGCGGTCCACCTACCGCCGATGTCTTGCGCTGATGGCCTGGGGCCTGCAGACCTGGGTGCAGGCCGAATGCTCGACTTCCGTGGGAGATCTCCGGTTCCACGAAACGCAGGTGCTTCTATGTGCTTCTTTTTTTCTAGGGGCTGGGGGGCTTAATTGTTTGGATTGAAAAGAAGCCAACGGGAAGTCACATTTTGGAGACAAACTCGGGCCCGGACCTCAAATTTCCGTGGCGGACCAGGAAAAGCGCGGATTTTTGAGGAACATACTCAAAAAGAAGGACACAAGTCACAAGGAAAGGTCGCTTAGGAGGTCTGGAACGGGCTCCAAAAAATGGGTGGGGCAAAATGGGTTACACCTGGACCCTGGTCCTCGTCTTAGCGAAGCTGAAAGGAGACTACCTAAACAGGCGTTTAACCATGGTTTAAATCAGGTGTTGGCCCCACACTAAGGCGGTTTATACAAGGGCTCCTCTTTTTGGGTGTGTCTTGAAGCAGAAATCGCACCCCTCCCTCCCCCTCCATCTATTTGTTGTTCTGGTTCCCCTCGTTTTCCCAAGCCCAAACCGGGTAATCACCCTCCCAGAGGCTGGGGCTTTCAATGGAAGACCCGAGCCCTCCAAAACGACAACTGAGGAATCGGTGTTTGGGAAGCCTCAACACCTGGCTTGAGGCCCCCCCCAAAAAAAACCTCGAATTGGAGCCTCTCTGCAAAGTTCCACAAAGCCGTGGGCTTCGCATCCGTCGAAGCTGGACCTTGCAGGTGCTGCTGCAGCCGTGGCCTTGGTGGCTTCAGCTCCTGGTGCCCCGGATTTTGGCCATGCGACGTTTTTGCTCCCGATTCTTTTGGGCGGAATCAGCTTGCGGTGGTAGAAAGTCAATGGGTGTGGATGGCCATTTGGCTGAAGAGCATAAGTCAATGGGTTTTGTTTGGGCGCTTGGGAGATTTTGGGGGCACACATAGCAACGGACGAGTTCCAACGTAGCTGAGTTCCTTTGAGCTTGTTGCAAGCTTTGAAGGTTTCAAGTTTCAAGGGCCGCTTGCCGAGGTGGGCGTGCTCGTGCTGCGCCTGTGCCTGTATTTGCACAAGTGGCTGTCCATCCTCCTCTGATGCGTGTTCGTCACAAGGGGGGGTTGGAGCGCTGCGTGGCGAAGGAGAGTGAAAAAGGGAGCCTGCTGCCAGTGGGCCAAAAGCGATTAGCCGGCATGCCTTGCCCTATGTCGGTTTGTGCCTCTTGCCTTATTGGTGTGTTTCTCTGCTGGGGGGGGGGGGGAGTTTGCTGGAAGTACTGCAGCACTGCTTTGCAAGAAGGGCGTGCGGTATGTGCAGCAGGTCAGGGACTTTTGGTCGCCCCTGGCGACGATAACTGCCCGCAAGCAGGACGGGATGACAGGAGTCTTGCGCAGCCCCATTCGGGTGGATGAATAGGGTAGCGAAGGACCCCCTCTGAAATGGGGCGCCCGCGGATTTTGATGAATTCGGGGGTTATCAATCCTGGCTCCCCATGTTACAAGTGAACATATCAAAGGGATTTTGTTTGGACATGTCTTTGCCCGGGTGTGGTGACCGGTTCTTATGGGCGTGTTTGGTTTAAGGGGCCGCCATTTTGGGTTGGTTTAGCGTGGAACCACAAGTTGACACCCACCCAGTTGGGGGTTCCCCCAATTTGGCGCATACCCGGCTGCCTTTTCGCGTCTGTCGCCATCCCGCTCTGCCTTTCGACTTTGCACTGAGTCTGAGGTCTCCCCCCAAAATATATATATATATATATATTTATGCTCACCCCCCCCCCCCCCAGGTTAGAGGTCAGGGCTTGATTGGTTTGGATTTTTGCAGTTTTTGCATTTTTTTGAGCCTGTGCAGGTTTTGGAGCCTTGGGTGCTCAAAACCTGCACAGGCTCAAAAAAATGCAAAACAACCAAACCTGGAAGCTCCAAAACCTGCACAGGCTCAAAAAATGCAAAACATGCAAAACCCAGATGCAAGTCAGAGGTCAGGGCTTGATTGGTCTGGATTTTTGCATTTTTTGCATTTTTTTGAGCCTGTGCAGGTTTTGAGGCTTCCAGGTTTGGTTTTTTTGCATTTGTTTGAGCCTGTGCAGGTTTTGGAGCCTTGGGTGCTTAAAACCTGCACAGGCTCAAAAAATGCAAAAAAATCCAAACCTGGAAGCTCCAAAACCTGCACAGGCTCAAAAAATGCAAAAAAGGCAAAACCCAGATGCAAGTCAGAGGTCAGGGCTTGATTGGTCTGGATTTTTGCAGTTTTTGCATTTTTTTGAGCCTGTGGCCAGCTTTGATGCCATTGAGAAACCAAGCCATTGAGGTAATGAGTGCTCTACTGATAAGTCAGATGCTTACAGGACAGCCTTTGATATAACAGTGCAGCAGTGATGACACACACACACAATCATCAACCTTTTAGGACCACATGCCCAAACCACATCAAACAAGGCCTCAAATGAGTGTCCTTTTCTTCCCAAACAATAGTTTCCACTTGCTACGCAATAAGCCTACAGAAGGTTTATAAACTTTCAGAAAAGTTTATAAACCTTATTGAGTGTTTGACGAGTTTCCCGCATCAAGGCAACAACACCCTACGAAGTGTTCATGGTATCGTTGAAGGAGGGGGGGGGGGTGGTTGGAAATTTTGGGAGGGGGGGGGGGGGTGGTTGGTTGGAAGTCTTAGCAGTGAGGTGTGACTCAGCCAACTTTGTAAAGACTTCTCAGTACCCCCCCCTCCCCCCCCCTCCCCCCCCCTGCCCTTGTTGCAAGGAAACCGTCAAACCCTTGACATGGTTTATAGACTGTCTTGAAAGTTTATAAACTCTATGCTGTTGTTACTCAACATGACTTGTCACCCACAAAAAAAATGCAGCAACAGCACACTTCTTGCGTATATATGCTCACACCCCCTGTCCTTAAAAGAAGAAGAGGGTTTTGTACATTTTGAAGTGCTGGGTTTTGCATGTTTTGCTTTTTTTTGAGCCTGTGCAGGTTTTGGAGCTTCCAGGTTTGGTTGTTTTGCATTTTTGAGCCTGTGCAGGTTTTGAGGCTGAAACCATCAAAAAACGTCAAAAAAGGTGTGTTTTTGCAGTTGTCTTTAAAAAACACTGCAAATAACAGTGATTTCACTACTGACAAAGTTGCATCTGAAAACGCTTTCTGTTTTCGTGTTTGTTGCTTTCTCGAATCCTGTTTTGCATCAAGTACAGAAAGCACATCTGAGACAATATCAACAATTGCACAAAAACACAGTAAATTACAGTGCTTTCTGCAAGGCATCTGCAAACCAAGTGGACACTGAACATCTGCAAATAAATATCTTTCATGCAAAAAGTAGAAAGGTAGGCCCTGGGGGGGGGGTGACCATATTTATATATATATATATATATGTATATAATAATAAATAGGCGTACATTTGACAGGGTAGACTAAATATGAGACAGGGTCCGGGCACTATGTACCATTTGTCGGTACTCGCGCCCTGGCTGCCTGTCTCGGGCCTCTGAGCTGACCCTTGGGTGGATGTTCACACCCGAAGCTTTTTCTGCCAAAGATCTCCAAGGATCAACATCTTGTTAACCTTCCATGAGGTACAGTGTTTGGAACGGACACGCCCACCTGCCCTGAGGTTCATCTGAGAATCTAGAGAATTTGAGCATTCGACATACGCTGTCATTCCCTCCCATGTTTCTTGTGTCAAAGGACCTAGATGGAGCACATGCGCCAAGCTACCTATTTGCCATGATCAACCTCCCCCACTTCAGTTTGTGCGTCCTCATTGAAATATGTCCATATGTCAGAGAATGACTAAAAGAGCTCCTTGTAAGGACAGGAGTGACCAGCGCTGGCAATTTTTTCCGGGTCAGGGCTGATTGGACTGGCAGACCCGCAGGTGATGCGTGCACGGGCAGATATCGAGGTGGCTCTGGGTCTCATCATGCTGGTGGGCGTGCCGAGCTTATGCCAAAATTCCGAAGCCGGAAAATAGTCATGGCGCTGGCTCATGGTCGATTTATGGTCCAGTTCATCCAAAAAAGGTAGGCCCCGCGGGAAAACACGCACATGGTGAGTTCCGTTCATTCATGGTTGTTTCCATGGTTGAGTTCCGTTCATTCATGGTTGAGTCTCTCAGGTTTTGAGACATCGCCATTGACTCAAGCTGTTGGAAGAGGTCTGCACCTTCACCCCGGAGGTTTTGCTTTGGACTCCCTGAGAAACCTGCGATGTTTTCCCCAGCTGAAGCTTTGGGGTTCGGGGCAGGTTTCAGGGAGCGGAAAGGTTGCGGGGGCTTGGGGCTGGGGGCCCTCTAACTGCAGATGTTTTTCTTTTCGGGGCAGACGGCAGACGCTGTCTTGAGGTCTTTTTTATGCTTTGCGCGCCCGTGTCCGTGATCCTTTTCTGGAACTGCATGATGATGAGGCCCGGTCTCTGGACACGGCCGGCGAATGAATTCGGCGAGGTTGCTTGCTTTGGAGCTGGTTGGGGAGCTGGGGAATTGGAGCAGCCAGCACGCTTGAACGAACAGGCAAGGTTGAAACATGTGGAAAATAAGTATGATAAGTTAAACTTAAAAATCAATAATAAGATAACATCGACATGTTATCAATATGTTTGAGGTTTTTTAGAAAAGGAGTTGAAGTGAATCAAGAGCGCTCGCAATTGAATGATATGGTGCCTTGGATCGTGCCTTGGATCGCGTGACGCGAGAGGTACATGATGAGCTCCTGGACTCAGGCATGTCGGTCGGCCAAGAAATCGGACGCAATTGGTCTGGGTACATTATAACGACCTCACACAACCTCACCCCAAAAATGGTGGTTTATGTGGGGAATGGCCCCCCAACCACCTTATTTCAGGCTGGTGAAATATTGTAATTCACCCAGATTGGTGCACAGATGGAAGCCTTTGTTGACGACAATCTCTTTGGAGCCCAAACTCCCCTTAAAGAGGTCAGAGAAGCGAGTCACTTGGACGCAGGATCAAGCAGTTGATCTCATTTTTGTGCGGTTTTCGGGTGAGCTCCGTATTTTCTCTGCAAATGCAAAAGGAGATGGCTCTGGGTCAAAATTAGGTACCCATTATGGAACCTAGGTAAATGGAAACATGGACCAACACCTGCGGTCCCCTGGTGGTTTAATTTTGACCCATAGCCAGATGTCAGAAATTCTAGATTTGGGAGGTTCCATGTGTTTTGAAAGCAAACCCCCAAAGTGGTTGATCTCTCTTCTTTTAAACGTCACCTTTTGGGCCCGCAGGGAAGTTTCCTGCCTAGCGATGTTTCAAGGGAGAAGTATGGGTGTGTCCTTTTCTGGAGGGTACCCTTTCTTTCCTTTTTGTTTTAAAAGGGAAACCGAGCAAATCCAATTTCGGGCCTGAAAAAAGACACCCAGATGTCGTGGGCGGCTTTTTAGGTGGAAACCAAAGGAACCGGAAAATCCAATTTTTTGGGTGCCCCCCCCTGAAAAAAGCGGAGGGAGCACCTTCCGCAGGAGAGTTTCCGACGCCTGGACACCGCTCTGAGCCCCGTGAGGAAAGTGCGGGGAGGCCGAGATGGTGGCGTAAGGTTGACCCTGGAAGCAGAATCCCGGTTTCTTCAGGGTGTCCAAATGGTATTAGCGGGGATTCAGATCACTTGTGCAGGGGATCACCCCCCCCAAAAAAAATAATAGACAGGGGTTTCATTATTCATCCGGGGTCAACATTAGGATGCACTGAATTACCAAACGAAGACGAAAACAGCGGCCATCGTTCTTTTTCTTCTTTTTTTTGAAAAGAGCCTGATGTTGGACCATTTGGGAAAACATGTCCCTGTCTCTGTCTCCGGATGCAACAAATAGCCAGCATGAAGCAAAGCAAACTGACAGCAAACAGGGAAGACAAGACAGTAAGCCGACAGCAAACCAACAGCAATAGACAGCAAACCTTTGGAAGGCGATTCTCCGCTAGGTTTTCAACTGCTTTGATGCTTGTTTTGGGGAGTCACTTCAAGGTGTCAGGTTCATCTTCGCCGAAGCGCATTTTTTTGGTGCGGAGGTTCTTGTCCATGGGTCGCTAAACCGGAGAAACGCCTGTGCCTCAAAACTGCTAGGATCACTTAAAGGAGCATTTGCCAGGCATTGGGGGGCAAAACTGGGGTTGGGTGTCCCTTTTCTGAAACGATTCGCAAAAGGAGCTTCATGGAGGGTCAGGCGAGAAGCCTTTGTTTCCTGGTTTCCTGCCGTGAATTTGTGGATTTTGTCTGAATGAATTGGCGGAGGCGGGGGGTTACTCATTCGTTGGACATTTCAGAATGAATTGGTGGGTAGGTGCGGCGCAGGGGGGGTTACATTAATCGCCTTAGTCGTGAGACATTGCCGCCGCGCTTGGCAAAAGCGAGGCCCGGACTGAAGCAAGGCTACGAGGCACCGCCTACGTTTTGCTGGGCTGGTTCAAAAGGAAACTGGGAGATGGTCAGAGCAGTTTTTGCGGGTGCATGTCTTTTGGGGTTTTAAAGGCAAGCCAACAGGAGGACCGAACTCCATATTGGAGGGGTCCCCATTCCAAAACAACAGCCACATCTCCAATTTTGGAGGTCCACAAAGATGTTTGAAGAAATCATACATCCCAATCAAATGATTTCAGACTGGTGGTCTGTGGGCCATTGGAGAGTGGCATGGGACCCGCATCGCATGAGCCTCAACAGTTCATTGTTGAAGGGATGTTTTTCGTCTGAAGCCACACTAAAGGCTAATGGTTTGTCTTATAATTCGCTTGATGTTGGTCCTTTGGGGAATCAACCGGAAACCACCCATTTTGGGGGACCCCCCATTTGGAGATGGATGTGTTGTTTTTGCGCCACGATTTGCAGTGACATGGAGTCACAGTTCTGAGATGGCGCAGGTTATGGGCATACGGCTCGTCAGCTAGCCCCCAAATATTCAAGGTGTTTATATATATGGTTATATGTGTTTATTTTTTGGATGTAGGGATGCATGCTCCGGTAAACAGAAAGCTGCTCTGTCAAGGCCCTCTCGAAGGTGCCCACCCGTGCCCTTCGAGGCTCTTAGGTCTTCAAAACTAGGGATACTCACAACGAGACATGGGTGCCTTCGCCGCCTTCACAAAGTTCAAAACATGGTTCGGTGTAGACCATGTCCCACTTTTAATACCAGGTTTCGACGACTGATTTGGGGCCCGGGCAGGCGTTGAGGTCTTGGGTGTACAGCTACGTGGACCCCAGCTCCAAAAGCGCAGGCCGGAGGCCCAGGGAGAGCTGGAAAGGAGGTGCCTGATGGTCCATGTGACCCATGTGCCTTTTTGGGTTGGTTTAGTTAGGGACACAAGGACAGCACGCCGGACGCCGAGCTAAAGCGATGGGCATCAGGGTTTGCGGGGATGCCACGCCATGGGAGCCTCCTCCCGAAAATTGGACTTCCCAAACGTGTGCCTTTTTTCGCTCTTTCCCACACTATAAATGGTTGCGAAATCCATTTCGCACCACCTACGAAATCCTGTGATGATGATTCCCCTGCAAACATCAACAAACAATGAGTTCCTATTGTTTTAAAGGGGTGCAGGATTGTGTCCAGAAGGACTTTGGATGGTTTTGGGTTCCCTTCCAAGGCAAGGCGTTTCCTGTTTTTTATTCCCTTCCCCCCCCCCCCCCGCATGGGCATCGGCCATCGGTTCTCCATCCGCCAAGGCAAGCTTTGCCACATCATGTGAGTGCAAGGAGAGTCCCAGTCCGCCCAAGGACCGTTTGATGGCCGTTAGAGAACACGAATCCCAATGCGGTTGCACGCGATTGCTTCTCAAAGGTACTGATTGGGGTCCCAACTTGCAATAAGACAGCGTCAGTGGCTGCGTGGTGAATGTTTGTTTTCGTCACTTTAGGGAGAACCACGAATCTGGAAGAACATATGGAGGTTTCTCAAAATAGTGAAGCCCTTTTTGGTGGTACTGTGGTTGGTAGCTCTCAAGCCTCGTGCATCAGCCCGAATTCACTTTGCCTCAGAGGCCAAAGACTTGTGTCGCTGCGGAAAGTGCTGAGAGCGTCAGTTGCGTTCCCCCCCTTCCCCTCCCCCCACCCCCGCCCCCAATTTAGACTCTCGTGGGTTTCTTTTTCGCTTGCCCGGAGCACCCAGGCGCGTATTCACCAACCCAAAACAACCGCACACTGGTTTGGGCCTTGCCGGACTTGCGATTTCCGGTTCTTGAATGGGAGCCGGAGGTCGTCTGCAGTGTGTGACTGGAACTTGAAACTCCGCACATGGTTATGGGTCAAAATCAAACCACCAGGGGACCGCAGGCTCTTGTCCATGTTTCCATTTACCAGGATTCCATTTTGGGTACCTATTTTTGACCCACAGCCACATGAGTCGGTGCTTGTCGGGACTACCCTCTGAGCACACTACCAAAAACAGGCAAAAAGGGCCTCAGGAAGCTGGAAACTGGAGCAAAGGGTTGCTGCAAATTCACAGGTCACCCAACAAAAACTGGGCCCCCCCAAAAAGAGATTCCTCAAAAAAAGCACGGTGTTTCTGGGTTCCAGGTGAATGAGGGAGCAACTCCAGATTTGCCAATTTTTGCCGCCTCGGCCCCAGCTTCGTGCGAGGTGAATTGGGAGCCAATCGGACATGACCGAAGCAAGGGGCTAGCGCGAAGAGTTTTTGGCGCCAAGGCATTTGAACAGAGCTTCACATAGAACTCCCAGGAAATGGGCGGTAACTTGGATCTTGATCCCGAGATCCAAAGGATCCAAAGATCCACCCAACTTGAGAACCGGAACTTTGCCACTGAAACGAACGCCCTCAGCCTTCGGGAGAACTCACCTCGCAGCGTTGCGAGCCCGCGCCGAGTTCGCGCCTGCGCCATGGCTCGCATGTGGGCAGAAGCCATCTTCTCGCGCGAGGAGCGGACTTCGGGTTTTGGCAATTGGAACAAGGCAGTCTTGGGGCGGGGGCTCCAGTCGAACCAAAATGTGCCAGGCCGTGTCGCTGCAGGTTGCATCGAGACTGTGCCGGGGCCTCAGACATTTTGTCTTTGGAGGAGTATTTTTGAGGGATGGTTGGCTTCATGGCTATTTGGCTTCGCTTCTTGGCTTTTCGCATCCTCTGCATTACCAGCTCCTCACATGGGTTTATGGCGGCTTTTGGTGGCTTTTTTGGCTCGGCTTTTTGCATCCTCTGCTTTCGCTGCAGCAGGTGGCTTTTTGGCTTTTGCCGCTTTTTCGTTGGTTTATGCGGCTTTTGGGGCCTTTTCAGCTTTGGCTGTTCGACTCCTCTGCTTTCCCAGTGCCTCTTCGGCAGGTGTTTTTTTGCTTTTGCAGCCTTTCATTGGTTCCTGCGGCCTTCTGGCTTTGGCAGCATCACCAATTCCTCTCCGGCAAGTTTTGTTTTTGTCAGTCAGTCAGTCAGTCAGTCAGTCAGCCAGCCAGCCAGCCAGCCAGCCAGCCAGCCTGTCTGTCTGTCTGTCTGTCTGTCTGTCTGTCTGTCTGTCTGTTTTTGTGTGTACTTCTTCGAACATCATGGGGCGGGGCTGCGCCCCCCTCAACCCCCCGCCTTGTTTTTTTTCAGAGATTAAAGCACCCTGTTGAATGTTCGCTTCTTCGAGTATCATAGGGGGGCTGCCGCCCCCCAAACCTCCCCGCTAGCTTTTAGATTTCTTACAGAAATTAGCACATACACACACACACACACACACACACACACCAGAACGCACTTGACAACGAGCGCGACCCGAGACCCGAGACCCGAGACCCGAGACCCGAGACCAGAGACCCCGAGACCCGAGACCCGAGACCCAAGACTCCGAGTCCCAAGATCCGAGACCCGAGGCCCCGATACCCGAGACCCGAGACCCCGAGACCCGAGACCCGAGACCCGAGACCCCGAGACCCGAGACCCGAGACTCCGAGTCCCGAGACCCGAGACCCGAGACTCCGAGTCCCAAGATCCGAGACCCGAGATGCGAGACCCGAGACCCGAGACCCGAGACCCACCCGAAACCCCAAGACCCGACACCCGGCACCCGAGACCCGAGACCCCGAGACCCGAGACCCGAGACCCGAGCCCGAGACCCCGAGACCCGAGATCCGAGACCCCGAGACCCGAGACCCGAGACTCCGAGTCCCAAGATCCGAGACCCGAGACCCCGAGACCCGAGACCCGAGACCCCGAGACCCGAAACCCGAGACCCGAGACCCGAGACCCGAGCACCCGCTTAGCACTGTATCCATGCCAGGCACACGGTAAGAACACCCGTTCAAGTGCACCCGCGTAGCACTGTATCCATGCCAGGCACATGGTAAGAACACCCGTTCAAGCGCACCCGCTTAGCACTGTATCCATGCCAGGCCGCTTAGCACTGTATCCCTGCCAGGGACATGGTAAGAACACCCGTTCAAGTGCACCCGCTTAGCACTGCATGCGTGCAAGGCACATGGTAAGAACACCCATTCAAGTGCACCCGCTTAGCACTGTATCCATGCCAGGCACATGGTAAGAACACCCGTTCAAGTGCACAGGCTGAGCACTGAATCCATGCCAGGGACATGGTAAGAACACCCGTTCAAGTGCACCCGCTTAGCACTGTATCCATGCCAGGCACATGGTTAGAACACCCGCTCAAGCGCACCCGCTCAGCACTGTGTCCATGATAAGGCTCAAGCGCACCCGCTCACCACTCTATCCTTGCCAGGCACGCACATTGTAAGAACACCCGCTCGCTCAGCACTGTTTCCATGCCAGGCACATGGTAAGAACACCCGCTCAAGTGCGCCCTCTCAGCACTGTATCCTTGCCAGGCACATGGAAAGAACACCCGCTCAAGCGCACTCCCTTAGAACTGCATGCCAGGCAAATGGTAAGAATACCAGCTCAAGTGCACCAGCTCAGCACTGTGCCCATGCCAGGCACATGGTAAGACCACCCGCTCAAGCGCACCCGGGCTTTGTCGTCTGAGATGGCAAAGATTTGCTGGAAGGCCAAGTGAAGATGAAGACCAGGAAGGGAAAAAGGGCAGCATCTGCCTGTGCAAGGCTTTGTTTTGTTCTGATCAACGTTAAAAACGTAAAAAGAGCTTTTTTTGTGACTTTATTGACATGAATCAATGAAAAACGCAGGTTTTGAGTTTCGGTGTTGGCCAATCGACTGGTAAAAAACACAGGGCGCGTCCACCGCGCGGCACCTTGTTGTTGGCTGGAAAGTCGAAAACTGAAACCCGCACCTAAAACTCTTAAGTATTGTGGCTGGCCGGACAACCGAAACCCAAACCCCAAACCCTATATTGTTGTTGTTGGCTGGCAAATGGCAAACACGCCCGCTCAGCTGCGCCCGCTCGCTCTGCTGAGGCTCTGCTACCAAAAGACAAGCGCGCCCGCTCACGTGCACCCGCTCAGCAACGCACACATGCTTGCCAAATGGTGAGCGCACCCGCTCACCTGCACAGCACTGCGCCCACGCCTGCCAAATGGTAAGCACGACCCTCACGTGCACCCGCTCAGCACTGTACACATGCCTCTCACGTGCGCCCGCTCAGCACTGCGCCCGCCAAATGGAAAGCACGCCTGCTTACGTGCGCCCTAGATTCGAGATTCGTGACCCGAAGCCCGAGACCAAGATCCGAGACCCGGCCGAGACCCGAGACCCGAGACCCAAGACCCCGAGACCCGAGACCCGAGACCCGAGACCCGAGACCCGAGACCCGAGACCCGAGATCCGAGATCGACCCGAGACCCGAGACCCAAGATCCGAGATCCGAGACCCGAGACCCGAGACCCGAGACCAGAGATCCGAGACCCCAGACCCGAGACCCCGAGACCCGAGAACCGAGACCCGAGACCCGAGATCCGAGACTCAAGACCCAAGACCCGAGACCCGAGACCCGAGACCCGAGATTCCAAGACACACCCGAGACCCGAGACCCGAGATCCAAGACCCGAGACCCGAGACCCTGAGACCCGAGACCCGGGACCCGAGACCCGAGACCCGAGATCCAAGACCCGAGACCCGAGACCGAAACCCGAGACCCGAGACCCGAGATGCGAGACCCGAGACCCGAGACCCGAGACCCGAGATCCGAGACCCGAGACCCGAGATCCGAGACCCGAGGCCCGAGACCCGAGACCCGAGACCCCGAGACCCGAGACCCGAGACCAAGACCCGAGACCCGAGATCCGAGACCCGAGACCCGAGACCCGAGACCCGAGACCCGAGATCCGAGACCCGAGGCCCGAGACCCGAGACCCGAGACCCCGAGACCCGAGACCCGAGACCCGAGACCCGAGATCCGAGACCCGAGACCCGAGACCCGAGACCCGAGACCCGAGACCCGAGACCCGAGACCCGAGACCCGAGACCCGAGAAGTGTCGGGGAGCCGCGGGCCCATTGTCAAGTTCGATGTCACACACACACACACGTTGCTGAATCATCACTTTTGCGAACATGGGGGCTGCCGCCCCCCCAACTTTTTTTCGGGAGCCCTGTTAACTAAGCCTAAACAAGCCAACATACTGCCATTTGCAGCATTTTGCTTTCCCACACGAAAAGCGAAACAATTGAATAAAGAGAATAAACACGAACAACCGATAAATCCGCACCCTTTGGTCCAAAAAGGGAAACCAACCTTTGGTTTTCTGGGTCCTTTGGCAACTGAGTTTGGGTTTCCCTTTAACACAAGCGCTATCACTCATTGCGGGAATATAAGACCTGCAATGTATTATATTTACAGGAGGTTTCGTTCATATTTGAATAGGATGCATTCCTCGGAACGTGGCAAAGCCAGTTGGACCTAGGGATGGCTCTTGCCCTTGTTCAGTTCCAGCGTGTCATTGGCATTGCTTCACAGGGATTCTGGAAACGCTCGGATTGACATGGAACCCAAGAAAACATCCAAGTTTCACCTTACCCCTCATTGGTGGCGTGGTTTCGAAAGGAACTGGCGTTACGCCCCACACCACCAATCGGCAACCCACCAATCTAGGGGTTGAAACTTGGGACTCGTCTCCGAGAGCAAGCGGCCCAACGACCCCATTCTTCAGCGCAACAGCCCCCAAAAGGAAGCCTGCTTATTCGTGGTTGCTTGATGCATTTCCGGACCCTCTAGCTGCTTTTCGGACACACCAATCCATAAAACCTGTCCTTAGGCACGGTGGATGCCCAGAGCAGTGCCCTAAATATGTTCCCGTTCACCAACCGCGCTTGATCGGAACGCCCTGGAAAAACTGGTGATTTCTCTTTTGCCCCGTATATGAAAGGGCATTCACGAAGGGGTCCCCATATTTACGTTTGGGTGCCATTTCTTCACATCATTTTTCTTGCAGATTGCAAACACAGACAGACACACACACACACACAAGTTTCCTTGTTAGGGGTGATGTTCTAAGGTTGGACATATGGGTTGGCCTCGTATTTTGAGGGTACCCATTTTTGGTGAGGAAAGCCACAAGTTGAACACCTCACCAGATCCGTACAGAAAGCACACACTTGCGAGCCTCGAGCATACCTTTGGAGCATAGTCCGGGCGCATGTTGCAGGAATGCTGGGAGGGTTGAGACCCGTCTGCTGGTCAATACGGAGGCAGCCTCTGAGTCCCTCAAAACACCCGGCTCCAAATCTGAAAAGGGTGTGTTGCTTTTTTCAGGGTAGCCTTTTCGGACCCGTGTTTTTGTGTCTTTTGTCGGGAAACCAAAGTTGAAATCCGAAACCAAGCCAGAATTTCGACAGTGTTTCCTCCATGTCCCTGGTGGGAGCCTCCAAAAGTCGCGATTTCGAAGGGAAACCACCAGGAAATTGATCAACTGCCGATGTTGGGAAATCCAGTGCCCCCAAAGTTGAACACCAAAATCCTTTTTTGGCGGTGCCCGAAAACGAGGTCACTGGATTTCCACTAACTCGAAACCTTCCGGAAGTGTCCTTTGACCCTTTTGTTTTTAGGGTAATCCTGGAACCCTTTCGCCACCCTTTGGTTTTTGTGGTTTTCCAAAGCCCCGTCTTTTGGTTGTCTTTCCTTTGGCCCCGTCTTTTGGGCAGACGGGGCCATGGGAGGCCTGGTGGACCTCGCCTCCATGCTGGCGGTCTGCGCCGCCACGGCGGAGGTCTTCCGCGAGGTTCGACTTCTCTCGTCACGGGGGGGGGTGGGGCCGTCGGTCTGGGGGGGTGGGGGAAAAAATGCAAGAACATATATTGAGCGCAGTAGTTGAACCCATGATTTTAAAAAAATAATTTCTCAAAATAGTCCATAAAATATTAAATAAGGTTAATACATTATTCATATTCAGTAACCTTATCGAATTCCTTGAAAATAATTTTACTTCATTGAAATATTATATAAGGTTAAGAAGTTATTCTACATATTAACCTTATACAATTTTATGTAAAATATTTATTAATAAAAATAATGTTAATTTTCTTCTGCCTGTTTCATTTCTAAATTTCTTTTATGCTTATTTGTTTTAAGATGTTGCTTTTTTGAACATTGAGAAAAATAGCAGTCACAAATAACACACTGAATTTTTATACTGTTCCATGTTCTATTACTTTCAAGTGTTTTATTTCTATATTCATCATCTTCTTTATATCTTTTTCTATGCTCCTCATTGTATCTATCCTTATGTTTAATTCGGTTATTTCTTTTGTTTTCTGAACATTGTTTGCATTGTTTATTCTCTTTATTAAATTCGTCAAATAGTTTCATTCTACCACAGTTTCTACATAATTTTCCATTATCAGTTTTGAATGAACCGTTTTCCAAAATTCCTTCATACATTGTACCTTTAATTAAAACACAAATGTTTCCTTCCATAGTTCTTATAATACAATGTCATTAAACCTTTAAATACATTTTAAGAAATTCCTATAATCAATATTAAATGAAACTAAATTCCCAAAATCCCAAAATATAAAATCCCCATAATTTTCAATCATAAATCTTACAATGTTTTTTATTGTAAGGTTTATGGGTTAAATAAATATCAACTTGTCATTTTTCATCCATCCCAGCTTTTGGGGATGCCCCATCCCAAAATTTCATTGTTTGGGGATGCCCATCCCAAAATTTCATTGTTTGGGGATGCCCCATCCCAAAATTTCATTGTTTGGGGATGCCCCATCCCAGCTTTTGGGGATGCCCCATCCCAACCCCAAACTCGTTTCCTTAGTCCGTCAAACTCGTCAAAATCTCTCAAATCAATTCAGCAGGTATTTTGTATAAATCTTCCTGTTTATGTATTACATAATTATCCCCAGAACCACTGCCTGAAAATAATTCTAATAAATTCATATTATTAGAATTATTTAGATATTTATTATATTAATTCGTATTTTCCTTCTTCGTTGATAAACAGTTTATAAAATTCAATAGTTTCTGTTTTTGGAGATTTAATTTTGTTCTTATTTAACATGTCCATATATTGCTTTTGCTTATCTTGAAAACTGCCAGACGGCCTTCCTATTTGTTTCTTTTCAAAGATTTTGTCAACCTTTTCCTTCTCTTCATTGCTATCTTTTGGTTCGTTTGCCTTTGCATCAAGTTTCTGGTCAATAGTTTTTATCATCTCGCACAACAGTTTAACATTTTTACTAACTGTCATTATTTTCTTGGATAGTTCAGCAATAGCATCATTCTCAACTTCAGACATTTCTATATATTTATTTATATAATTATTTATTTAAATATTTATTTATGCGTTTTATCATACAGTTTACCTAAATAATATAATGTTACATATGTAAATAAATTATATTCTAAGAGTCTTTCACCAATTTTATTTTTCATTTTTATTAAACCTTCCTTGTCATTTGTGAGTTCATAAAATTTCAATATTTTAACAATTTTATCTGGTTTAGTTGTACCTTTCATAAAATATGTATCCTTGAATTTAGCATCAAACCAATAAAAATATTCTTCGCTCAATTGTTTAGAAAAGTTTTCATCACCATTGAATAGGTCTTTAATTTCTTCATTGTCAAAAAATATAATTCTATGATCTTGCCCATTCATAGTTGGCATTATGATTATACAAATAATTAGATAATTATTTAAATATTTATTTATTTATAAAATTGATTTAATGTAAAATCTACTCTTTAAATACTAAATTTTCATCATTTGTTTAATAGTTTCCTGAGTTTCGTTATCTCCATTATCTGACATTGTTGCCTCATTTCCAAATTTGATAGAAATATTATGTGCATCTGTTTCCAGATTGATACTGTCCTTGGTTTTATCAATATTCATTTTCTTATCATTTTTAGTTATTTTAAACCCTAATGGCACACAAGAACATTTGCAATTTCCCTTCCTTTGTATTTCCAGTTCGTTTTTTAATTCTAACATATTTTTACACATAGGACACTCAAACTCGGTTAGTGCTGTTTCTTTAACAATTTCTTCTTCTTTGTCTTCATCTGTTGAAGAAACTGTAGTATCTGTTTTATTCTTTTTGTTTTTCTTTTTTCCCATTTATATTAATATTTACATTTTTATTTTTGATATATTGTATTCCTAATCTTATTAATTCTAATGAATAAAAACAGCATTTTTTAATTTTATTGTCAGTTATTATCACTTGTTCTATATTCTCTACTTCATCTATTATATCAATATAATCTGAATAACTCCTTTCCATATTAAATAATACGATAAATTATTTTTTCATTTCTGTCTTTCTTTTCCTTGCACAACTTGATGGAACTTGATAAGTTCTTTCAAGTTCTAGAACTCTAGGAAAAAAGTTATTTTTCCTACAGTTGTACAGTTTTTTCATTGTATCGTCTTTATTCCATCTATATTCCACAAATTTATGATGATGTTTTGACTTTAGATGTTTAAATAAATATTTGTCATCATAAGTTTTACCACAACTGCAATGGATAATAGTCATATAAATAATAAGATGAAATAATTATTAAAAATAATTGTTTGATCTTACTATTTTCATGCATAATAGAATATTGGTGGGGCACAGCACTTGGGTTTTCATTGCACACGCGAGCAAGACACAAAACTAATTATCTTCAATGCTTATTGATTGAAGTTGATGAAAGAGCCTGTTCTACTACGATGGACACCATTCATATCATAGCAATGCTTTCATACAATAAATAATATTAAATTATTTTCTAAATATCTTTAATATTATTTTATTATGCCTGATGTAAAACCAATTGATGAAATCAAATATGACTTTAAGCAAAGCAAGCACGAGGTCGTCCCTAAATTGCCGATGAGAGCTATGATTGTGGGCCCGTCAGGCTCTGGAAAGAGCACGCTACTTGTATCAATGATACTTGATATTTATAGAGGAGCATATGAAAGAATTTTTATCTGGTCCCCATCAGTAAATTTGGATAGTATTTGGTTGCCTGTTAAAAAATACATTAAGGAAGGTTTGAAAGTAGATAATGATAAAGAACCGTGTTGGTGGGATGAGTTCAATGTTGAAGATTTAGAAAGAGTTATAGAAACTCAAAATAAAATAATTGAATACCAGAAAAAACAAGGAACGAAGACATTATTTAATATTTTGGTAATTTTGGATGATGTATCTGATAACCCAGCAATAACAAGAAATAACAAATTGTTAAATTCTTTTTTCTGTAGGGGACGTCATAGTGGAATATCAACGCTTGTCAGTCTTCAAAAATCATCAACTGTGCCACCAATTATTAGAGTAAATATAAGTCATTTGTTTTATTATAAAGTTAGAAACTACAAAGAGATAGAAATATTACAAGATGAATTATCAGCAATTGTTAGAAGCGATAATTTACACGAAAGCAAGAAATTAATTTATAAAATATATGAAACTGCCACTGATGAACCGCATAGTTTTTTATATATTAACCTTTTAGAAAAGAACCCTGACCGTATCTTTATGAAAAACTTTTCACAATATTTGAAAATAACTAATCAATAATGTTTAAAGAATAAATCTTATATAATCTTTTATAATACCAAAAAAGGTTATGGACTATTCTAATACTCATTTTTATAAAATTGTTTGTAAAAAATTAAGTATCAAAGACTGTTATGTTGGACATACTACAAATTTTGTTAAACGAAAATGTGCTCATAAAAATAATATTGAGAAAGAAAACGGTAAAAACTACAATCAATATGTATATCGATTTATTCGTGAAAATGGAGGATGGATTAATTTTGAAATGGTTTTAATAACTAATTTGAAATGTGAAAACCGTTTAGAAGCATCAATGAAAGAAAGAAAATATAAAGAACAACTAAAAGCGACTTTAAATCAAATAAATCCAATAGCAACAGATGAAGACAGATTAGAACAAGCAGAAAAGTATAGTGAGTGGAAAAAGGAAGACAGAAAACAAAATCCTGACAAATACAAAGAAAGAGACAAAGCAAAATACGAAAAGTTTAGTGATAAAATGAAAGAAAATGCAAGAGAAAGATACTGGTTAAAAAAGGATGAAATTAAGGAAGCGAGGAAAGACAAATATCATAATCACGGAGGGAAGGAGAACAACTCAATACAATGTAAAAAATATAGAGAAGAACATAAGGAAGAAGTAAAGCTAATGATGAAAAACTGGTATAATAATACGAAAGAAGAAATTGTTTGTGAATGTGGTCAAAAGTTATTGAACCATAACCTACCAAGACATATAACAAGGAGAAAACACCAAGCACATCTAAACTCAATACAACAAACAGAAGAAACCCCAGAACAATAATTAATAATATTAATAATTTTTAATATTATTAATTTAGAATAATGACCAGTTGCATAAATCTACTTTTGGAATAGCATAACGAAACTTTGTTTGTTTTTCTTTTTCTAATTTTTCTATTCTCGTTACACATTCTTGAATAGATTTAATGATTAAAGTATCTGCTCTTGTTTTTTCATCTACTCTTAAATTCTTAATGTCTTCCATACTGTTATTTTCATCGTTTTTACTTTGACCAATACCCATTATATATTATTATTTAGATTTTTATTATTTAGATTATAATACAATAATAAATATTCAAAGGAACTAAAATGGGCCATAACAATCCCCAAGCAATAGGAGTTAATATTTTACCATATCTATCTATATTTCTGTCAAATCTTTCTTGTCTTCTTTCTTTTTT